TAACGGCGATCTTCTTCTTTGTCGTAGCCATGCTGATAGGTATTCTAGGTATAATATTGTAGAATGATTTAGGGGGAGGGGGAGATTCGAAATTCGAAGTTCGAAGTTCGAAGTTCGAAGTTTTAGGAATGAATGAATAAAAAGGAAATACGAGGTCTACTAAACTAAGAGATGGCACATCCAAAGGTTAAAATAGAGGTTAAGTAGGCGAATAAGAGGAAGAGTTAGAACTGCAAAGACCTATAATGCGTTCTTTTACAAGCTCCAATCAGCCCATGCAAGCGACGTCGAATGAAGAAGAAATAAAATGAATAAATATCAGGAGATAGTAGTGCTATTAATGTGACGAGGGAAATAAAAAAGTGGCTTACCTCGTCCATGTACTTGCCTATTTCACATACATCATACATGTATGTCATTTCTTTGGATTGAGTAGGAGAAAACGACAATATGGTGAACGAAAGAAGCTCTTATCAATTATCAGTGCGGGGGAGCTATAGGAAGTCGCACTATGCAAGTATCAACCCTCTTACGTACCTAACCTAAGGTAGTGGAGGTACAAATAAACCCCTCACTTAGGTACTCCGTGCTCCGTGCATGTCGGGTGTCTACGTAGGTACATACTTAGGTACATACTTAGGTACCTACCTACCTATTTCTTGGGAAGTCCCTTGATCCTATATATTGCAGCTGGATGAGGCTGAGTTATTTTTACCTTGTTGAGCTGTTTTTGTTGTTTCCAAGCATCTACATATTACCCAGACTACCAACAGTAGCTTGTATTGCTAGTTACCGTGATATATTTACCATTAAACATGAGACATATTTCTGTTCTCGTAAGATAGAATAGCCACTTAGGCCGGTCCTCTATTAGCTCTGGCCTAAATAGGAGTCATCTAAACATTTAAAGTACATTACCTACAGTGCGTAGGTACATAGGTGGGAACGATGGAAGAATATGTGCGTCTACGTAACGGAGCTCGCCATGAAACTATAGTCAAATTAGCGTCCGACTGATAATCCCCACCTGACGTAGTGTCGAGGTCTTGTTGAGAAGGATCCGCTGCATTCTATTCGACTGTTTGAAGAACTCCCTGTCAATACTCCGGCAAGAGATGCCTTGATGCATATGCTAGAAATTCCCGCAGTGATAAATGTAGGTAGGTAAATACCTAGGTTAATGTATGTATGATAACTGTAGAGGATGTTTTAGGTACATGTGGGTATGGATTGGCGTCCGATAGGTTCGGTTGCGTCTCAAACGGCGCCGCTGCTGTAATAACCTTTCGAGGTGATCTTCAGCCTACAGGGCAGAACTTCAGAGGATAGCCGCATGAAAATATAGCTCTAGCCTGAGAGAGCACGATAGGTTCTCGAATGATTCGGCAAGAGATGTGTATTTAAAAATGCTGTCCCCAACTACTTTGTTAGCTGTTGTTGTAGTTACGTCGTATATTAAGGGTACACTTGAGCAACCTAGATCATGCGATGAAGCAAGCTATCGAGATTAAATAGTCGGCAAATAATGACTCAAGTTGATGGTAATACCCGAAAATTCACCGGAGAGAGCATATGACAATTATTATGAAAATATGAGATGACCTGAAGAGATAGTAGAAGAAGTATTATACAGAAATAACATCCTGACAAACATTGAAGCATGTGCTGTAAATGCAAACATGAACCTTGGGATGATCTACTGCAGGGGAGTACGTACCTAGCTACATAGTGGGGAAATATCACCAAGCTCTCCTTGCACCAGCTTCATGCTGACTCATCAAGGCTAGGTAAGTTCCAATTCTAATCATTGGTTATGTACAATCATCATCTTGGCTAGCCATGTACCCCTGTAGCTAAGCTTCATGTACAAAATACATAACTACCGTTTCTTTACATCTTCATCTTCAATGATCATAACCGCAATCAAATGCAAGCTTCAATAGCACACATCTAAGCTCCTCGAGTCTCCCCCTCACAATTCCAAAATTAGTTCGAACGTGCTATATAGGTAGATTGGTGGAAAATTGAAATGGCCTCCTCCAGCTCGCCTTTCTCGTTGCGCCCTTGGCCTATAGGCGACAAGAAACCGAAGAACCTCGGCGAATTTATCTCGCGTATCAATGTCCAAAGCGGTGGCTTTCGCAACGTTACGGAGGCTAAGTTGCGCGAGGAAATTGCAGCTCAGCAACATGGTCGCGTTGAAGCCGAGGGGTCTTCAGATGAGGAGGAAGATGAAGATGTTGAGTTGAAAAGTGTTACCGCAGCGCGAGAAGAATTCTTAAAGAACATCGAGTAAGCGCCTTCGCGGTGAGCAGAAACTCTGATCAGCGAAAATTTATGCTAATGGCAGTTGTCTTGTCCAGAGTCGCGCACCAATCCGCCATGTTAAGCCTCGACTTCGTATCCCTCCTTCTTACGAAACAAGATCCAAGAGCTTTGAGCACGTTGTCGCCAGAGCTGCGCGAACTGGTCGGCATTGGTACTCTAGGAGCTTCCAAATTAAACGAATCGAATATCATCGAAGCGCGAATGCAAGATGATCTAGCCGTCGCAACTGGGTGGAGGCTCATGGGGGTCAACAATATGGTGGACTCGGTCGTAGCAGCTGCGGAGAAACTGGAGAAAGAAATGCAGCTAGAGACCAAGTACTGGGCCGATGTCTTGACTGTTAGCGAGGGCGGCTGGGCTGTTTGCGCTGCACCTCAGGAACCACATACATTGGGTGTCCGGTTTGGTTTCGCTGAATCTGCGCCCGAGTTTAGAAACAGCAGCATTGCTCCCTTTAGACGCAATGACGATGGTACCGTCCGTCTAGGATTGGGTCGTATTGGTGGGGGCTCTCAAAGAGTCCGTCTCACCCTCAAGAAAAATGGTATAATCGTGGATCAATCTCCTTTGCCCGGACGGATACCCGACGACGCCCCTTTGCAGGATCGAGTACGCGAAGCTAGAAATACGGCCTTTCATCAGGAGCTTTGGTATGAAATCAACAGGGAAGCTCGCACCTTACTCTCCTCAGATGTTTACTCGGATTCTTCAAGTATCACTTGGAAGCAGGATCCGGAAACTGATCTAATCTTCACCCTGGAAGATCTTGGCGAGCCGGATAACGCAAATGAAAGGATGGCAAACATGCAGTGCTCATGCACGGCATACTACATCTACATACAGTTCCTTTTATTCCAAGGGCACCGGCAGAACTATCACCGGCGTACTACTATGGCGCAACTCCCATCCAATCGCATGCAATCACCCTATGCTATCCTGCGTGCAGTGATCGCAAATACCGAGTACTTCAGAGACTGCAAGGCTATGACAGATTTCTTGGACGATCTGGTATTCACATTAAAGCGGGCCGGCATCTCTACCGCTGCCTGCAAGTCGGCCACCCAACCGCTCACCCCTATACTCCTCCAAGGCAGCCTAACCCGTCGCAACGCCAAGACCGAGCTTAACTTTATTAACTATCTCGCCGGCCGTCTCGAGTCTGCGTTTGAGTTGGCTATTACACCAGAAGTCAGAATATTTGGCCGGGCCCGTATCATGGTCGTCCCTTACATCCAAATGCACTTCAATATCTCCCTAACACCGTTTCCCCCTCAAAATGGCACCTTAGAGAGCAACAAGGGCGCCACATCTACAAATCAGAAAACAAAAAATCCCCTGGAAGATCTGTATCCACCCGCCGATCTTAACCGCGAAGCGTATCCGAACGCAAAGGACGCCATATATTATATTCAGCAAGCTACCGTACGCGCCCTTACACAAATCATTGCAGTAGATGCTGGAAAGAAGTTGAGAAGGGACGATATATATTGGACCGAGACAGTGCATGGTCCCGGCGTAGTTGACCGAGACGATAGCGAGGCAAGAGTTAATATCAAGGAGGACAGCGATGGACGTCTTATCCTGACCCTCGACGGGCAATGGAAGGAAGGCAACCACACGGCTAGGCATGTGTGGACATGGAGGGGAGACCGCGGCGACGAGGGAGGAAACAGCATTACCGATGCCGTGGTCCGAGTCATGCAGAGTTATTCGCAACAAGGCGACGGGGTGGCTGATTAGACATCAGACGACATCACTGCTAGCGAGTATTCTGTCGCGACCTCCCATACCTTAGTCGGCTCTGCTATGCTAGTTGACTACCTCTACGCGGAATAGTGAAAACTGAGCGAGGCAGCAGGCTTTGCATCTGGCATCTAGCATCTGATATATATATAAATCCTAGATATGGGATTAGTTACAAGCCATAATAGTTACAAGGCTCGGTAATACAAAGTTAATAAGTGCAAAAAAAAAGGGACCAGGAGCCTTCATTGTTAAATATCTAGTATAATTGCTCTAATTACCCATGTAACGCTCAACTTAGGTAGGTAGCTTGAGAACCACTCCTGTCTATTTCTGACTGTTGAAAATGCCACTACCCACGAGCATAGGTTACAGGACCCACTTACCCCTTAACCCCTATTTAGAAATAAAATAAAAAACAATCTACCCCTGAACTACTGAGACACCTGCAACAAAGGAGCTACGTGTATGTGAATGAATGAATGCTAAGTTCCCAGCGCTGCAGCTTAATCGATTTCCATATATCAGTAGCACAAGTACTTCGTACTCAAGATAAGTTACCTAACCTGTCGCCTTTAGGTGCGTTATTGGTAGCCCAGGTATGTTGGAATATAATAGACCAGGGAGGTTTATCCTGACATAGCGGATAAAGAGATATACCTAATACCTAATACTTGTGACATCCGATAATACATGTACCTTAGGTGTCTAACCTAGGTACCTTATTTGAGCGAGTTTTATATTTTATGTAATATTTCAACTCTTCACAGTGAGACACCTGCTGTGGCCTCACGAAATGTTACTAGTTGACTTAAGCAAGACCCGTACTATGATTTTAATACCCCAAGGTAGGCTATGTAGGAGAGCATTATGCCAGCCAGCATTTGGTCATAAAAATGGGTGGGAGTAAATTGCCGAGTACCGAATGGGAAAAGAAACATACTCAATCTTATTAAGTCGTGAGTATAACTATGGAGAATACAATCACATCAAACAAAAGAGCCATATATAGCAAGTTCGTTACTGCAAAAGCCACCCATACACATCACACTCCCTTAGTACAAACAAATCGTCCATCACCCATGGTTCGCCTCGAGGCAGGATCGTGTACGAAATAATATCCTTTGTCCTTCCTTTCGGTAGCCGACTCAACTGCAAGCCTAGGCAGACGGTATACCTCTTATCAAGTCGCAATTATAATGCTCATCCGCTCAAGGATCGATGGGCTGCTAATCAAACACATGGTAAATCGTGTCAGAGCCATGCGTCGTAAAACAACAAAATAGACCTCCTTTTGTCCGAATATCATTAGAAGTCGCTTGCATCTAACTGATAGGAAGAACAGAAGAGAAAAAAAGGGGGAAAGGCGTAAAGTAATGAATGGTTGGACGAATAGAAACCAGTAACCTAGTAATTGGTATAATGAGGTATTGTATGGATTAGATCCTTTGAGGTCCCGGATTTCGTAGCTAAGAACCCATGCCGAAGAGGAATGCGAGATCCTCAGTGCCCAGTTTGCTCATGTCTTTGGTCGCGTTTTCGCCCTGTAGAGCAAACTCGACGACTCGACGCTTCTTCTCTTGCGTGGCCATAATTCGATCTTCCACAGTTTTCTCGACGAGGATTCGATGGACTGTAACAACTCGCTGTTGACCAATGCGGTATGTACGGTCGATGGCCTGATTCTCGATGTAGGGATTCCAGAACGGATCCATAATAATAACCTGTGAGGCTACTATCAGATTGAGGCCAGCATTTCCGGCTTTGAGAGACACCAAAATAACCTTCACTTCGGGATCCTCGGTGAATTCACTAATTGCCTTATCACGCATGGTTGCTGTCATACTACCATCGTAGCGACTAACTCGAAGCCCAAGTTCATCTTCGATTGAGATTTGAATCAGGTCAAGGAAAATGGTCCATTGGGAAAAAACGACAATCTTCTCTCCCGTAGTATTCTGGATGGTCGAAATGAGCTCGCAGCACTTGGCTACCTTAGCCGATGGCTGCCAGATTTCACGAAGGCTTCGCATGTACCTTTTGTGGGCCTGCCGATTGTGCTTTGCCCGCTGGCACAACTTCGCAAGTGCGTCTGGTCTAAGATCAACTTCGTAATCATCATCGGAATCATCCGCGTCGTCATCTGCGTCACCCGCTCCTGACTCCTTCTCATCTTGAAGTCGCTCAGGCTGGTACGTCTTCAAGAATGAATCGAATTTGATTATCGTGAATTTGCCTTGCTTGTGACAGGCTATACATTCTACGCTTTGCTCATCCCCTGCTGCGCGTATCATGTTCTCTCCAAGTATGTTCGTAAATGCCTCAGCACAGGGCGAGCAGAACAGATCTCCACAAGGGCACATGATAGAAGGGTTTGATACGGCATCGGAACATACGGAACATTGGAAGATATCAGTTTCCTTGACATGCTCGACTACCTCTGGGGGTAGGGTCTTTGCAGATTCACCTGCCTGCTCCTCTGGTATGTCGGGTTCGATCAGTTCTAGATCAGTGAGGTGCAGATACGGATGACAACAAGCTTGGCGCAACCGAAGAAGGAGTATCAAGACTTCGGTATAATGCTTCCCAATTGTGCCAGCCCTAAGATACTTGCTAAACTGGACACGGGCATCCTTCTCAAGAGTAGCATAATACTCTTGTTGGTCTGGATCAAAAACAACATGGTCAATGACCTCTGTCTTCTCTTTCAACTGGATGATAGGCTTTCCGTCAATCTTGGACTTCTTGGTTCGTCGAAGCAGGATATCTTTAAGGAAATCCTGCAGTGTTTTCATTGCTCTCCTCTTTTGATCTGGGCTACCTTTAGATCCTGGCTGCAGGGATTTGAATTCCTGCGCAATACTGTTAGCTAGACACCCCGATTCTCATTAATAGTAAACTTACAGCATGAAATCTTTCAACCACGCAGTATGGTTTGATTCCTAAGAATCTGACAAGGGAAGCAAGTTCGTTTGGCCCATTCTGCATTGGTGTCCCTGTCAGGCACCAACGGTACTTGGCCTGTAACTCGCAAACGGCCTTTGAAACTTGAGCTTTATGGTTCTTGATGTACTGCGCCTCATCAAGAATAACGCGGTAGAAGACGCTTTTTTGGCTCAGAAATGGGCAGATCTCAGATAAGTAATCCTCATCGACTTCCGATCCCTCTTTTTTCACTTGCCTGATGTATTGATCCCTCTTCTTGATTTCAGACACGATCAATCCGTAGCTAGTCAGTACAACATCATAATCGCGGAACTGATCGTAATCCTTTCTTCTCGAATGCTGTATAAATACTTTGAGCTGGTAGCCCGGCAGGACTTTTTGCTTAATCTCCCGCTCCCATTGCTTGAGCAGGGATACTGGGGCAATGATGAGGTTGGTCTGCAATAGTTAGCATAGACCGTATTAAAATTTAGGAGATACTTACTTTCACATTAGACCATGGATATGGTTCAGTGTCACGACTGACCATCAGAGCAATGGTCGTAATTGTCTTTCCAAGACCCATGTCATCAGCAAGTATGCCACCCCTCTTCCCCTCATCTAGCTCCATCTTCTTCATCCATTCCAGCGCCATTAATTGATGCTTGTAAAGAGGATATCGCAAAGCATCTAGAGGACCTGCTGGGTTCTGCTGCGCGTCATCAGGTTGGGTGTTCGAAAATAGCTCTTCAAAGTTATCTCCGTTCTTGGAGGCGGAAGATTCATCGAGGAAAGATTTATCCTTAAGATTACTGCCAGCCGCTGTTGTTTCTGCAAAGGAGCAGTACCAATTGTTTAGCATCCTAAGATTGGCATTTTTGATCTCTAGTTGATCGAGTGATTTTGCTGTGATTGGTTCTGCTGTCGGCTGGGGTATGGGTGGGCTTATAGTGACGCGACGAAGTTTGTTAATCGGAGCTTCTAAATCCTCGGATGATTCGAGATATTCGCGATATTCGCTGAATGAGCGCTTCCTAGTGGCGTAATAGCCGATGTCTTGAGACAACTCAGGGAACTCGCCAGCTTGGCTTGTATAGGTAATGGGCATAGGATCACCAGTGTCCTGATAGAAAGCTGAGCAACACGGAAAATTAGCAAGGCAGTTTTAAACAAGGAGTAGTTATATGAATAAAGTTAATATTGAGATAAAAAAGCTAGCAGACGGAGAAGGGATATAAGAAGGCAACTTGTCAAATAATCCGATACCTTTACACAGACTGAACAAATTGTTGCCTGAAATGTATGTGCAAGGTGAAAATATAAAAGAAAGATGAAGACTAAGGAATTAAGACAGGTCTTACCTTTCTGAGGCTCAATGTTCTCCGACGCCATCTTAGAGTAAGGTTATATGTTCGCACTAAGATGCAGAAGAAAGCTTATCAGCAGAGAACAGAGTTATTGAACAGGGTTATTGGTGATGTGAATTTATGAGGAAAGGATGCAGTTGTTTGCGGTAACGCAACTGCTAGAGTAAAGTAAACGTAACCGGGGCTTTTAGCTGAGATGTTACAATTTATAATACTGCTTACCTTGGCTTGATCAACATGTAAATGACGATCGGAGCATTATAGTAGTCAAAAACGTTATATGCCAAGTAAGTGTGTGCAGGCTGGCTGTCGAGTGCTATGCAGACAACTAGAGAGGCAAAGTGACTTATTACTTGACTGCCAAAGGGCCCGATGACGACCGTGTTACCGGGAGTGGGAGTGAACTGTGGACAGTAATGGGAGAATCAAATAGAAAAACAAACAATTTCTTGAAAGGAGTGATACGCGTCTGAAGTCAAAGACGCGTTGCGGGTTGAGGGTCTTGTTTCTATCAGGTGTAAAATCAAGATGGTTGAACTATAAAGGGAAGGCTGTAACCAAATATATAGAAAAAATAATACACGTAGAATGCAACAATGCAACTTCCCAAAGATGCCCGTGAGCATGCAGGCTCCTTGAGATGAATCATGATTGGATGCCTAAGGTAAAAATTTGCTTAAAGCCTTGCACCAAGGAAATAGCCTCAGTCATTTCATAGATCGAAGAAGTCGCGGCTGCTACAAATGATGATATTTCGTACTGGGGCAACAGCAACTCCTGGGAAGGGGCATCCTGGTTTCTATTTCGGATTGTTGCCTATTTACTTAAGGTACATATACTTAAGCATTTGCATAATTTACATAACATTGAATGTAAGATAAAAGAACATTGACAGAGGTACAAAGGCTGAATTTCCCCACGGTCGCGAAGTGTTGTCAGCGGGCTGTGATACAATGTAGGTATGGAACGTGCTTCCACCTGATAGAGAGGTTTATTACATGATTGGCTGCATGCACTTAGGCCAAACACACAGCTGCATGTACCCTACGTAGCAGGTAGACCTATCATAAAACCCATACATCTGTCAAGAGCTTTGTGGACTTCAGGCAGACATTTGTAACGTGGGTGACAGCTAGCATGCTAATAAAGGGGCTAATTGATAGATAAATTCATATCCCTAGCTGTGTTGGATTAGATTAGATGTTGCAAATACCTTATCGAACTGGATTGGCTAAAGCTGCTTTGGGGTTTGTGTATTGGACCAAGTATATCTCTCCTGACGAGTTAATAGTAGCATAAAGATGCTTTCGTTTAATATATTGAGGTTATACTACTTTTAAAGGTCTATAGGGGGTTGGCTTATTTAGAGGGAGGCTAGTGGTGAGTTACCCAAGTAAGGTAGTGAACAATGGACAAGAATTCTCATCAGTGCATATTGTGACGCTATTGTAGTAATGCCTTGTCCTAAATAAAGCTTGGGTATAATACAAGGAAAGTTAATAAAGATACTAAAAACTTGAAATTGTGATCAATAATGCCTGATTATCTACTAAATCTATGGATTCCATCCAAGGGGCACTAATATCATACAACCCCCCCGAAGAAAAAGGCAAGGTTAGATCTATAACTTTGGGGAGCATATGAATTAATGTAAATATACCTACTGGAATATTTATGGTAGATTGTGGTTGAAATTTTTCATAAATTCTACCTAATAAATCGAGTTCCTTTTCAAGTTACGGACGGTCTAGGCTCCTAAATCTTCTCCCTTTATCTTCCATATATCTAACTGGCTTAAACATGGGCACAACCGGATAATAATTCAATTTCAGCGTAGGCCTTCTTTACTTCGTAGGCAATTACCTTAAGCACCTAACTTTTACCATTCAGCAGTGGAGGCCATTGGAAGCTCCCCAAACAACAGATTGTTACTTTACTACTTGTAGGGACTGAGATGGAGTCGAAAAACATAACGACCCCTAATACCTACTAGGACATCTAAGCAAATCTTCCTCTCCTAAGATATTATAGAAGGCCTATGTACACCAAGTATTCCTCCATTTCTGATCAATACGGTCGAAGGTAGTTGTTTGATTGAAGCTATCGTGTTACTCCGAAAGCACTGTCATTCTAATTCCGACGCCAGCCCACAAGCTTCGATATTGTTTACCCTTGCACGTGCTATTTTGAATGGGATAGTGGAGAACTAGGGAGGAAAGGAGGATTGGTAGGAAGAGAGTACGAAGAAGCCCGAAGCAAGGGCTGAAGCGCAGAGTCCTAACATAGATCTCCAATAGAAAAAAAAAGAATGATATGGGCGCTCTGTGTAGCTCTTACATTCTTGAGGAATTGCAATCAAGAGATAATGGATATTTATTCGTTGATATAGAATATAGCGGCAACAACCGCGCCTGCCAATGGCCGGAGGATAGCGTACCAAATTTTAAGAGCCAATGTGAGGTTATTCCGGCCCTTGCAATATTCTTGAAAAGACATGTCTTTTACAAATATCTAAAAATACTTAGAAATTAAAGGGAACCTTCCTCTTTGGAAGTATTTTGGAGTAACCCTTAATTGCCGGTCGTTTTTTAATTAAAGCGCAGCGAGAGATTGTTACGTGGAGAACAATGGAAGAGGGGTTAAGTCATGGTAAACGTGCATATCATTTCTCGTTCACCTTCCCCCATCACCTCCTCTGTTCATGTCCGTGTTCGATTCGATCCTAAAGTTGCCCACCCATCATCAACATGGCTCTGTCGTTTCTATCATTTTCGATTCTTGCTGTATCTTTAATCTTTGCTCGCCTTCTCCGCAATTGGACGAAGCTCAGTAAAGCACCGGGGCCGATCCTCGCGGGGTGTACGGATCTGTGGAGGGCTTACTATCAATACAATGGGAGACTGAGGGAGAAAATATTGGACTTGCACTCTCAATTCGGGCCCATCGTTAGATATGGCGTGCGTAGTATCAGTATTAGCGACCCGGAGGTTATCAATGTTGTCTACGGAAGTCGGACGGGGTTCATCACGGTATAGTAACTTCAAAGCTATATACGCTGCCATATTCTTACTAATATTGCATACTTAGGCAGACTCTTACAAGGTTCTGGTAGCAATACAGAATGGTAAGGAGGTGCCAAGCCTTGTGAGCACATCTGACGAAAATCGCCATGGTGCATTGCGTCGATCGGTAGCGAACGCCTTCACTCCCACTGCCGTGTTGGACTATGAGAAGTGGATTGATGCTACGATCGAAGAATTAATAGATGTCATCAGCAAGAAGGAAACCTTTGATCTCTCATCGATGATCCTTTGGTACACTATGGACGCGGCCGGGCGGTTTTCTTTTGGTGAGCCGCTCGGATGTCTTCGTGTCGAAGGTGATGCGGATGGCTCAATACAGCTCGTCCGTGACCGTTTCAACCATTGGGGGTGGTGGTCTTCGATCCCAAAGCTTGAGAGATTGATATATCGTAACCCCCTCGCCGTGCGCCAGAAACTAGCAACGTCTCGTATGGCGGGGGTGGCTTTATCCAAAATCAAGGCAAGGAGCGGTCAATTGAAAACCGAGCCTGGTGATATAGATCTTCTACAAAGATTTCTCGAAGCTGGCAAAGCTCACCCGCAACTAGACGCCGCAGGTATTGTAGGTATGATAATGTCTACGATATCCGGAGCAGGCGACACGACAGCGACCACTGTGACGGCAGTACTTTACAACTTAATCAAAAACCCGGAATCGCTCGAGAAGCTCGAGGATGAATTGGTACGCGCGGATCTGCCGCAAGTACCCGGGGCCTCACAAGTCAATAAGCTGCCGTACCTAGATGCTGTTATCAAAGAGGGTATGCGGCTATTCAGTATCACTACGTGGCCGATGGAGCGGTTAGTACCTACGGGAGGCGTCACTATCGCGGGAATGTCCTTTCCAGAAGGCACGAGTGTAGGATGCTTACCCCTGGCGGTCCATCACAATGTAGAGATCTTTGGAGACGATGCTCATATATTTCGTCCCGAACGCTGGCTTATTTCTGATCGAGAAAAGCGCAGGCGCATGGAGGCCGCCCATATGGGATTTAGTAGGGGCCGTCGTAGTTGCTTGGGGCAGAATATTGCCATGTTACAGATGAAGAAGGTAATTCCAGCTATATTGATAAAATATAAGGTAAGCTGAAATAAAATAGCGAATGATATATATGATGGACAGAACTTGCTAACATTTGGTGTAGTTGAGCTTAGCCAATCCAGAGGCAACCCTTGATGCGGACTTCTCCCCTGGTGTAGCTTACCTTGAGCCGCTATATATCAAGTCACATCCTAAGCAATGATTCAATAACAGGGTTATGATAAAATTCTCCTTGATATTGAGCTCTTTATGGATGAACTGATTGAATTACATGTTTTTTCTTTTTTTCTTTCTTTTTCTTTTCTTTTTCTTTTTGAAAATGACTCGCTGTGTGTACCAACTGTATAGGTCGCTAGCCGGCCTCAATGTAAGCCCCTATATAATCCAACCGCTTAATACCTTGTGTACCTAAAATAGAGTCTTTCAGAATAAACAGCCTCATGAACTCACAGTATCGCCCAGAATAATGTATCTTATGTATACCAAACTTTTGTGTCCTGGGCAAAGGCACGCTGTATAGGTATCTATGGGGACACTAGTGGCAACTCTTCTTGGACAAGGTTGCGTTAAGGTAAAACCTATCTCTTATGTCTGATGGGTGATCTTCGATTGGCGGTATTGGAAGAGCCGGATATAGGGGAACTATCGTGGCTAGAAGCAATTACAATTCGTTAAAGTCGGTTCTAAAAATTGAGGGAGGGGTCCTATTGGCAAGGGGGTCTAACCTTTGCTTTTTCGAACGATTTTGACGCAACGTGACGTCTAATTTAATAAGATTTTCTCCTGGTCGGAGTGGATGGTGAAGTGTCTTCCGAGCTGCCATTGAAGGGGTTTCTTTGATAAGTGGCAGTGTGCCATGCCTCGTAAGCGTCATTTGCCTCGGAAGTCGTAGCATGCTGGATAGAATTATCTTGGAAGGGTAGACCAATTGAACGACCAGGTTCGTTAGCCGTAGCAGTTCGACTATGTGTAGAAAAACTAGTAGATGCACCGACGATTGCGTCTTGGTCGAAAACCCTATCATGTACAGTCGGATAATTGTATTCAAAAGTGGCATCTTCTTCATTTAGAAGTGATTCTATTCGCAAGCGTCTTGATGGAGTGACAGTGACAGCACTTCGTTTAGGGAAGTCTTTCGAAGGTAAAGTATCCCATCCAGGGGGCGGCGCATCATGTCTAGAGGGCGCATCATATCCACCAGTAATTACCCGATTCGCTATAGGCCCAGAATCATGCCTAAGAAAGTTGTTTGGCATAGGAAATTCATCTCGACGCATGGGTAGTTGAGGTCCATGCTGAATCCATGAAGAACTATGCCGTGGCCGTGGCTTGAAGGCGCCGCAGAGACAGATATTATCAGTGGCAGGACACCAGCGCCCACATTTTTCGCACTTCCAGGCGTGCCATGGTTCTTTATTTGGATCTGTAGGGGCATACATGATAGCGATTTTGTCCTAAAATTTTCGTTGCTTGTATATAATCTTGGGGTGATGATCACGTATTAATTAATGTGGAGGGATAGAAATACGAGGGTTATAGGCAAGATATATTCCCAATTTTCTGCTATTTGGATAGAAGATGGACTGTGTAATTCGTGTTAATGTTGTAAATAAGTAGAAAATGGGACTCTGGTAAAGCTTGCTGTTATTTGTTGACGATATGGTGTCGATGGTTGTTGTAGCTTCTCAAAAGATGTAATTTGATTCAGGATAGGGAAGGTTGTATCGAATAGACAATAATAGGAATATTTATACTAATTTCTTAGTATACCTAGGTAGGCTTTTAAAGTTGCAACCGTCGCCGCGGATTTAGGTAGTTTCTTTAATACATGTCTTCAATGCTCAACTTGTGGGATGTCACCACATAAGAGAGTGCTTAAGAGGTAAGTAACTACATGTACATAATTTATTTTAATGAATACTCGACTCTGTCTTGTTTTCATATCAGCTGAAACGTGTGGATGGCAAGATGTATGAATTATAGATAGGTCTGTTAGTTATCTAAAATGTAAAATGCTCTCTCTACGATGCGTGGCGCACTCATGAAGCTGGCCAAATTTTGGACATCTCGAGACCCTCAGCAAAGACGCCGACCTTGCCGTCAATCGCAAACCCCTGGGCCTCTAACTTCCTACATTCGGCATACAGGCTATCTAATGGTACCCAAAAGGCCTCGATAAACTCACCATCTTCTAGGTGAGGTTTCGGATTTTGATTCTCTTCTTTTTGCGGGTCAATTTTCAGATGGATGAGAAATGTCCTTGAGCTATATCAATAATTAGTCAAATGGCTTGGTATCAACATTAGGAAGCGCAAATTCTACCTCGAAGATGCAGGCGCTGAGGATATGGTTAGTGTACATTATTGCAATACGGGAAGGGTTGATATAACTCACAGCTAAAAAGGATCGGTCTTGCACCTCCACGGTCTGGTACTATTTCACCAACGTAACCTGTTTCTTCCTTTAATTCACGTAGCGCCGCTTGCTCCACGGTCTCATCCTCATCTACTAATCCAGCTGGAAACTCAATAACGATTTTACCTGCTGGCGCGCGAAACTGTTTCTCAAGGAGGACCTTAGGACCTTCTTTGTGATGAATGACGGCGATCATTTGCACAGCATCAACGGCACTAGTGCTCGGACGTCCAGGGCGCTTCATCGCCTCCCAGGTGCGCACTTGGCCATTTTCATCCTCGTACGTAATTCTGAATCATGCTATAGTTAGATCGATGAGGGGTTCATTGGCAATTCAGAACGTGGTGTATAGGTAGTGTGGGTAGTGTGTATGGTGAAATGCCGCATATCTTAGGTACCTAATTTATAGCGACTGACTTTACGAGATTGATCCATTTCGCATCTTTATTTTCCTGGAAAACACTCTTAGTAAATTTAGTGCTACTAAGTTGCCTGGGCACATACGAGTAGTTCGGTTGATATGACGTTGGCAACCTTTTTAGACATTGTGAATCGGTACGAATCTCAGCTTAGCAGCTCCCGTCTTAATGATTAAAGATATAGGTATAATGGAATATTCCCACTGTAGGTACCTAAGGTATCTATCTCTATATGCACCTAACCTACCTAGGTAAGGATTGAGAGTATTGTATAGCCACAACGTGGCTGTTGTGTTAGGCTTGATTGGGGATCCGCTTTCACTGGGAGAAGGGGTTCCATTAATTCTAGATCTTCCGTCACTTAAATCAAAAAGACCTTGAGCATGTATTTATATTGGTGGTCGACCCTACCGCCGTACTATACAAATAGAATTTATGTACCCAACATGTGAAACCATAGCTTTTGTTTTTATACTAGGAAATTCGCTTTCCGATTACCTACCTACCTACCTACGTAAGCTTTTTCATACGCAATTTGCCATGACCCAAACGCGTACCTGCGTGACTATAAATTGATTTAGTATAGCACTAAACATGCAGCGCAGATGCGTCGTTGGCTTGTCATAGCGACGCGCGCCTTGATTTATACTGGTCTATAAGCTTTATTAAACTTATCGTCGTTTCCCTCTCCCACTAACTTACCCTAATAAGATCAGCAGCTTTCTCAGCAACCGCGTAGACTGAGCTTTGAATATTCCCTCTCGGAATTAGTGGAAACACGCTCGCATCGACAATTCTTAAGCCGTCCACTCCATACACCCTTAGGCTCGAGTCCACCACACCACCAGTTTCTCGAGGCATCATGGCTGCCGTTCCGCATACATGGTAATGTGGTGTGTATCCATTCCTAACCGCTTCCTTCGCTTGGTCTAATGTCTCAACCTTCTGCCCGCTGTGATGCAGACGCCGCCCACCCTCTTTAAATAGCTCTCTTAGTGGTGGAGTATCACGGATCTTCTCGAGAAGTAGTACGTGTCGCGCATGTAGCTCCAGGTCTAGAGGGTGAGACATAGCGCGCGGATCGACAACGGGTGATGAGCGTGGATCAGTTGATTGTATATGCACTGATCCGCGACTGAATGGGTGGCTCAGGACAGCTACAATAGACACGTAGAAGCCTTCGGCACCAAGGCCAAAGATCTGGGAAGGATTGTCCCCCGGGAAAGGGTTCAGCTGAAATGGTGCAAGAGTAAATTGGGCTGAGCAGTCATCAGGGGTACAGATCTGCTCACGGAGAACTCTAGGTTCTGCCTCTGCTTGGTCGAGGTCTGAAAGGAGCTGGCTTACGGATACGGGTGCAAGACCTTCGTCCTGGAGTGGAAAAAAGGCCGATGCGAGTGCGTTTCCAGACAAGGGACCTGCTCTGGCCTCCTGATAAGCCTCCATGGCCGCTTTAATGACTCTTGGGCTTCGCATCTGATCGCCTGACGTTATCGGATCTGCTACCTCCCAGGAAAATGGTACGAAACCATGATCCTGGAAGTTTTCACCAACATTAGGATTGTCCAGAAGGCAATCAATCCCGTACTTTTGAAGTATATCCTTCCTACCAATTCCTGAGAGCTCGAGCAGTTGAGGCGACTTGACTGCCCCGGCCGCCAGAATCACCTCACGCGTGGCAGAGACCTGCCGTCTCCGGCCGTCTTTCCCAATGAATTCGACTCCGGTGGCCCGAAGCTTGTTGAGACCGCCAGTTTGTTCAACAAAGAGAATTTTCTCGACGAGTGCTTCTGTGATGACGCGTAGGTTTGGTCGTTGAGCGACTCTGTCTGAAAAGTACGCATTTCCGGCATGACTCCTCTCTTTAGTCGTTGGATGAAGCGTGGCGGCGTTGTTGAAAGCCCCGATAGACATACCAGCGATAGGATCGCCGTCAATAGGCTTGCATAGCGCGGACCATGCCCGGGGCCAGGCTTGGGAAAAGGGGGGGAAACCTTGCTCGCTACCGTAAGAGATTTGAATAGGCCCATCTGTGCCATGAACACCATTCAAGTAATCAAGCATGAACTCTTCTTTGAGCTTCGCTTGAGGCTCTGTGAATGTATGGAACTTGCGAAAGTAACTTTCCATAGTTTTCCATCCCCAGCCTGGATTTCCTAGTCTTTCCCATGTGTCAAAGCCTGACTTAGACGGGTATATAACCATTCCTAGGTTGATACTTTGACCCAAGCCTGATTAGCTATATTTTCAGAACGTATTCGTATATTGGGAATATGGGCCCTCACGCTGATGAGCCACCTAGAGTTTTGCCTAAAGGCTGTGCTAGCCTACGGTTGTTAAGTCCTACTTGAGGTTCTGTAGTAATACACCAATCATAATCTGGATCAAAATATGTCGCAGCGGCAAGACCTTGAATTAAGATTTTCGGATCTCTTAGGCGATTCGCACCAGCTTCAAGAACCAAGACGCAGACATCTTTTTCTTCGGTTAACCTCGACGCAAGTACAAGCCCGGCTGTTCCGCCTCCAATGATAATGTAATCATAATCTGCACTTAGTTTGGCGGTGGAAGGGGTGTCGGCGGTAGACATAATATAGTACCTATTCAGAAGGGACACGGAAAATCCGGGAGATAAAGGAAGTGAGGATGTAAGAAGAGGGACCGAATATCATGACAATGTGTAATAATAAAAAATATACATTAAGGACTGTCAGATCTATAATCCAATCTGACCTATGGTGGATACTCAAATAGAACCCCTCATCAAGGTAAGCTCTATGTACCTAGGTATGTTAGTACCATTCAAGCTTACTTCGCCGTGTGGACACATAAATTCGCACCAACTTACCTCAGTAGGTATTTCAACCTATGTGATGGAATGAATAGCTGTTCAAAGTTGGGCTATGAGGATATCTTGTTATCTTCAGTCATTCACATTGACAGAGCTACCACGACATCCCCCCTTTACAACCCCTATCTCCAATTTATGTACCTAACCCATATATTATCTCCTAGTCTGATTTCATTCTTATATCCGTGAAGCCAGCTCTACATCGTAAAGATATCATATATCGAAGAAATCGAGTTCAAATGTTTCAGTGAAATAATTATTCGGGTCTACTATCTAGAACTAACTGATATTGCAGGTTGTTTAATGCAGTAAAAGACTATAAGCCGCGTCGTGTATATATAGCTTCCATATTCGGATGCTCGTGTAGGTACCTAGGTATCCAACCTCAGCGATACCATAGTGCCAATCTTCGCATGTGAGCGGCGTTATTTCCTAGGTGCTGTTCCCCCTGTATGCGCCGCGATGGACTCCCTATAAGCCCAAGTAAAACCACCCTAGTCTATAGGGTGTCAGTCAACTCCTACCAGGATTCGGTAGAAGGGGAACTCAGTGCGATCCCGCTGCCTAGTTCCCAGGAGTTGGTGTTTCCACTCGTCTGAAACTGTTTTTACGTATGAATAAAGCCGAGTGATGACTATATATCAACCCATTTATACCGCATTATAGTCCCTATGGATGTTCGGCATGTCCCAAATCTGCGCCTTTAGTTTCTTTGATTTTAAGGGTCAACTTTTGGGTATATTTCTTTCCATGCTGGTATATTGTCAGAGATACCTCTTGGTTTATGTTATACGTAGAGTGAATGTTAGAAGCAGCAGCGAAGCTGCTGTATAGTAGCCGTATAGTAGTATGAATTTATTAACGCTTAACCTTCTATCTTCTTTCGAGGGCGCTTCGCGCCCCCTTATATATGTGCTCTATGTAGATCTATGCCTAATTCATACTAGTCTCACTTGTCCCCTGACACTATTACCCCTGGGAAGGATCCCCAAGGATATAAAAGCCGGGAAGCTGTCAGATATCGACTCCCCGGTGTTAGTGAAAGCCTCACGCAACCTGTACAACAAGACCATAGTAGTAGCACTGTCGAGGCACCTCTTATCCACCTCGTGAACGTTATGAATACTCGCAAATTTGAGACGGATCCAACAGCTGCCATAGCAGTTCATGGTAATCCCGATAGGATTTACGTCACTAATGATGTTTCTTTGAGCTATAGAAGTGGTGCATAGAAAAGCAGGAGGACTTTGAGTTACTATGAACTAGTATCAATTATTACTTCTATATACCTACCTCCTTTAAGCAACTAAGTAGTGGGTTTGAGATTGGTCTGAGGTCACTTTGGCATATTAAAGAATATGGCGTGTGCGTTAACAATAGGAGGAGACCATGCAGCTTGACTTTGAGCGGGCTAGGACTGTTCTTTTCTTACCAACAACATTTTTGAAGTGATTGTTAGGACTTCTGCATTATGAATCAAATTGAGCATGCAACACGGCACTAACACCAACCTCCATCGGAACAGTTGGGGCCGAATCAGTTTTGTAAGAATGCTACCATTAACCAACGAGAGCTTTATTTAGCTCTCCCTTTTTATGTGTTTATTCCCACCCCCTTCGCAAAACTGATGGAAATGTTGTGCAACAAGATACAGTGTAACCCCCTCTCTGTTCTCAAAACAATTAGAATCATTCTATCTTTCTTTAAAATTTCCTTTCAGTTCTACAGTTCTGACCAGCCTACTGACAATACTCTTCTTGATCAAGATGAATACGAATGGCGTAGCCCTAATTATCGGTGCCGGTATGTCAAAATTTCTATGAATATTTCCTTGAGGCCTAAATGAGAATTAACTAAGGACGAACAGCTAGCGGCATCGGCCTCGAGACTGCCTTGATGTTTGCCGAGAGAGGTGCGCGAGCCGTCATATTCGCGGATCAAGACCTTGATGCTGCATCTGAGGCTTCGGACAAGAGTAAATCAATAGCAACGGCTGCAGGCTACGAGACTATGGCTATGGCCGTTGACGTCCGTTATCGTGTTTCCGTAAAAGTAGTAGTAGAACAGGTCAAGATGCTATTCTCTAGGATTGACTATGCTGTTAATAGCGCTGGGGTGAGTAGAATTTCTATCACTTAGGTACCTACCTAACCTATTCTCAACAAGTATCGGTCAATATCTTTTTAACTCAACCTCTGTTTGTTTTAGATCCCACGGAAAACAGAGGCGGATACTCCAAACGTCGACGAATCCGAATACAACATTTTGCATGAGATAAATGCAAAGGGTATTCTACACTGCCTCCAAGAAGAGATTGCAGTCATGAAGAGCCAAGAACCGGCGTACGTCGAAGGGCGCAGCGGCAGTCGCAGCATAGGGTCGGGCTCTATTATATGTATTACGTCTCTGTCCGCAATAATTGGCTCGCCTAATTCTATCCCTTACACGGCAAGCAAATTCGCTGCAAGGGGTATTATAAAGTCTGCTGGTAAGGTCGACCGGTTCGTAACGCCATCAAAGATATGCGTATTCTAACTATTACCTCCAGCATCGGAGAACCTGAGATCCGGCCTCCGTATTAACGAAGTGTGCCCTGGATTTACAAATACGCCGCTGCTGCAGGGCGCCATGAAGAGGAAGCCCGAGATCATCAATCAAATTAGCAAGGCTATGCCCTTGGCTCGGGCGGCAGCACCCGAAGAAATTGCAAGTGTAGTTCATTTCCTTGCTGGCCCGGGTGCAAGCTTCGTCAATGGTCAGTCAGTGGTAGTGGACTCTGGCGCTTCAATATTTCTTGGGGGGTGAGAAAGGGCCATAGTAGAATTATTCACGAGTTATAATCTCCTTTTGGTTATATTTCTGCTATGTAGCTGTGTGAAGATGAATAGAGAGTGTCTCAGCCTACATGATGTCACATTAGAGTGACTGCAGCATTGTAAAGAACGACTAAATACATAAGAAATCCTCCAAAGCTATAAACCAACCATTCTTTCTCTGAGTTTCAGCGTTTCGTAATGCTTGATGTAAAGCATTGTCCCCCTGCAGAATTCCTCTTATTAGGAAGAGTTACATGTTGACATTTTCAGATGTGAAGCTCGTTTCATTCCACCTGAGTGGTAACTCCCCCTAACAAGCTTCTTGCTATTTATACCCCAGGAACTTGCCAGAAAGCTTTGTATCCACTGCTATCAGTTGCTTGAATGAAATTATCGTCCTGCCCGCCACCTAGTAATTATCATTAGTCCCTACATATCTAGGTAATTATGATCCGGAAAGTCCAAACTTACCAGAAATGGTTACATGGGCTCCATCGGGAAATGTGAGTCCTTGAGAAACAATGTAGGACTTAGGTGGCGGGTTGTTATTCTTGAAATTGGAAACAGCTTTCTGAGAAAACCCCGTGACTGGAGCTGTGGTTGGGGTGTTGTTCATAAGGACATTTGCACCTACGAAATCAAGATCGATGAAAGCAATGCTGGCATTTGCCTTAACAGTAATGTAGTTATTGTTGAATCGGATAGAAGCCATTGTGTTCAGTGGTGGAATTTATATGATCGAATGTAAAATGTTGGAGAGTGTGGTGTGAAATAGATTTAGAGGAATTTGAGATGGTCTCGCAGGCTGTATATATACTAATATATGGGTAGAAATATACTCAATACATCAGAGTCAGTCATAATCCGAGAAATGCGCTCAACGAAAAAGAAATACTACAATATACGCATATTTCCTAAGAACCTACCATTTTTGATATTGTTGGACACCACAAAAGCGAGAACGATACAAAGTTTCCCGGTTGGTCAAACGTATGACAGTTACCCGGGATAAATAAACAACATAGGTAGGTATCTTACGGGTTTTATTTCACAAGGGCTAAAAGATTACTATATGAAGTAGCACAGCAGTCAATACGTATGCAACATAAGCTCACATATTATATTAATTATCATTGCGAAACAATGCCATATTTTATCATTTGGCACGTGTCGTAGTTATACATCCAATAACATGAAAGTATACAAGCCGGTCAAAAGCTCATTTGCATATATGGTTTGTTAATACGAAAAAGGTCTTTCCGAATCCATAGAAGGCGCTTTATAGTAACCAAAGCAGCTTCGTCAATTCCGCGATATTGTCACGAGCTGCAGTTATTGATATCACGAGCCTGGTGTGCTCCCTCAGGGATTCCGAGAAGAGGCTAGTCGCAGTCTGCCCGATAGGCTTACGGACTCCCAGTATGCCCATTGCTAGGTCGGCATCTGTTGTTTTAGGTAGTTGTCATTACCTTTGTCGTCGGCATGTATGAGCCCATTTATGGACCAGATGATTATATCGTTTCTCTAATCTGTGTATCTGATATCATAACGGAAATCCCTTACACATAATGCAAGGATGGGTGATTACACTATGCATTTCACTTTTATCAATACCATCAAATAGGATCCTGATGGCACTTCTGCAATTTACAGCCACTAAGTAGAGCTTACGTAGGAAATCCAGCCAGGTAACTAGTGTCAGGATTTTAGATTAGACATCTAGAACAAAGAACATGTTTATGATGTATAGAAACAGACTCTCGTAGATAGGTTAGAGTTCCTTGCGGAACAACGAAATTGTTTCCCTACTATTTAGCTCCACCTCGTGACAGCCAGGTTGTCTTCTAGATGGCCGACAGCGCTGGTCTGTACGGCCCCGAGGCCCCTTGAATTTGAGCTGATTGGCACCGAGGTCCTCGTATATGCATCGATTAATTGGAAGTGTATTTCCCAGACCGGCCTTTTCTCCATTAAGAAGTTGAGCAACAGAACTGTGACCGCATACGCCATTGACCCGAAAGGTAGCAACAATCCGTTGAGCAAGAATTCCGACGTGGCATGGAACATGCAGTTGCGCCAGTTAAGGCGGGAGGTCCAGACGGCTGAGTCTAACACAACACGCTCTACTGGACTGTCAATTGCTTCGACCAAGTATTAACGAAGTTTGCCATGTATTTACAAACACTGTTGTAGGGTGCTATGGAGAGGAAGACCGAGATAATCAACCAAATAACAATACAGTACATTCATAGTTTAATATTGAAGATGAAATAACAAATACATACTAGAATAGGGGAATAGGGGAATAGGGGAAGGGGGGTAAAGGTGACTTGGTTTTGGTTGATATCGTGTCGGATTTATTACGTCATATCACCAAATACCAAATAGTCAAGCCGTCATTATTACTTGCTTCACTACCTCATAGGTACCTATCTATACTCCATTATAAGATCAATTCCACGGCTTCGATGAGTCAGTTTTTAAAATATCTCACACATCAATTCTTCCATTTACATTCTACTCTATTACCATTGCTTATCACCAACATCGTATTAACTCTTTAAGTGACCGTTCTAGAAATGCTCTTACAAATCCTTCATCTTGCCCAAGCCGCCTTGGCAATCTACGGCGGCAAGCAATCTTACATCGCCATCACCAACCTCCAAAAATACGACAATGCAACAAAAAACCTAGCCAAAGTCTCTACCGAGGCCGAGCACCAGCGCAAAAAGACGTACGCCACGCAGACTACCGGCGTCGTCGCGCTGCTATTCTCATTTTTCATGTCGGTACTGCTCGCCCGTCGTGGCTCCATATACGGGGTTCTGCTGCGCTACTCAGCCCCGGTTGCGACGGTCGTCGCCGTCTACTTTGCGAGGGAACATATCCGGGGTTTCTGGACTGGAAAGACCCCTGGGATCACGGGCAGTCTGCCGAAAATGGGTGACTACGAAGAGGCAGAGATACGAACGCAGAAGCTCCTGAACGTGTTGGATGCATTAATGTTTAGTTGGATTGCTACATTTGTCGTGGCCGTGTTTATAGGTTATTAAATGACATTGAAGACCCTCGGCGCTGAGCGCACAAAGATGTGCGATGTAGAAACTACCTATTACTCTGAAGAGAATGTAATTAGAATAATATATAAAACCTCAAAAAGTGTACTTGTTGGAGTCGTAAGAAATGAATGATGCCAATGTAGTCCTATATCTTCCCCCTTACCTATATAACTACCTAACCTACCATGAGTATAGGAGAAACTCAGGTCAAGTAGCTGGACGTGAAATTATTTACAAAGCGAGGATCTAAGTGAACGATAGAAATATAATATAGCACATCTTTGCTTACGACCCTTACTACGTGACATTAACACAACGGCGTAATCTTCCCAGTCTTCAATTCATCCGAAACCAACGCCGAAACTTCGTCCCAGCGCTCCATCGTATCTGCCTCCGCGTCAAACGCGTACAACCACCTATTCCGCATCTTGACCGTTTCGGGATCGATCTCGACGCCTTCGCCCACGTTCTTGAGCGCGTTGTGCCAGCGGTCCCTCAAGTCCTCCCCGTTCGTCTGACTGGCTCTAGTCCTTCCAAACCGCAACTTCTCGTAGCATCTGGTCTAGTTATAAGGGGTTGGTTAGATTAATAACTACATCGGTATAACAGTACATCAGTTTAGGGAGAAAATAGGAGGCTTCTTACTGCCAAGGGAATATCGTCCTTTCCAGCTAGTTTCAAGCAGATTGCAAGCACGCCGGCGCTTTCTGTTGCTTGACTTGCGCCCTGTGCGCTTGTTGGCAGATGCGGGTGACAGCTATCGCCTAGGAGCGCAATTTTGTGGCTCTTGGATACCCATGTAGGGAGAGGGTCTCTGTAGCAGATTTCTTTATTTTAAAAAACGTTAGTTAGGTATGATTCACGGTACAGATGAGGAGAGGTAGTATTTACTCCAATCCAGGCATGATTCGGTTTTCTCTACGGCGGCGCGTATCCGCGGGTCTAAATCTTGTAGCGACTTCTTCACCTCGTCCATGTTTCCCTCCTGGAACCACGACTCTTTGATCACCATATCAGCTTCGTGAGATAGCTTGCGCGTTACGATCCAGTTGAACTCATCGCCATTCCGGAGAGTATTCTGAACTAGATGTGTATCTTCGCCGATCCTAGATTATTATCTTTAGTACATGCTTTCGGACTGACTTGACTTCAGGGACGGGTACTTGTTTGGCATACCAAATATTAACACAGTCGTGGTCTACAAACTCGCGACACAGGGGGTCTTCCCTCAGATGCTTTCCGGGGAAATAAGCCCGATAGCATGAGTATCCGCTGCTCTTCGGTGCGTCTTCAAATCCCAATACAAGCTCCCGCGCACGCGACTTTATACCGTCGGCACCCACAATGAGATCTGCTCTATCCTCTGTGCCGTCGGCAAATATCACACATGGCTTAAACTCATCGTATGCGACAACTTCGCGGCCCATTTGTATCTCTATACCAGCGTCTTTCACAGCTTGGATGAAGGCTTCGTGGTAGTCCCCGCGATGACCGATGTAGCCTGCCATATCCATCAACGGCTGCTGCGCGAGAATCTTACCGTCGTGCCAGCGGCGGATTTGCATGTCAGGGGCTTGATTGCCGATGCTGATTAGTTTATGGTATAGAGACTTGCCTCCCCAACGCTCGAGTAGCTTGAGCGCATTCTCCCCTAGCCCCAGCGAGTCACCCAGTCGTCGGAATGCCTTCAGCCTCTCATAAACAACCACATCGTGACCATGATGTTTAAGAGCCAGCGCGCAGGCGCATCCGCCAAGACCGGCACCGATAACGATGACTTATAATTGAGAGTTAGTAATATTTTTAAGCTCGCATGCATAAAATCGTGGCAAAAGCCTAGGTTAGGTAGTTAATCCAGTTAACTCACCTTTAATAGGCTCTTTTTTTATGCAGTTGATAGTCATGACGGGCAAGCTCTACTATCACATGTACCGCTGCGTTTAAATCCAGTGGAATTTAAGGAATGGGTACGATTCGGCGGGATGAGCCTTGGTGAGAATCCGGGGGTCCCCATATTTAGGGCCGGGACTGCCTTCTTTCCATGCCGAAGGGAACATCAGCAGATTCCCCGCCGACAAGTCACTAATAACAATACAGATCCATCGAGTTGCGTCCATTTTACCGTGGTACATTGTATTGATGCGACGGTACGTTGTTCTCGACCCGCATCTTCGGACTTTTATGTATATTATATCCTCTTTCAGCTGCTAGGGATTCCCCAACTCCATGCAGAATATGATTTGGTAGCATCCCTGACCTCGGTGTATTGGGGGCGAACCCCCCTTTTCAGGATCTTTAGATGCCGTCGTAGCAGCCGAATGTGATATATGAATTACCGAATCGACCACTCAGCGGCTAGCCTCATTATTAATTCTACCGACTACCAGGGTTGAGTCCTATGTGATTATCTAATCGATATATTCGCTGTCTGTTTGCGAGGTTATGGTCTGAATTTGAACATATTAAATAAATTGCCATATAAATTGCACTGTTAGATAGGTAAACATTTAGGACCCTATATGTTGAGTAACATAAGAATTGTATCTTAGATAATGCCCGATCAATCCTATCAAGAATGCCAACGAGACATCGTACAAATAGGGGCATGATCGATGATGTTCTCAGAAATAGGCATTAGATATGCGCAAGATGCAAGGACGCATCTGCCGAGGATCCCCTAAATCCAACCCCGCCTATATCCTTACATGGTGACGCTCATTGTTGGAGAACTTGGAACATGGCGTGGTTAGTGAGTTTGGATAAACTTCAATAAGAAGATGGGGTTCGAAGGCAGTCGAGACCTCAACTTCACCAAGCTTCCTTGAAAGAAATTGGGGGTCCTTTCATAGTTTGAAGGAATCATATTATTATCATCATGGCGACAGAAGTTGCTCCAGGAATAACCCTTGCGATAAAGGAGAAGTACAGCGGCGTGCCTGTGAGACTTAAGCAGGAAGCCCAAGCTGCACGAGATCGCCTGCTGTCAAACCGCACGCTGCCGGTTAGCCGTCCGAGGAAGAACCCTATACGCCTTCCACCAGATGTGTCTCTGGAAGACTTTGAAGCAGCTATCAAGGAGCTTCAGGACGCAATAGGAGACGAAAATGTCGAAGTCAATGATAAACCATTGGTGGATGGATGGTATATGCAGCATCCAAATACCCACGACGCTTTTCATATCACGGACCAGGAGGAGCTCGTTAGCAGTGCGGCCGTGTATCCCGGATCAACGGAGCAAGTCCAGACCACGGTACGTTGGGCAAATAAATTCGGCATCCCGATTTATCCCATCTCCATCGGCAGAAACTTGGGCTATGGCGGCGCAGCACCCCGAATCCCAGGGGGTGTGATCGTTGATCTCGGCAGGCGGATGCATGAGATTCTGAACATCGATGCTGAGAACGCGAGTTGCCTCGTCGAACCTGGAGTAACATACTTCCGGCTTTACGAGGAAATTCAAAACAGAAAACTCCCTTTATGGATCGATACACCTGACCTAGGTGGCGGTAGCGTAATAGGTAATGCGATTGACCGCGGTGTTGGATACACACCGTACGGCGACCATTTCGCAAACCGCTGCGGCATGGAGGTTGTCTTGCCTAACGGCGAGTTACTGCGTACGGGTATGGGAGCTCTGCCGGGCCCGGACGGGGCGGACAATCCTACTTGGCAGTCATTCCAACATGCCTTCGGTCCATCGATCGACGGTATATTCTCCCAGAGCAATTTCGGCATCGTGACTAAGATGGGAATGCAGTTGATGCCAGAAACAGAACACCAATCCTACTGCTTCACGTTCCCGCGCGATGACGACTTCGAGCAAATCGTTGATCTCATTCGGCCTTTGGCGCAGAAGGGTGTATTGGGGAATATCCCGCAGCTGCGTCATGTAATTCAGGAGATCAGTGTCACCGGTCGACGGAAGTCGGATTTTCACGATGGCTCTGGCCCCATAACGCGTGAAGAGGTTCGATCTGCGGCTGCTGAGTTGCCCTTGGGTGACTGTTCCTGGATCTTCTATGGAACGCAATATGGTCCATCCGCATCCATCGCAGCACAACTGGAAGTTATCAAGGCTGCATTTTTCAAGATCCCCGGCTCCAAGTTCTTCTTACCCTCTGATCTACCATCTGATCATTATTTGCACGACCGCGTATTGGTCTGCAGTGGCGTTCCTGTCCTCCGTGAGCTCGAATGGCTAAACTGGCTACCGAATAGTGGTCATCTATTCTTTAGTCCAATAGCCCCAACGCGTGGCAAGGATGCGCGTACTATTCACGACATAATTGTCAAGGCGCATGAGCGTCATGGGTTTGACCTATTTCCTACCCTTTGCGTGGCAGGTCGTGAGATTCATTATATCACCAACATGATATACGATAGGGCCGATGCGGATATGAAGGCATCCGCCATTAAACTCATGAGAGAAATGATAAAGGAATGCGCAGAAAAGGGGTTCGGCGAGTATCGCACACACATTCTTTTCGCCGACCAAGTAGCCGGAACATACAATTGGAACAATTCGGCGTTTATGCGCTTCAATGAGACAATCAAGGATGTATTAGACCCGAATGGGATTCTAGCCCCTGGCCGAAACGGGATCTGGCCCAAGCGATTCAGAGGGAAGGGATGGGAACTGAAGGCTGATGATACTGATCTGTTATCCATTGGACCGCGTCTCGGAAAATAGGAACATCAACTCTAGTAGGAAATCTCGAATAGGGTATCGATTACTTGCCTGCAAAATTTACTCTTCAAAGTCCCTAGAGGACAGTAGGTTAGGTAGATATCTTGTTCATTCACCTTCCTTCCCATATTTTCCGTAGGCCTGTCAAACCGATAAATAGAGCTTCGTCCGTCCTGATAGTTCTGCTTCCTTGTCCTGGCAGGATATTGACCCAATGATCAAAAAGTTCCTTGGTCCTCCCCTTGACAATTCCCATGCCATTCAATTGCGGGTCGTTTTCTGCAGCATTCTCAAGGCCTCGGGGTCCGCCAAAGACAATTAGAAGGTGATTGAAGGCCACCGCATCCTTTTTCTTTCGCTCCGGAAATGCCTCCGATATAGACACACCGCGTTCGGACGTCCCGATGTTTAAGTCGTAGCCACCCTCGTAGGTACACTCTTCAAAGACGTTTGCAAGCGAATCGCAACGTCGCACTGAGAAGCCCCAATAGTAACCTCCTTCAGCACGTGGTGCGCTAGGGTCTACCGGCTCTGCCCTTGATAAGTCGTTCTCGTCAATATTAAGAGTAATTCGGGTCTTTGGCGGGATTTCGTCGCTGATAGTCACTGGCTCCTTTCTACCCACATCCACGAGCGTTCCCTTGCCACCTTTCGGTGTTCCAGCCACCGTCACACCCTCGCAATACGGCAGCCAGTCGGTGGAGTGCGGGTGCGAGGGGATGTCCAAGCTTGCCATAAGCCCTGCACCTCTTAGATTGGGGTGAATGGGTAGTAGTGTCCGTCGCATAAACGGCGGCATCTCTAGATACTGCAGTAGATGATCGAGGTACCCACAGGGGTCGAGATCGCCCGTATATCCAGCAGGATCGATGTTCCTAGGTCGCGTGTCCGGATGCGAGTCATCAAATATGACGATTTCGTCTATGCTGAACACGGCGAGGGCACGCGCAATGTGTGAAACAACGCCTGTGCGTTGGTCATCTCGGCGACAGCTAGAATCTAAGTTCAGTGAGTTTGTCACAAAAGCTGACTGGTAGGTGTACTAGCGAATGTGACTGACGTTGAAAGAACGCTACCTGGAACGGCTACGGAGATGGTCCAGTCCCGGCCCTGAATAGGTTTAAAGAAGGCACTCGGCTTCGATGTATCTACGTAGTCGCCATCTTTTGTAAGGCGACGTTTCTGCAGGCCGATTAGATTTATAACTTGTATGAGTTTATGATACATCAACTTACCTTATGTCTGTCTTGTTCATAGCTTGCCATTTTGTAGCAGGTGATTGAAGTTAGGGGTGTGTCTGTAAGAATTGTAAGCTCACTTCCGAAGACATCACATTTCACATGGCGCAAAATGAAATTTCTGGCTTCGAATTGACTTTAGGAAAACTCCGCCGGCAAAATCTCACCACCTTTCTTACCGCCTCCCCGATTAAGTATAGCGTGATAGATATGATATGCATAATTCAATAGTCCAATCATATCCACTCACTATATTATGTCGCCCCTGTTTAACTATTCATATTTCTCCTCATATTAACTACCTTGAGTACAATTGAACACCTAACCTAGGTACCTATGTATAGTAAAGTGTCTTGATTCTTGAAAACAATGCCTACCCAGGTACCTTTATAAACTAGGTATGTTTCTCTATTATATATAATACATAATACCAGGCCGATTATATCTTAATGCTTAAGACTTAACAGATGTGATGCATGTCAGACCAGCAAGGGCATTTGGTAAACTCATACCCCATTCAAAATGTATTTCACTGTCTAGCTAGAAGTAAGATGTTTGTGTTTCGCTAGAACCTGTTCTGATGCTGATATGGAAATTTAATGTATAATTTCATTTCCGTCGAATTGGTAATGCGAGAATCAATTTGCACCCACCTGCTATTCGGAGAGCGGGCCGTATATTCGGAAAACCTGGTTTGAAGTTCCGAATTGTGGAGAAGAGAGGGTGGACGGAAGGAGATGATAATACAACCATGCGGCAACGGAGGGAGGGTGCCCGGGATGCGAATTTGAGCATAGGTATATTATAGTATCCACGTAAATACCTTCAACCCGCCCAGTTCTTGGAGTTCTTGGAGTTCTGTCTTTTCCGCCGCACATTCACCTATCACCTACGACAATCCATTCGTGACGATGTTCCGCCAATTCGGTCTCCTCGCCCTTGCTCTCCTACCCTTCTCCTTCGCCCAAGTCTCTGATGACTTCGAAGGTGGATTAGACGCAGCTGCATGGCCTACGTACGCGAACGACTGTAACCAGGGCGGTAAAGTCACCCTTGATAGCTCTACCGCTCACAGTGGGAAGAACTCCGTGAGGGTTGATGGCGCAGGTGGTTACTGTGGACACATCTTCTTTGGCACGACGAAAGTCCCCAGCGGAGATGTTTATGTGAGGACTTATCTGTAAGTTCAGCTGTTGTAGTAGTAGGATCCTTGAGGGACGAAGCAATCTTCATAAAAGGCAATGCTAATACCAATCCTCTTACAGCAAAGCCTCCAAGGCCCTAACTGACTCTCACGTCTCTTTCATCACCATGCCCGACTCTTCCCAAGGCGACAAGAAGCACCTAAGAATTGGTGGTCAGAGCAAGATCCTGATGTACAACCGCGAATCTGATGATGCTACCCTTCCTGACCTCTCCCCGCAAGGCATTGCCGCTTCCACCGCCCTTCCTACCGGTGACTGGCAATGTTTCGAGTACCACGTAGGAACCGATGGCACCATTGAGACTTGGTTGAACGGCAAGGCTATCGATGGTCTTACTGTCAAATCTGGTAGCACCAACGCCAACGCAGGCCAGTGGCAGAGAAGCACCACCAAGCCTAAAATCACTGGTGTCTACTTTGGATGGGAGTCCTACGGCGGTGATACTAACACCTTCTGGTACGACGACGTTGCCGTCAGCTCGACGCGTGTTGGATGTGATGCGTGATTCAGCTCCTCGTCATCGAGTAAACAGTAGGCAATTTGTCCTCGGCAATGGGCATTCCATTACTTAAATGATAGATAAGATAAGAATTGAATGCCATGGCCTAAATACTACGTATACGAATATATTAGGTTACAGGGTGAACTTTGTGAGGTCTCGTACTCAACATGCCTAACCTACATATTTACATTCCATGATTGGAAATTAGCCTAAATATGATAAAAGGTACACCAATCGCAACCTTGAAAAATTACTTGTGGACAGCATATCTTTATTGGTATGTCGTATATTCCGATGGGAACTTGAGCCTAAAAGGGGTATAACTGGAACCCCGCGAGCTGTCTATTTTGATCTGCTGGGGTCTATAAAAGGTAAGCTATCTAGACTAAGCCACGTGAAATAAGGAAATATTTTCCGTCAACACTATCGTTATAGTAAAACTAGGTTAAACATCTCATTTATATCAGCTAATAATCTATTGAAGGATAGCGAGGCTTATTAATAACAATACCTCGTAGACAACAGATTTCAACAACTACATCTAGAACATTAGCCTTCAATGTGTAACGAATGTTTTATTTAACCACCTCCAAGGTATATACCGTGCGTATTTTCTCATTGGTAAGTCTTAGACTAACTCCATAGGCAGGTATTAATGACCTCGATAGACGGATGTATAGGTAGGTAGGTAGGTAGGTATTTATAAAGTATCATAAAGCCATAACATAACAGGCAATAGCAGCTAATGGAAGGTTTAATACACTAGATATCACTAATCGGTATTCGATATTGCCTTGATATTAGGTGTATATACACACTTGATATCCTTGACTGACATATGCCAGTCCTCTAACTATCTAAATCTGTACAATTAGTAACAGTGAACCATTGTTCAAAACATCAAAACTGTGGGGGAAAAATAATTTTACTAGTCAAGTATTAAAAACACCATTTCAATGACTCCATATATTTAGAATATTTCCAGCTGCTTCAGCCTTTATTTACTCCTCTTCCTCATGGGTGTGATTAACTTCCCACAGTTACTTCCCACTGTCGAGTAACAGTAATACCATCTCCAGTCCCCAAACTTCTACCAGAACAATGTATCTCATGAGTACTGTGTGAGGAGATCGAGTTTTCGATAGGTAAGTAACTAACACTGAAGCCATCGTATGTTGTACGGTAAGCGTTCTGCTCATTTGATGGTGGGCCGGATGTGGTCACAGTACTAACTTCTTTCCTATTCCGCCAATTTTGGCAAAGACTAGTAACCCTATTTACAGCAGGCTTGATAGTTGGGACGCATGCATTGATAACTCCAAGAGCTGGCTCCAAGATCGCGTAAATAACGCCCGTGGGGCTGGAATACGTTATATCACCTAAGTCAAATTCGAATAGCCAGATGACGCGCAATAAAGAGAAAACCCAAATACTATTGAAGTTAGTCAATGGCTGATACAGTAAATTGTGCCTTCGAAACTGGGATGCTTACACCGCGCCAACACTGAACATTGTGATGACTACTAATTTCTTTGCCAACGACATATGTAAGCGAAGTAGCATTGGCATTGGCAACAATACTACAAAAACATCAAGAGCGAGGTTGGTGATACCAGCAACGATATATGCGATATCTTGCCCTGTACATTTTCCATCTTGAATACTTTTGTCCCAGGTGTACCGAACTGGTTTGCACAGAAGAAATGTCTCCAAGATTACGGTGACCAGGTAAACCATATTGATGACCATAGTTACATAACAGATGTAAACAAATTTCTGATTAGGGAATATAGATGTATAAAGGGAGAGAATTGAAAACTTGACACTTGAATTTGCTGCTGCCCAGAGTAGCTCTCCAGCTACGAATAACTAGAATGCGAATACTATTAGAGATGGATTAGAAGAACTTCAAGAATTAACAAACCTTCAAGAAGTGAGCATAGAATAGGGGAGTTGTCATTAAAAGTTCTTCGACGTGGTATCCGAGGCCACCAATGAAGCTAGCTATTGCAGTTGTTTAGTAATGACTGCAGTTTGCCATTCAAAGGGCTCAATAGAAATACCTAGAATATAAGAAGAGATCATACCAGCAGTGACAATCATTGCTGTAATTGCCATATAGTCATTAAAAGCAAGTGTGGCTTGTAAAATATATCTCGACCATAATCTCAAGCCAATGAAAATAAGCGAAAGACTGCCTGAGACAATACCCACTACTGTCACTTGCATTGCGCCTGGTGGAAGAGGCATTATCAACGCTGTGGAACGGCGGGCGGAGCGGGGAAAGCCTGAATGTTATCAATAGTAGACAAGAGGCGAATTGGAATACTAGAGTGCCGAGCACTGTAATATATTAAATCGTTCCATCTATGTTGCGTTTGTTGGCTTGGAGGGCGTGATTAAGAAATGTGTGAGGCATGTGAGAAAGACAATTCTCGTAACCAGCATATATATACGAGATCTTTGTCTATTCTCTGTTCATCCCTACCTACATTAAACATAAAGAATATCTGACAATTTTCATTGTCTAGAACTTCTAATGAATCATTAGTCTTCCTAGGTGCTCTTCTTGACCATGACAGATTCAGGGGAGTACCACTTCGTGATTATAGGGGGAGGCACGGCAGGTCTTGTCGTAGCTACCCGTTTATCTGAAGATCCAAGCCAGCGCGTTCTCGTCTTGGAAGCTGGGGCCGACTTGAGTGATGATCCACGAATAAAAACACCAGCACACCACCCGGCTTTGCTTGGATCACAAGCGGACTGGAATTTTAAAAGTGAGCCTCAGGTAAGTAACTCCACACCCCTGGTATCAAAAACTCCGGGTTAATACTCTATAAGTTGAGTCTCAATGGAAGATCAGTCAATTTATACCAAGGAAAAGCCCTCGGAGGGTCAAGCGCTATCAACGCGCAAATTTTTGTTCCCCCAACCAATGCATCGCTCGATGCTTGGGGAACACTTGGTAATGACGGATGGAACTGGGACACAATGAAGGAGTATTATTCAAAGGCATTTAAACCTCCCGTAATTGATCAATCATCAAGAAAGGTGCTTGGAATAGATGGGTATTCTCCATACGATACCCCTAACGGCCCACTCCAACTATCATACGCCGGAAATCCAGAGCATCCCGTACGCGAAGCTTGGATGACAACATTCAAAAACAAAGGCTATCACGTATCGAATGACCCATTTCTAGGAATATCCGTCGGGGCCTTTACCTCCCTCTCCAGCGTCGACCCAGCGAGGAAAGAAAGAAGTTATGCAACTTCAGCATACTACAACCCTGTTAAATACAGGACTAACCTTAAAGTCCTTACAAATGCGACTGTAGAGAGAATTCTGTTCAAAGATGGCCATCGTACAAAGGCTATTGGGGTTCAGTACAGACATGGCGATAACGTACAAGCAGTAGCCGCCATTAAGGAAGTTATTCTTGCTGCCGGCGTTCTCCAATCTCCTAAGCTTCTTGAGCTATCAGGTATTGGCAACAAATCGATACTACGAAACAATTCAATCGAAATCGTTCAAGATCTTCCTGGTGTCGGAGAGAACCTTTACGATCATCCTGTTTGTAGTATTAGCTACGAGGTGGCAGAAGGCATAGAAACGCTTGATTCGGTGTTAAGGCAAGAACCAGAAGCCCTAGAAAAAGCCATGCAGGATTACACTGTAGATCAAATAGGCTTACTGGCATCCATGGGGGTCAACACATATGCATACCTTCCGATGGTTGATTACCTTTCTGAGAAGGGCCAGGAAGAAATCAAGCAGCTACTTGCTCAGCATCGTCCTTGTGGCAATGGCCCTAGTGAAAACCGAGAACGATCATACTATGAGTTCGCCGAAAAGATATTACTAGACTCAAATCAGCCTTCGGCGGCGTATTGCTCGCTTATAAGACAGCATCCTCTTCCGGTCGACCCCAACTCAGACTCGCCATCCGGACCTATACCCGGAAATTTTATTGCACTCGTCGCCACGCTTTCTCAGCCCCTTTCACGAGGAAGTGTTCACATCGCATCTAACGATCCATTGGCTGCGCCCACCATCGACCTTAATTACTTCTCCAACGAGATTGACATCGAAGTGTATGCACGACATATGCTCTACCTCGACACTATCGCCAAGTCATCGCCTTTCAGCAAATTGCTAAAGCAGCCCCTAGTTCGTCGCGACCCCGCTTCTCACCTCACCGATATTGAGACAGCCAAGAAATACTTGCGCACCAGCACGATATCTATGTGGCATATGGGAGGAACCTGCGCAATGCTGCCGGAGGAAAAAGGGGGCGTCGTGAACCCGAAGTTGAAGGTCTATGGCGTAGATAGCCTTCGTATTGTGGATGCCAGTGCGATCCCGCTCAACAGTACTGCTAATATGCAGTCTACTGTTTATGCATTTGCTGAGAGAGCAGCTGACTTGATCAAGCAAGACTACGGACTATAGTCCCCCCGGAATATGATTCGTATTGAAGGGTTCTTACAAGTGTGCTGAGAATTGATCATATATTTCTCTTTTGAGTTGGTTTCTGGCTGTTACTGGTTGGATGAAGAACTTGCACGCTCCTTATTAACCTCCTAGTTGAGCCTTGTATGTTACTTGGCATATATCTGATAGCTATTTGTATCTTGATTTTGGATAGTCTCAAATCTTAGTTGTACGCAATGAGAGGATCAGAACAACGACCGACATTATATCTTAGAATGACAATAGCCCTATTGAGTTGGCGTAGGTAGTACATATATATCTACCTACTTAGATTCTTGCTGTGTGGATCATCACTCAAAGAGCTATTCGATGCCGTCAACATCAGATATAGTTAGCATATATTGCTCTTACAATGGAAGGGTGCATAGTAATAATGAAAATTATGATATGTAGACCACTGCCATAGAAAACTGCAAGCCACAATCACTTAAAGCATGCCGGAGTTGATAAGAAGCAACGTTGTTCATCCCCCTACATAACGCCCCCAAGCCACCCAAGTCTTCAGACCCGATGATTAATTTAGTATGATCATTTCCAATTTATTCCGCTTTAAATTTTCTTGATCTCTCTCGGCGACCGAGTCATTTACTCGCATCCAATCTTGCGTTCCGTTCCTCTTCTGACAACATCTTGGCACAGCCAGTATTTTCTTCCCGGCATATTCTGCTAGGTCTATTGAAAATGGTAAACATTTACTTGCGTATTTGCCACCATCATTCTCTATCTCGATAATGTTGATTTGGAGTACCTCTGGGTCTCGATTATCGGCAGGCACTAGATGATCGAATGTGACGCCATAATAGTCAATGTGCCTAGATACACAAGGTGATGAGTGTGATAGAACATGGTGACAAGTACCTACGGTATGTACTCCAAACAGCTTCATGTCGAGATGTGATTAGATTAGAGAGATATGAATATTCCCTTACTTTGATGGTTGTGGCATTACCCAACCCAAATATTCGTCTCGTAGAACCATATCGCCGACGACACCACGACGGACATCTTGCCCGTAAATTTTCTGATACGTTAACCTTGCAAGTGCTGGACCAGCCGGCTGTGGAAATTCTAGAGACATGACATTGGTGCGCCATGGTATATCGGGAAAAAGTTTTTGGATTGATACTAATGGACCTTCAATCTGGATTCTTAAAGGCTGTTCAAGGGATGGGAGATGTAAAGGATGAGCTGGGCTCCTGATGCAGGCTGGAATATTAAGGTCAAGTGCCATTGAGTCTATCAAGTCTACGAAATAAAAGGCCTGACACCTTGAATGGAATTGAAGTAAATCCTATACTTAAATGTTTGGAGAATTGGTAAATACAAAAGTCATATCAAGAAATACTCTAACAATAATAAACGTTGTGTAACATCTATGTATAGACACCTTACTAATGTGGCGTTGAATGGTACCTAGGTACATATGTACCTAGATTGTAGATCTGGACAGCTTTATCTCGGCTTCCCGTCATCAGCCAAAGATCCACTTACAATCCATCCACTTACAATCCATCCATCTACCCATCAACGATTCCAGCAACTTCGTTCAGTCTTGTCAACAACACATATACACATCACCAAACGAGATAGCCAAAATGACCGTAAACATTAGCTCTTCGAATGAGTGGCAGCGCATATTAGGGTCTTCGACCATCGTAGTCACAGACTGTAAGTTCTTACCCGTTGCATCGTTTGCGATCCCGCCCGGCCGCTTACAAATGATCATGTAGTCTACGCCGACTGGTGCGCTCCTTGCAAAATGATCGCGCCTACCTTCGAGTCGCTAGCGACGAAATATTCCAAGCCTGGCAAGATCACCTTCTGCAAAGTCAACGTCGATAACCAACAATCCATCGCTCAGAGCCATGGCGTGCGCGCGATGCCGACCTTCCTCATCTTCAAGAACGGATCTGTGATCGAAACGATCCAGGGCGCGAACCCCCCAGCCCTGACTTCCGCCGTCGAAAAGGCCGTCAAGTTGGCCACCGTGAGCGTACCGGGCGCATCTTTCACTACACCCGGAAGAACACTGGGAGGTGGCTTACCTTCTTCTGGCACACCGGCGAGGCGAGGTGGTCAGTCGCTAGGCGGTCAGCCGTGGAAGTTCAGTCCTTTCAATATCATCAACACTGTTCTCACATTCTTCGGACTTTACTTCGTATCACTCTTCTCAGTAAGTCACATCCTTTTGGCCACCGCATCTGGTAAAATAGGTACTTAACATGGTGTTAACAATACCAACTAGTTTGATCCCTATAAAGCGGCTGAAAGGTCGCAATTCAACCTTAACAATCCGAGGGCACCGCCGGCACCGATCGATGTTAAGGGGCAGAAAGTTGGCGGACAAGGCGGTTCTGCTCGGCCTAGTGGGGGGGTTAGGACATTGGCCGATCTTAGTAAGTAAACGTGGGAGACGTGGTAAATGTGAAGATTGCTTGATCTTATAATTATGTCAAGTACTTAATGTAGGTCGCCTGGGGATGTAACTTAGCAGCCTAATTGAGTTTTCAGACGGATTACATTTTTCTGTCAAGAATAATAATACCTTTCTCTTATCCTAGATTACCTATGTAGGTAGGCTTTGTTAGTTTATCGGTTTTACATAGGTAAGCTAGTGCATTACTTTCCCATTGGATTGTCGAATGCCTTTGATAGCTGCATGGTAGGAACCTTAAATCTATGAGCTGCGTTAGAGCATGCGGGCTATGGGTCTACTGCGGGGTGGCATTCTAATACCCGTCTTTTAAGTGGATGGAACTTTTCAATGTACATGAGCTAGTCTAAAATTTCCTTAACATATGAAAAAGTTGTTCGCGAACCTTTGCCTTGCCATCATTCACACATATATTTGTTTCTTCTCTTTTAAGCTCAAGGTTCAAGAAGAACAGGCGCAATGCTTTCCGCAGCGAAAGCTCAGGGACCATGTCTTCAGTGTAGGCTTCGACTCCTCAACCTGTTTGAGAATGGCTTTGCTAGCCTGCGATCTGAAGCCCCGCGAACCTTGCCTCGGTCGACATATCCTAATATTAGAAGCTTACCCTCAAGTCGAAAGACGAATGTGCGCCTCTTCTCCACGACGAAGCGCAAACTTGAAGATTCGCAACCAACGGAAAGCCGTTCAAACTCCAGCGATATCGAAGTTGTGGTACGACAAGCAAAAGACGCATTTGGTGACACTTTACCAAGGGGTTATTTAAATGAAGAAGAATATAAGTTATACGAGCGACTGTACGGCGAGCCTCTACGAGAGACTCGGCCAGAAGATGTAGGCGTGCCAACATCTAACTTTGTCCCTGAAGATGCGTCCTACGGTCTATCGAAGAAAATCCTACTACGGGAAATAGAAGACGGGAAGCTAGAGGAACTCATCTACGGGACTGATATTGCTATATCTACCCCCAAAGGCTTCAATGATACCCAAAATATTCCTTCAGCGAACATGGAAAGTTCAGAACAACTCCCCTCTGAAGCTGGGTTAAGTCATGTTGGCGCCGTGGCCAAAAGCCAGAGAGAGTATGATGCTCTGTTGAGACTACAAAAAGACTTCGAAAGCACCCAGCTGCGAGCAGTTGATGAAGAGGAAATTGATGAAGATCCCGAGGAAGAAGATGATGAGCATGAATATGAAGAAGACGAAGACGAGCCAGATGCAAGGTTCCGAACCCAAGATAGTCGCGTTCACCAGTATACGAGAATGGGCCAATGGAGAACCCAACCCTCAACCATCCAGTTACCGAGACAGGACTTCGTCGGCCCAATCAGCGAATTGCTCGACCGAACAGATACCAAGCATATTAAAGAAGCAGCAGAGAGAGCTTTTGGTGGCGTCGGGTTTCCAAACTCGGTTGCAACTCCCGCAGTGAGGAAAAGTCCCGAGCAGAAACCCGTAGCCATGGCAGCAGGTCAGCACAAGATGAGTGAGATCGAAGCAGACGCTTATATTGCCATCAACCTTCCAGGAATGTACGCGTCTACGATGGGGATCCTAGTTGAAATCAGGAAACGCCTAGGCTCGGAGTGGATCTCCAAGCTCATTTCTAGGGGCAATGGCGAGGGCCCTCGTGTGCTTGATGTCGGCGCAGGCGGTGCGGGATTAGCGGCCTGGCAGCAAGTCCTTCAAGCAGAATGGGATCTCACGGCTGAAGGGAGCCAGAAGCCTAACAACGGACCGCCAGGCAAAAAAACGGTTGTGGTTGGATCTAATCAGCTGCGCCAACGGATATCGCGGTTTCTTGATGACACTACGTTCCTCCCACGCTTGCCAGATTATATACACTCTGCCAACATCCCAGATATGCTAGACGCAGGTGACAAGCCACAGCAGAGGAAGTCATTTGACATTATTATCGCCTCCCATCTACTATTACCATTGAAAGAGGGATTCCAACGCAAAGCTCTGTTAGATAATCTGTGGGAAATGTTGTCGCCCGATGGTGGAATTCTCATCATCATGGAGAAAGGTCACCCACGGGGCTTTGAAGCTGTTGCGGATGTTCGTTCTCGGTTATTAAATGAATTCATCGTTTCACCTACTTCGGATCCTCGACCTGATGATATCGAGATTGAGCAGCGAAGGGTCCGTGAGCCAGGCATGATTATTGCCCCATGTACTAACCACAAGGAGTGTCCCATGTATCTGACACCTGGACTCAGCAGTGGCCGGAAGGACTTTTGCCATTTCAGCCAGAGGTTTATTCGCCCTTCATTCCTACAAAAAGTGCTTGGTGCCTCGCACCGTAACCACACAGACATCAACTTTAGTTTTGTCGCTATTCAACGTGGAACTTTGCCCGACATGAAGCCAGTCACCGTACCTAAACAGAACGGCAGTATGACTGATCGCGCATTTAAGGGCTATGAGAACGATACAGAAGTACCGAACACATTGTCATTACCTAGAAATATCCTCCCTCCTCTAAAGCGACGCGGGCACGTAACGCTTGACCTATGCACACCTGCCGGAAAGATTGAGAGATGGACGGTTCCTAAGAGCTTCAGCAAGCAGGCATACCATGACGCACGCAAGACGAAGTGGGGAGATCTATGGGCTTTGGGTGCTAAGACTAGAGTAGATCGTAGTGTTCGACTCGGAAGAGCGGGTGCGGTAGGTAATGATGGTGGTGTACGGTCTCGCGAGAACGCAAAGGGCCACAAGCCGAAGGTTGTCCATCTCAATGCCGATTCGAGAGGTATCTACAGCGCCTACGAGAGAGTTAAAGTGCATGGCCCTTCTGACAGGAGGACTAAGGGAGGAAAAAAGGCAAAGCTGGAGAATTTGCTCAGGGAGCTAGAAGAGGATGGCTTCCAATAAGGAAGATGGACAAGTGTTTACCGTTGAATCTGTGCAACATCTCCTCGGAGGGTGTATTATTAGGTATAAATAGGTACTAAAACAGATATGTATGAACTATGAACGAACTACCTCCACCTGAGAATATAATAAGAATTATTATATGAAAGTCACATTTCCGAATTGAAGGATTCACTTACAAGATGTTATTTAGGATATTTCGTCGACTTAGAGATTTCCGCTCAGGGTCCGCGGAACTCGGTATGCAGCGACTAAACTAATTTCAATTGCTTATCAACGATTGGCTCGATAACATTATCAAGTGCGATTGCGTCAGAGAAACGCCCCTCCAAAACCCCGTGGGTCCCGCTGAAATCTTCCTGGGAGATGCCAGAATGCCGGGAATCGGTCCAGACTCTTCAAAGAATTCCGCCGCGGCGCTCATGGCGACATCGCCTCTAGTCGCGGATAACTTCTTAGCTAAGAACTATATATATTTTTCTTAGGAATTTTGTAAAGATATACTTACAATGACTAATTATGTCTTCTTCCCTCCATGATTTCTTCTTTCTTTTCCTTTAACTATAACTATACTTGTATAGTTGTTCTATTTCAGTATCGCTGCTAAAGGTACTTATTTCGTCTAAGGCAGTGGGAGACTTGAGCTATCAATTCGTCTTCAAGCGCCTACATGAAGGGGCCTAAACCGACGATGAATAGTTACATATCCCTCCTGACGGCGACAGATGCCCGATCACATGTCCATCTAATCGTCGGTACGAACCCTCTTGCGGCAGCGCGCTGTGGACAGTCGTTAAGTGCCGGCGCATCGCCGATCCTTATTGCGCCGGAGACAGCAGAGCTGTATTATGCGCTGCAGAAGCGCGTGGACGATGGTGAAGTGAAATGGGTAAAGAGCAAATTCCAGGACGAGCATCTATTCACATTGGGAAGAGAGGAAATCGATCGCGTTGTGGACGCTGTTTTTGTGACTTCGGGAGCTCGAGATCCTCTAAGTACGACATGCTACCGAAACCACCATAGTAGAAAAAACCCTTACTAATTTAAAACAGGCGCACATATATCGTCACTTTGCAAGCGTAACCGCATTCCTGTGAACGTTGTCGATGCGCCGCAATTATGCTCCTTCTCCCTCCTATCCACGCACGTCGACGGTCCGCTACAAATCGGTATTACAACGAATGGCCGCGGGTGCAAACTGGCGTCTAGGATACGTCGCGAAGTTGCAGCTTCGCTACCCCCGAACCTAGGATCTGCCTGTTCGCGACTGGGCGACGTGCGCAGGAAGATACAAGAGGAAGATCACTTGCTACATATGGCCCTGGCGGACGGAGACGATGTTGACGACTCGATCGACCAATCAGCTAGTTTCAATAAGCTCGTTACAGAGGCAGACTTAGACGCAGTGAAGAACAGGCGCATGCGCTGGCTTAGCCAAATCTGCGAGTATTGGCCGTTGAAGCGGCTTGCTGCTATCACAGATGAGGATGTGGCTAACATCTTAAAATCCTACGACGACCTTGGCTCTTCTAATCCAATTGGCAAATCTTCCCCCGCCAACAACGCTAGCAACCGGGGGCGCATCATTCTCGCCGGGTCCGGCCCCGGCCACCCGGACCTACTCACGCGGGCAACATATAAGGCCATACAAAGCGCAGATCTGGTGCTAGTGGACAAGTTAGTGCCAGCCGGCGTGCTAGACTTGATTCCGCGCCGCACCCCCGTGCACATCGCACGCAAGTTTCCGGGTAACGCAGACGCGGCACAGGCCGAGCTGGAGGAAATGGCCATGGCGGGCGCGCGCGAGGGTAAGACGGTCCTACGCCTCAAGCAAGGCGATCCGTATATATACGGGCGTGGCGGCGAGGAAGTCGAGCACTTCCGGAGTCAGGGGCTAGGCGACAAGGTTGTAGTCCTGCCAGGGGTTACATCGGCGCTATCCGCACCCTTATTCGCAGGGATTCCACCTACGCAGCGCGACGTTGCGGACCAGGTATTAGTGTGCACGGGGACAGGTAAGAAGGGCAAGGCACCGGCACCGCCGGAGTATGTGCCGAGTAGGACAGTCGTGTTCCTCATGGCGCTGCACCGCATTGCGGGGCTTGTAGAAGAGTTGACGGGGCACCTGGAAACGGAGAAAAACACAACTGCTGATGAAGCTCCTCGGCGCGCGCTATGGCCGCGAAATACACCCTGCGCCGTAGTCGAGCGCGCTAGTTGCCCAGACCAACGCGTCATCCGGACTACGCTGGACCGCGTCGTCGAGGCTGTCGAGCAGGAGGGCAGTAGACCCCCGGGACTACTTGTCGTCGGGCGCGCGTGCGAGTTATTAAATAAGCTTGAGAAGGGCCGCGCGTGGAGCGTCGAGGAGGGGTTTAGAGGGTTGGATTTTGGGCTGGAAGGGCTGGATCTAGGTGCGTGATGAGATGATGCATGGCGAACAGGGGTTGGGGGCTTAGCGGAGAAAGGCGCATAGGTGATTTGCATATGGGCGGCGTTTGAGGTATCTTGTATGAGATACGGTTTGAATCTTATATGTGTAGGTATATTTGTATTATACTTGTTAACGGAACACACTAACCTGCATGAAGTGGATGTCATTCATATACAATTCATATACCATTCATACATGTACCACTTATAGTCTTAGATCAGTCTTCCTAGGCAATAATATTGGTGCACTTACACCAAGGTAGACAGTCTTAGATACAGCTCATTATTCCCTACGAATCTAATACTTTTAGAGACACATAGTTGTAGTTATTCTTATTGTAACTATTTCTAACAGCGTATTCCTATAAAATTGCTTTATGTATTGTGACAATCTACCCGTATCCTATACACACCGCGTCCTCGTCTCGTCTTCTTACACCTCAAGACGTCTATTTCATCTCATAAGAGGTATCTAACCCTTTCTTCTTTACATATATTTAATCCCTGTCGTCGGGATGGAACACCAGCGCGCGAACCTCAATGCTCTCGCGCTTGGGCACGTCAGGCCCGATCGCCGGGTCCACGAAAGCCGTGTGCGGGACGCGGCGGGCGCGCCCGTCCGTCTTCGAGTCGAAGCACTTGATGAACAGGACCTCCTCGGGCGTGAGCCCGTACTTGTAGTACCAGCGGTGGCCGGGGGCGTAGCGGACGGCGAACGTCTCGCCCTTGCGGTTCGGGTAGATGAGCGGGATGGGCACGAGCTCGGCCTCGCCGACGGAGTTGGCTTCGGCGATGGCCAGCGGGTCCCTCAGGACGGTCTTGATCGGCCGCCAGACGTTGATGATTTGCACGCGGCCCTTGAGCAGCTCGGCGGCTTCTTCCGCGGGCAGGTGGTGCGGCACGCGGGATAGGGCCGCCGAGTACGTCTGGTCGATGTGCACGCGGTTTACGGGGCCGCGGAGCGAGGGGCCGCCGTCGGCGCCGCGCTGGTCGGCTGGGTTGCGCCGGATGGTGTGGTCGAAGATGAAGATCTTGGATGCGCCGGTTCTGGGGGTGGGGGTTAGCCGATGATACTTATATTTCTTACTCGTCAACTTACGCATCCTTCAGCAGCTGCTCGGTCTCGGGGTAGTATACCGCCTTGATATGGTCGTCGTCTAGGAAGTCCTTCTCCTGCGCAACATGGCGATAGAACTGGAAACCGTGCTTGTCGAGGGTAAACTCGTCTTCCCGACCTGACACATCCGTAATGTGGACTGGGTGAGACTCGGACGGCCGGTTCTGCGTCTCGGGCTTGTTTACGTAGGTAGGAGCCGGCGGCGAGCCGTCTTCCGCGTCCTTGTGGTAGTTTAGTAGGGTGTCGACGTCACGCGGTGCTGGAGCTGCGGGTGTAGCCGTTACACCAGCGGCTGAAAAAGCCGGGACAGATCTGGGGATTTGGACGTCTGGGGAGGCCATTGTGTGTTTTGTATACTTGTTGAAGGCGTAGTAATGCTTGTATACTTGTGTCCGATGTGGCAATGGATGGAGAGGCAAGTCTTGTTCCTTATATACTTCCTTATCGAAAGATGAACTCCTTAATCCGGAAATGCTGGGATATTGGCTGCTACCTCATCGATGGCTATCGGTACTGTAGTGCAAGTCCACTTGGGGTAAAGGAATAGTAGCTCCCCGCAATCACGCAAGATTGCGACAGTAGGGGGAGCTCTGTGACAGGACGTCACGCGCCCAGAGTATAAGATGATTGCCTACACCCTGCATCTAGACTCCAAGGGCGTGGCACTGATTAGAAATACTAATTTCAGGTTGTATTTGTCATATCTTGATTTCTAACTAAGAGGTACGTTCACTTGTTCAGTATTGCTGGTCTATAGCCTTTGTTTTCACTGACATCTATGATTTCCGTCTAGCTGCGGCTCAATATAGTATGAAGCTAGATTACACAACCACGACTGAATACCTACTATAACCTAATTTGAAAAAAGTTCCCGAGTATTACTCAACATCAATACACACAGTAAGCAGAGTTGTAAAAGGTACCATGTATTTAAACAATTAGTCAACATCATTCGGTACCCGTGTTAGCACAGTGATGGCTGTCCCATCATCTAGCACGTCTTGCTTCTCTTCCAACCTATACCCGCCGAGTCGGGGTAATATAACTGTCCATATAAGCCAGTATAGGACTCCGAACACAAGTCTACGAATTTGTAAGCATATGCGGTTATAATCTTAAAGACACTATTATTGGTTCTTTATGTTGGGAACGCTGTAACTCACATGCCGACGCCAACAATAGCGTATGTCGCATAAAATAGACCGCCGGGTTTCGGATGTGATGGAGGAAAAAAGGGGGCAGCTAGTAAAGAAAAGCATAGGATGATCCTAAAGATGACCGCCGGGATCCAGGCTTTGAACGGCCGTTTCAAATCTGGTCGCTTATATCGCAGCCAAATAAGTCCTATTGACGTTGCAAGTGCAAATACTTGTCCCGGGTAACCCTCAACTTCTAATATAAAGGAGTACACTTCGCTCGACGGCGGGAGTATGATGACCAGAACAGAAGGGATCCAGTGCACAATCAATCCTCCTAATGGCGCGTTAAAGGGCTTCGAGGACGAAAGATATCTGGAAAATGGTAAAAAGCCCGCACGAGCAACCTCCTGATTTAGACGCGCCTACAGTTGGTCAGAATCCGGGTCTTACACTGGTGACCTGACAAAAGCTTTGGAAGCATAAGCCTACCGTTGAAAATGTCACCACCATCACATTACCTGCTGCCGAGAGCGCAACGGCTAAGGGTAGAAACCGCTTGCCGATGTTAGGGCCAAATGTACGTTCAAAGAATAGCGCTGCAACCAGTTGACCGCTCTCTTTGATATCCTCGATGGGTACCACGGCGAAATAAGCGAGATTAGCAAGCAAGTACAAGAGGCACGCGGTAACCAAAGCCGTCAGAGAAACCGACTTCAAGGTTCTAACACTGTATCAACGAGATAGTCAGCCATTTGCTCGATTAGTAAACAACCCGATAGTTGAGACTCATGCATAGGTAGTTTAGGAATACTCAATCCCGGTCGACTCGATTAGGAAATTCGAACCGCAAGCCTGGCGGGAGGAAGGAGAGGCAAGGACTTACGGATCCTTCACTTCGTTCATAACGTTATTCAGGTTGGACAGTCCAGCATAAGAATAGAAGACCTTGAATAATGAAGTCGCAAGGGTCCCAAGATTCCAGTCACTCCCTTCCCATAGTCCTTCCCAAGATTGTATCTTCTTCGGCCTTAAATCCGCATCTTCCTGCTCGGGCCTAAATATTACGACGTAAAGAGCCGATAGCACCATGAATACAACAAGTCCCACCTTGATCCAGCCAAGGAAGTTTTGGATGCGTATGCCAGCTCTGTACCAGACGCCGTGAATAATTGTGATGACAGTAAGGAGTCCAACCGCCAGGGCCTTCCTGGAAAAGTCTCGAGCCTCGACGTCGAATACGAAATGCACATATTGGCTGAAGATGACGCAGTTGCTTGCCGTGAAACCTAAAAGCACGGCTTGAACCGCGATCATGGTCGAGGCAAAGAAACGCGGCCACGGATATGTGAACTCGAGGTATACCTTGTCTCCACCGGACCGTGGCAGCATGCAACCATATTCCAGAGATACCGTCAGGCCGCATGCTACGACGACGGCGCCAAGGATCCAAATCGAAAGCGAAAGACCCACACTTCCGACGGAGGACAGGATAACTCCCGGAACTGCAAAGATGCCGCTTCCGATAACTCTTGAGATGGCGATGATATAAGCGCTTTTCCAGTCGATGTTCCGGCCTAGGACGGACTCCTCGGGCAAGACATCATCCTCGAGATTTCCGAACTCGGGTGGTGAAGAAGGCCCATCTTCGTCATCCGTTGGGGGCTTGACGATCGAAGACGAGCGTATCGATGCCGAGTCTGCGCCCAACAAGGGGCTATCTTCGCCGTAGGACGTAGACATTTTTCTAGAAAGGCTCGGGGAAACAGTTCGCACACAGACGCGTAATTCTAGCTCATAGTTCCTACTACTGTCGTTTGTTTTATTCGCGATCGTGTATAACTAGAAGTTATTGTCCGGCCAGAGAGATTCGAATATTGGGAGCTGTTTATTAGGTTCGGGTATTATTGAGTTTCTCGAATATGAAGGATGCAAATCCATTATTAGTATTATTAGGTTTTCCGACGGACTGGAAATCGCACCTCGGACGCCCTCTGATTGCCTGAGCTGCTGACAAAAGTGTCTCTTGATCACTAAATCCAGAGGTTGCGCCATCCTCTTGTTTCACTGTGTGCCACTCAGCCCTGTTGATGTTCTCGCACGTCATCTCCCCTGACGTTTGCACCACCTTTGCTGAATAACCACTGAGATCTCTCAGCTGGATATTGAGCTTATCTTTGGGCTCGAGCTCCAGCCTATATGATAAGATAATCGATTTGAAGCTCTCTAAGGTTGGTATTAGTTTAGGATTTGGTTGTATGAATAAATAGCTTTTTAGTTGCGAGTTAAAGTTGATAACTATTTTTATTAATCTTCTACTATTGTTTATATACTTTAGCTGTTTGTTGGTCTGCTCTACTTCTATTAAGAGTTAGGTTAAGAGCTCGATATCACGGATCTCATTCTTATCACTAAATACCTCCTAACGTTACCGAGACATTGGGGGTGGATACCGGGTCACCCGGGGCGGTGTTTGACTTTACGGAGTCCGGTACCAGGTATTTATTCTTTTCTAATCCTTAGGCGTTGATTGGCTACATCCTACTACCCTTTTAACCTAGGCGCTTCTATTGACTCCATATTGACCCCATATTGAGAGTAGCTTATTGCTTATTGTAACTGGAATGAATATCATTGATTGGGCTGATAGCTCTCTGGTCAGTTCTCTTGGGCGGTACTATTTGATGATCACCCTAAATGTATGCAGTAACTGCAGTGACATGAGGACTGGATACTTCAACTAGGTACCTAATGTAAGTCTCTATCAAAAAAGCGCTCAGTACTCAGGGCGACACTTTAAACCCCCGTACTAATATTCTAGATGCTGCTCTATAGACAGATATGGTCCATTCGGTGACTCTCCCTTTTAGTGCCTTCCTTCTCTACTCCTCCTCATGAAACCAGTCTCACTTCAATCTCCCCATCAACATCGACATCAACGACGAACGAAGTAATAGGCTGGTTTTCATCAAACTCGTCACCATCTTTCAAGTATTGGCTAACGAGCGGATCCTGGACCATGCGCTCCACGGCTAGATTGATGCTACGGGCGCCGGTCTTCTTGTCGTATTCGTCACGGGTGATGGCGGAGCATACTGTTGCATCATTCTTGATACGGATGCTGATGTTTCCGACATAGACGTCCTCTTCCTTGTTTAGAGCTAGACGCACATGTCGAGCAATTTCGTTCTCTAAATCCATCAATGTTCTATGAGCAATGACAGCTGCCTCCTGTGGCGAAAAGACGAGGAAGGGGATGATTTCGGTAATTCGACCACTCAAAGGAGCTCCGAAATGTCCAGTAAACTCCTTGCGTAGCTGACGACACAACTTCTCTACCACCTTATCCTGAGCATCTTGGTCTTCCGAGTAGAAAAGAGTCTTTTCGTTAGCATTGCAGAATCCATGAATACTGTCATCCAGTTTATTTGTGGCGAGAATCCAAATTGTCTTGGAGCAGTCAATAATTTTCCCATTTCGACGATCTTCATAGCGGCCTTTTCTTACTTGTTAGTGTACAAAAGGTAAACGGTACAGCTGTCTACCTAGGTAGGTTTACTAACCATCTTGGAAAGGTAATAACAATGTGTTATGTATATCCTTGCTAGTTTTCTCGAACTCATCCATGAACACGATACATCGCTGCTTATCCTTGCGAACCAGAAAGTTATTCAATATTGAGCCTTCCTCATGCCCGCTATAGGGGGGACGTGGTCCGAACAGCTCGTTGTCTTGCTTAAATAGGGTACAGTCTACCACATGCAATTCTAGCGACATAAGGTCCCCGAATCTTTTAGCAAGTTCCGTTTTGCCGTGACCGCTCGGTCCTGCGAAGACCAAAATAAACGGTTTTCTCTTTTGGAGTGCAAGGTAACTTATGTCTATTAGCTATAGAACGTACATGTGTAGAAGCCTGGAACTTACACAAGAAGCTTTTTTTGGAGCCAGCGTGTTGCAATGGACTGAGCGACAATCATTTGGTGAAGGCCTAGGACTTCCCCAGCGCCTTGTCGATTGAGCACTTCTTTCTCTCGACCGGAGTGCGGCATGAACTTGCTGGACCTGTAGAGATCATATCGCTGTGACAGTGTTAGAACCTCAGCGAGATATTCCCGTACCTCCTCTGTGCACCATTCCTTGTTATCTTCGTTAATGTCGTGAAGTTCTTCCATAATCGGCCCTCCCTGCGGCAAATCTCGACAATAGGGATCATAGAACGCTTTAGGGATGACCCGAGGGTCTGCGCCAAATCTAAGAAGAGTAGCAAGTGTCTTTGAGGCCTGAAGCATAGTTTTGCCTCCATGAAGAATAGAGAAACCGATTGCGGGAATGGCACTAGGCCCCCACGTCGCGTTAGGATCGCCTCCGTGCTTGAGCCACTCACGAAGTATACCGATATCATTAGTCGAGATGACATAGAAAATTGCCGGATACCCATCAATTGTTTCATTCAAATGCGTATACAAATCATCTTTATCGTAGTACCCTAGGTATCTACGGATACGGTCGGCGTCGAAATAGCCAGCTCGAATTGCGCCCAGGAGTTCGCGGAGCTCAAAGACATGCGGGTCAGGGGGCTCATTAACGATAGACCTATCAGGAACCGGAAGTGTTGGCAGCTTAGGCATCCATGAGTTGTCTTCATTAAGACCTTCGTCTCCAGCTTGTGACGATTCAAGTGAATTTGTCATAACCCGGGTGTCATGTTTGTCACTCGAATTGCTCAGTGAGATATCATCATCAAACGGAGGGACGGCTTTAAGGTATTTCTAAACACTTGTTAAACGAGAGGCCTGGAAATTAAAGAGGAAATTCAAACCTCAGATTCTTTATATTTTTCTATGGCCTCTTCGACATCATTTTCATAAAACTATAATATTAGCGATTTCAATATTGTGGGAGCCGTATGAAAGCTCACTTCTAGAATATCCGACGCGGTGTCTCTAGAACAGCTTGGGTACTGTGCTAGAAATCGACTTATGTCTTCTTCCTTTGGAGCAGTAGACATGATGTTCTGAAAGCAAGATCTGAACAGGTAGAATAAAATGAGAATACAAGATGTCGTTACGATGTATGAAAATATCAGGGGCATACAAAAATATTAAATAGGCTCTCACATAGGTACCCATGGGCATTGGGTACCTAATAGGTCGGTAAGTGCTAGAGAATTCGACTACGAAGCTATTCCTAGACATATCAAGGCTACGAATCGTAATGGGTACCTATGCTTTTACTTCTTTGATCGTTTGGCATTGTATATTTTGTAACTGTGTCACAAGGAAGAAAGCCCTTTCTTCATCCATCTATAGAATAATCGAGCGGTTAAACTAGGGTATTGTTTGCAGTTGTTGAGCCTAGCCTAATCGGTGACTATCGATGGTATTCGAAGTGGCTGCCTATTGACCAGGTAATATAGGTCGAAAGCATAAGAAATGATCTATAATTATTCGAATCTATTCTATTATATTTCTATCTGGCCGTCAAGTCTGAGACCAAATACTCAATATAATATGAGCAGCTCATATAACTCTTGCTACCATATTCTGCCCGATGTTTGCGTCACGGATAGGCACAGTAATAGTTCCCGAATATTCGTCGAGGGATCCACCTAAGGTTAGGCACATACGGAACGGTGCCGATTTCCAATTTTACTTCCGCGCCAGTTTTTGTTTTCGGATTCTGTTTGTAAAGAATTCGTTGGAATCATCGCATAGCTTTCGGGATGTTAGATCCGTTTGAACTGGCTCTGTCAAGATGATGACCGAAAGTTTCTTGATGGTCGAACTTAGAGGAACTTCTTATCCTGCCATCAATGTAGAGATAGTTATATCGAAATATATAACAAGATACTTACCTAGGTACCCTACCTATGTTTCTACCTTACTAACACGTCCGGCTTGGAAAACCATTATCCTTTTCGAGATTTTGATACTGTGGTTAATAGGCACGTTATTTCCACTTCAAGTCAAGTTAGCACAGCCATGACAAACAACAGTGTACCTCCGATGCCACTGGAGGCATCCGGAAATATGACCATGAGTATGTCAACTACTACAGCGACATCGCGAAAGTTACCGATGCGGGGACCAGTTTCCCGGACGGTAACTGGAGTGCAATTTCCATCGGATCAATCCATACATCCCAGTCATACAACAACAGCAACAACCTCGAGAACTTCCACAACAAATAGCTCATCTATGGCCAACATACAGCTTAATCGAACTCGCAGTAGAGAAAAAGCCTTGAACATGGAACGTATTAATCTAGCGGGACAACTCAGTGATCAACAGAAGCTATGCGCAAGATTGGAAGCTACTATCATTAGTCTACAGGACGAGGTAACTAGCCTTAGTATTAGCAAGGAAACACTCGAAGCCGAATGTGAAAGGCTTCACGGACAAATACATGCGGCAGATGAAAATTCCAAATCTCAGACTACCGAAGCTGAACAGCGAGAAAAGGCTTTGTCGGATAAAATTACAGATCTGGAATCCAGACTCAATAAAATACTCAAGAGCCTCGAGGATACGAAATACGACCTAGGCATGGTTCAGTTAGCCTACACTCAGGTTGTCAATGCTCGTAATCAGCAAGTCAGCAAGGTCCAACAGCTTGAGCTAGACCTTAAGGCAGACCGAGCTAAAATCCACGACCTCAACGACTCGTGCAAGAATCTACAAGAAAAGAATTACAACGCAGACCTTGCTATTTACAATATGGAAAAGTCACACCAATCGCGCGAACGCGAGCTTCAGCAGCGGCTCACTTCCAAAGGTACCGAGATTAAGGACCTTAAGCGAGAACTCAACACCCTTCGAGGCACTTCTGCGGATGCTGTTGCGAAGAAAGAAGCTGTGCAGAAAGAACTTGCAGCTCGGAGTGATGAATTCAAGGCAGAATCCCAAAAGTTACAGCATAGTTTCGACGAGCTACAAAAATCCACCGCACCCTTCGACCAGACGATAGTTATTTGTGTTGATGTCAGCGGCAGTGTAGCTTCAGTAATCCACGAGGTTAAGCAGGTCTACAGAGACGTCTTGCATATCATCAAATCAAATAACAGCAATGCTGAAGTTGCTGTTGTGGTTCATGGGAGTTATGTGAAGATGGATCCTTCGCCTACCCAAACCATTAAAGATGGGACGTTTCGGATTCTGGACGGCATTAATAGTATAGGAACCGAAGATTATACTTATTGCATGGAACAAGCCAGAAACATCCTTCACCGTGTAGGTGTTGGTAGCAAAAAGTGTATAGTACTTATTGGAGATGGAGATGCGATCTGCTCGAGCAGTACCTCCCTTTTCGCAACTTGCGATCAGCTGAAGTCCGCAAATATTCAGGCGCACTCAGTTATCATTACCAATGTTCCAAATCGGTGTAGATACGCGGAGATGCGAGCTATTTCCAAGTCTACTGGTGGTCGAGTTGAGGACAAGTATACCTACTTGTCGGCTATTGAGGAAATTCTCCGTCATCAACGCGAGCAACATTTCAAGGCCCTCTAGTTCTGATTTCTAGTTTTTTAACCTCCAATAGGATTATGGTTAATGATGTTGATCTGATATCGCCTGACGCTGTTTCATACTCAAGGCTTATTTTGGAGGGAATTGGGTTGTCACTTGAATGCGGGTTTAGTATAACATGATTGCATTGCTGTTACTAGGCTTAGTTAAATGATAGGGGTTGATATCCTAAAGGTTGACAGATTAGGTGCCTACACATACGACTATTCACATCATCGTACAATTTATGACCTTGAACTTGAATTCTTTCTATCTAGATACCTATCGCTCCGGGATAACACCGAGGTCGTCACTCTCGAATAGTTATTTCCTCACGAGGACAAGGTCGGTCCTTTGCACTCAAGACATCATAACAGATAAGTTGGGTACCTGCAGCTTACTTATTCGTGAAACAATGATTTGTCATTTATGAGAAATCAATTAGACTTCAATCGGCGGATGGAAGGAGGCAATACCTATGTAGAAATCTGCGTTTGCATTTAAAGGTTGATTTGGATAATATTCGCCCTACTTCGGCTACATACATACCTAAACACTGAAAATTTCGAAGACATCACCAATTACTATCCCAACCGTTTTCAACTATTATGAAATATGATAAGTCTAAAATATAATCGGCTGACATTGACAAAGTCTTCGGCTAAAAGCATCATAAGAGTAAATCGTACCTTTCTTGGCCGCATTAGGTATTAGTAAACAGCAGTTCTCTATAACTATATAGTTTATATGGGTTTCACTTACGAGATCTCTATAGATCATTTTCCTAAATCATATTCTACCTCATCCTATCCTATTCAATCAAGATGAAATACGTCCATTCTCTCAAGTTGAGCCGGCCAGCAGTTCGTACCCTTTCCCCAGGTTACAACCTATTCCGTTATATCTCATCGACTTCGGTCATGAATGGTACTAGCGAACAAAAGGGAACACCGGATTGCACTGAACCGCACAAGGGACCAATGGAGTCCTTTTTCGCCCAATACCCCGAATACAAATATGATGGCACTGTGCCGCTATGGGACGAGTTTAAGTCGCTGTGCAAATGCTATAAATGGACTAAAAAAAGCGATTCCAGGCGTCAAGCCCGATGTCAATACGATGATGCCATGAAAGCAGAATTTGGATGGAAATATAATCCTGACAATATATCACTATCATCATGGCAAGAACTTTGCCGTACTCTCGAAATGTCCCCCGTCCCCCATACAATCATTCCTTGTAAAAAGGTTTGTATCCTACGAGTCTATTTTCTGAAGCCTAGTTGTTATGAATATCATCAGATATGGACTAACAGTACATGGTTAGGGAGTTCTTTCGGTGTTCGTTAACCTCGTTAACCTTGTACATTGCCAACAAACTGGTGAGCGAGTGCACTTCTTTTCGAATTTGGAAGACCTCCAGAAATATACTAGGGAGTCAAAGGAAAGGATCTTCCGTAAGGAAATAGCTAAGGCACAAGGACCGTTACGATATCTATTGAGGAAGATATTATCGTAACTATATCAGCACGGTGGGAACGGGAATGGGTTTTAAGAATTTTGGTATTTCTATAATAGGTTTCCTTTTTCTACCGTAGGGTTGCTTTTTGATTCCGAAAACTTGTATTGCTAGCCTGGGTTTAGAGCTATCTTTGGAGTAAGGGGACTTCGCTAAAGTCGTGTGGTCACTGTATGAAGAATCAACCTGGTTTTTGGAGTAATTACTTCCATTTTCGTAGAATTTTAACATGGTTTCTGATTTTCTACCTGATATAAGTAGACACGTATATGTTAAGATGCTCATGACCTACTCGATTCAAGCCCTTCGATTCCTTGCGGCGGTGTTCACGGTCCTGTTTCCTAAGGGACCTTAAATTATAGCGTACCAAGTATTAAAGCGGGTGACGCAGTCCTGATCTGTTGAATCATGCTAAACCAGCTTTTTCAAGTCTCATACAAGGTAATATCTAGTATTAAGTTTGACGGAAGTTTTCCCTGAATATTATAACCGCACTAAATGTTGTTATCACTATTTATGTCAGGATTCTAGATGAGACATTTAATAGTGTAGGGTTGAAATATATTAGACAGCTTGGAGGAGCCTGTGAGAAAGGGGGTTAGATATGCCAACAACTCACGACGTCCGCATATTGTAGTAGGTAAAACTACCACTGATCCCAGATATAATTCTATTAATTGTATAATACTCAGTCAAATTTAGCAATTGTAGTAGCAACACTTCGCAGGGACTTCGCTATTCCCATCGTCCACACTAAGACGGCTCATGATACAGCTGGTGATGTGATAATAGCAAGATCGTCAAAGAGTCTTCTTACGGAATGGAAGTGGAGTGGCTAGCTGAAATGATATACCATTGTGCTGACACCACTACCTTGTATGAGTTGATGGGGTCCTGCTGTTAGCTCGCTCGAAATGTCTTGGCAATACAATTGCTAAATTATTTGTTACACAAAGGCTTCCAAATCGTGCTTTTAAGTCATTATAATATCGCCGAACTTCTAGGTACTATATTAATCTAGGAAAAACTAGGGTTCATTCTTTCGCAAGCTATGCTACTATATTAAGTAACATCTCATCATTTCGCAAACAGTACCATAGAGACGCCATGACTACCACTTGCCAAGCCAATGTTTTACAGTCACGAATCTCACCTAGACCACATTAAATTATTTAAAACTTAGAAGTACACTCTTAATAACCTATAGACTATATGGTTTATTACATAATGTACTCAGCCCCCAAGTAGCGCTTCTTTAAGCAGCCATTTACATCGCTGCTGACGTTTTCTAGTGACTAGTTTGCCCATGGCTGTAGCTAAAACTAAGCTATAATTTCCTTGCTGACTATGGGTCCTAAAGAGACATGCTCTAGACGCTCTGATGCTGGCGTCAACTTCAGTCTTGGCTATACCAATAAACTCTTCTGGGAAGGTAGCATAGCCAGGTTAGCTAGCTAGCTATAGTCTAAATCAATTGAACCAGTCTATAGAAAGAACATCGTGATCGAAATTAGATAATGTAGAGCCAAGCAATCCGCTTTTTATCACGTTGTCGCTGGTTCCCTCAGAAGGACTCTCACGTATAAGAAGTCCCGACGTCGACGCGGTTGAACTTTTAAAAAATCTCATTCATCAGTGTCACCACTCCCAAGCCGAGTCTTTAGAATCTAAATTTCATCATATTTCAAGAATCATCATGAAATTCGCATCAGTTTTTGGTGTCTCCGCCGCCCTTATAGGGTCTGCGCTTGGAACAACTAAAATCCCTGGATCTTGGTTCCATGATGGTCTGTATTTTACAATATTCTTTTATCCCAAACGCTAACATCTGTCAGATGATGGTTTCGGCAAGGGCCACAAGGCTGCCATGGCTGCTGTGCCTATGTTCCATTTTGGTCGTCCTCATGGCGCAAATCCATGCTACCCTGAGTCGGCACAGATCAATGGCAAGCAAGTCGACGGCAATGATCCAGACTCAGGAAACTGGTCGAATCTTGGTAGGGGTTGCGCCGACCCTGGCCCGTGGATTAATCCTAAGAATGGTGGTCCAGGGCAAGGAAACCCCTTCCCAGTGTATTACACTATCAACCAGTGCAAGGATCACGAGTTCCGTGTGACCTACAGCATTTATTTCAAGCATGATTCCGGGCACAAGAGCGACTGGGAGGTAGTCTCGGTTGTGTGGCAAGGAGATAGCAACAACATGTGGACTAGAAGCCAGCTCATGTTGGGCCAGCACGGCGGCTACGTAACAAGGAACTGGGGTGATATTCAGAATACCTTCAACGAGTAAGCAGGTTGTCGATATTTCATACAGGTCTATGTTCTAACATGCAGTTAGCTCGGGCGATAAAAGCACCAATGGGGCCAAGAACCGTGATCACGCTAAAGTCTACGTCGGTGCTTTCTACCACGCCATCTTCGACACTCGCAAAACATCTATCGATACCGCTGATCCTGCTGATAAACAAGCCGAGTTCCGTTCTAACGACTGGTTCATCTGGCCCTGGGACAGCCTTGTTCAGCCCGGCTCACTCATTCACTGTAAGTCTAGAAATGAATGGTTTCATCTCGTCTAGGGCTACACTAACCTCATCATAGCGGACTGGGTTTGGGGAAAGGCAGATACTAACCCCCCTACTCTCAGCGACTCGAGCAAGGGCCAGTACATCTGCAAGCACTAATCAGATACAGTTGTTGAACATTTTTCGTTCGCTCATCTACACGAGTCCTTTGACGTGGCGAGGATAGAATTTTGAAGTTGTAGAGCATTTGGTTTATTAGAAATTTCTGGCAGCATAAGTTCTCGAGGGGGGTATCATTAAAAGATCTATCACATCATTGTTTCTAGCATTATAGACTATTATAGACTAGTTCTATGCTCATTTAGCGATGAGCTTCGGATACTTGTTCTATTCTTTGTATTCATTATATATATTTAGCTTATTTTTATGTATTAACTCTCTTCCGGACTCCATTTTAAATTTTATATAGATTATTAGAGGTGTTGATAGATGAGCCGAGGTACATAATTCGATGAGATCTTCAGCTGTGTTTGCTTTGTAGGCAAAGGAATCACGCAGTATTGCATAAAGCACTCGTAGTTTAGAATCAATACTCCCTTCACGTGGATCTACAGCAAATGGTATACTATACTTTGAAGTTGGTATATTTTTGTATCCTATTTGACACATATATCATCCATAACTAACCCTTATTCCAATGGTGGAGCACAATATCAACTAAAAAAAAATCTACTAACAAATCACAACGCACAACATTTTCTATCACGGCATTTTAAGTCTCTCGTTCGTTTTCGGTATTCCAAATACCATTACATTTTTGTTTTGCTTCTAGTCTCATGCTTCCTAGAATGTTGATTCATTCAAACGTTATCAGGAAAGCAGGATACCTAGTGTACTTCTAAAGCCTATGCCGATGGCAACGATTTTGTAGCATCAACACCTAAGTTCAATAGCTGTCTTTCCATGTAAGCGAGGGCAGAAGTTGCAAGTACTTGTAGTTTATGATCTGGGGGTAGTTGCAAGGGAAGTTCCTTTTGATGGATTGGCGGATTAAGATCAGTTTCGCTAAGACGCTTCATGAAGCTACAAGCTCGCGTCGATCGTTTTGCGCAGTTAACACAGGGCTCCCCTGCACCTTGCGAGACACACTTGATATGTGCTTGGCGACATCTCTCACAACTCGTAATAGCTTTTGATCCACCTCTCTTGCGCTTCTGTGGGAGTTGCTTAACTTGTTTTCTTGTTGGCTGGTGGCCTGTGGAACTCATAGACCTGATTTTACATGGCGGATGATCGGGGAGAGGAACGCGCTTTTTTATAGTCATAGTGACTTAGTGAACAAGATATTTCAACTATTCAGCATGGAGAGGCAGTTTAATATCATCTCTCGAGACCATAGCTTAGATCACAGGAGGTAAGCATTAGTTCAATCAGGGGTGAGGTAGCCAGTGTTAGAAAACTTGTAATGAGGAATAAATTCACTTAGATATATTATAGATACCGACCAACTATATGGTAGGTGTTAAAAGTGAACTAGAGATATAGAAATACTTGAAAGAATAATACTTAATAAAGCCATCTTTTACACCGGCATCTGTGAATCTAACCTTTATGCAACTTTACCTCAATGCACTCGTATAGTGAAGTCTTAGCTGAAGGTTAGATAAGCATTAGAAGTCTATAAAAAATAGTTAGATGTGAGAGAAACTACAACTGTAGATTACACTGTATTCTTTGAAATGCTTTCATGTACGTGACTTTTGAAAGGTGCCAATACCACATACGAAGCTCTGGGCAGAAGTCTTGCACATGTAAGCTTGGCAAAGCAAAGTGCGAGTAAAAGGTAATTGCACGGTCTTATTTAAACTATAGTAGCTGATACCGCTATAAATGTAGTGGTAAACCACCTGGGTCTAGTGGACAGGCCACTATCTGACCATCAGCTTAGCATGAGGCATATACAGTGTCAATAACTGGACATGTGCAAGACTTTTGGCCAGTAGACACTTTGTGAGCATTTTGGGCTAATCATTTAGGGGGAAATAGCTATCAGATCTGGCTATTAATTCTTCCGAAGCCTACTATATCCGTATAGCTTTTAGAACCCATATGTAGTTCTAACCTTCGACATGAATCGCCGAATCTGTTTGCCACACAATAGGAACACGATGAGCATCAAGTTGTTGGCTAAGAACACTCCACCAAATGCCCCTGCAATTATTGCTGCGTAGCCGCTTTTGGTTACCCCTGAAAGAATGTTAGCAATTTATTCCTTATGTGACCTGAAATCAGGATAATAGGATTTCTGAGTTAAAACTCCTCGGGGAAGGCGAAGAGATTCTTGAGATTTCATACAATCGAGAACGCCATAGCCTAAGCCGAAGCTGACGGCCTGCTTTCCAACATTTATCGCAATGAGCATTTCGGACGTATCGCTATTGTAAGAATCAACAGCATATGCCAATGTAAAGCAGTAATAGAAATAACCGCCGAAAGATGCCAGACCAGATCCGATAAAAAGCCTATCCAGTGTAAGTTGAGTTCTGCGGTGAGCCCATAAACAACTAAGCCCGCTGGGCCTATTATCATAGCGGGTAGCATAACTCCTAATCTCATCTCGGCTTCGCGAATGCCATTATTGCGTCTAGTCAAGTAACCCGCTAGTAGATCCGATGAGGAAGTAAAGGGGAGCGCAAGAATAAACCCGATGAGAGATCCAAGCGACTGCACGCCGGAGCTAGCCTATAGATAACCATTAACTAGACTTCTTTCTAGGTATAAAACAAAGCCTGCACATACCTCTGACCAGTTGTATGGAGGTGCGGTTATCTTAATTGGGAAGACGTAGTTGAAAGCCAATGCACCTAACCCTATTATAGTTCCGAAAGAGGTGATAACCCATAAGACTTGGGGGACTAGGAAATAGGTGAAAGGTCGCCACATAAACGTATGAAGACGGACGTCTGGATCGACGCGGCCCCATGGGCTAAGTGTTGATAGGAACGTTTTTCGTTTCGGCATACTCGCCGCCTGCTCGACGACTGAGTCGTTAGGCTTTTCGAAGGCATTAGACGCAGTGTCATCCGAACGCTCTGTAGAGGTATCGTGGACCATATGCGCCTTCCGATCGTAGGATGTTTCCTCAACGAAAATGAATGCAAGGATAAATAGTGCACCGGCGAAGGCGACAGTGACATAAAAGAAAAGCCTCCAAGAGTACTTGGTTGGTAGCATATATGCAGCTGGTATCGTTGCCATAGAGGCGAAGCACAAGCCGACTATTTCAAATAACATAAGCAGAAGGTCCAGTTATAGGTTTAAGTAGTGGTCACTTCCATACATGTATAGTAGCCGATATGTTTCCCTCGCTCATGAAGGAAGAAGATATCTGACACGAGCTGGACGGGCAAAGCTTCGCATATACCAGCACCAAAACAGTGTATAATTCGACCCGCCCTATTAGAAGTTCGATCTGTTATCAGTGGTGCTGATTCGCCGTCGAGTATCATATAAGGCGATAGGACAAGCTGACTTACTGTAAATAGTTAGCCGGTAATAACAATTGAACGGTACCTGGACGAATAATAGAATAATAGGTATCTTTATATCTTAGAACTACAGGTCTTTATACGTACCATGAGTCCACCAAAGTCATTGGCCTGAGAACATCCCGCAAGGCCGGCAATGAACTTCATTAGGAGATTAGCGAGGAAATCCGCCCCGTGAAAATTTATAAACTGGACCTACAGCTAACAATGACCCAAGCATCACAGGTCGCCTTCCGAACTTCAGGTATAATGGCACGAGGATGAAGGAACTAAAACCATATGCGAGATTGGGATATGATATAAGCGTGGACGCTTCCGCAGGAGTGATGTCGAATAGTTCCGACCATAATGTCAAATAGGGGCCAGGGCCCAATAGCGCTGCATTACCGAGGAAAGAGTAAAAGCAAATAACTACCAGGATAATTATCTTCTTAAGACTTCGGCCACTACAGGGTTTTTTTGAATCGTTAATAGTAGTTTCTCGGCCTTAACATCAACTTCAAGAGTCAGGGGCATACCTGTAAAGGGTCGTTGGGATCTTCGGCGGGCACAGGAAAAAGCGCCTGGCCGTTGTAAGAATCATCTCCTTCTGTTTTCCAAATAGTCAATAACCAATTATTGGATACAACATCGGGTTTTACTAACCCATGGTCTGGACATTGACAGTCCCAGGGATATCTTCGTGCGCATGGCTACGCACTAGATGCGTTCCGCGGCTTTGAGGCCCGCTAACAAGTCTACGAACCATATCGATATACAGAAAATGAGTAACCTTGCGGAAGAGTTATACAGAGAAAATAATATCCAAGAAGAAGCGGAAAACACCACCGAATATTCATATACTTTGATGGGCGCGGAGCTTGTTTTATATATCCTTCCCCTGTAACGATAAACTACCTCTTACCACAGGCATTCGGCAGATTCTAAGAGCCTTCGCTTTTCTCTTTAGACGAGCTTACTAACAGATTATTATCTGCTTGGTGTCTCATACGGCTACAGCATCTATGCCGAGATAAACACTGGTAGATATCTATAGGTCCCAATTCTACGATAGTTAAGTGTGATTGTATTAAATGAGTCTTATGTTACATTTACCCCGCGATTTCTACCTTAGCTGTGCGGGTGTTGACGTTTGTTGCCAATGATGTTTAGCCATCATAGTTCAATTAAATTCCCGTGTGGAGATATTTACTGTTCCTGGACTACTCGGGGTACAACTTAATCTACTGCAGAGCCGATGAAGCAACAAGGGACCATGTGAGGTTGGTGGCTCGACCTTCCGCTCCACACAATACATTAGCCCAGCCTGACCACGAATTGCCAGCATTCAAGTATTAGATATCGTCCCATGTCATGATATTTGACCCCACTAACCATTATAATGTATTATCAGGTTTAGTATGCAATCCATGGACGTAGAGTCTATGATATCCTGTCATCTTCACAGATCTTGTGATGATCCACTTTTACCCCTTTTCACCCCCTTTTTTCAGAATTATGAGCATAGTAGAAGGCAGAGAGTATTATAGGAGTGCTGAAGAAGTAAAGGTATATTAGCAGTTCGGATGGCTCAATTAAATAACTGAGTTACTTCATGAGTGAAGGGGAAAATCTGATTTATAGACGTGTTCTCGCCAAGATACCTCGTGCTATATCTAACAGCAGTCCCCTCGACCACTTATTTCATCAAGAAGACCAGAAGTGACATTGAGAAGGTGTATACTCATTGAAATGACATTATACTCGTAGCCAATCATAATAGGTACCTTATTAGAGTATATGTTTGAGATACCATGATCAGGATTTATCATTAACGTCTAGAAATCGCCGATAAATATAATGGGCACTTACAATTTTCCATTAGTACAATTACACCTAGATACTCCTACAATAGCGTTTTAGGTTAGAGCCAGCAGGGTGTTAGTTGTTAAAACTGATGATGCTAACTTTTCTGGCCAGGTAAGTGTTGTAAAACCCCTTAACCCTTAGACGCGATATTTTGAAATACCCTTACGCGCTACGCCACTCTGGAATAAGTCTGGTCACCAACTTAAGAACAATATTCCAGCCAAGTCTTCCACTAATAGCCTAGGTTACCAGGACACTTAAAATGAAACCAGCCAATAATTTCAATCTGTGCCGCACTTAGAGGTATAAACGCCATAGCTGAAGAGTCTATAACTGTAGTGTCAATTGTGGGGCGGATGGATTTCGGAGACTTTATTCTCAATTGAATTTATTTCCTACCAACACAATATACCACACTCAGTTATAACCTCCCGACGATGTTCCGACTATATCCTATGTCGTCCCGTTCGCCGTCTATCCTTCGCGGCCGCCATGTTGGATTTCAATATGGTCGACCATAAAACCTGCCGCCGTCCTTTAGTCTTACATTGTCGGGGTTTCTTTAAAGCTAATTGTATTGATAAATATTAACACTACTACATCAATAGCTTGATGATATGACCATATTATAATCAATTCGAAGAATCATATTTTCTTAATTTATTTTTATTGCGGCTTGAACTTATACAGCACAAGTTTCGCCATGGACCAGACCAAGGCCGAGTCACCCAGCGACTTAGATCATGCCACACGTATAATAGATGACAGCAGCTCTCACTCTGATAACCTTACCACCGGGAAGAAGTTCAACCAGAGCAAGCGGTTTTGGGCTATTATGGCTACTCTTTCGGTTACCGGTATCCTCAGCGCCCTCGAGAATACGGTCGTAACTACTGCGCTACCCTTCATTACTCAACACTTGGAGCTAGGCGACAACTACGTCTGGGTAACGAACGTGTTTTTCCTAACAGGGTATATACCTAGATATAAGTCTCCTATATCGATGATCTCAATGCTAACCGAATTAACAGCGCCGCTGTCCAACCCTTTTTCGGGCAGTTGGCCAATATCTTCGGACGCAGATGGGTTACCATGGTCATTGTCTTCTTTTTCACCCTCGGGAGCGGAATCTGTGGCGGTGCCACAAATGGCGCTATGCTAATTGCTGGTCGCGCGGTTCAGGGAATCGGCGCTGGCGGTATCAATATTATCATCGATATTATTGTGTCTGATTTGGTACCTCTTCGGGAGCGAGGAAACTATATGGCTATAGTTCTTCTCGTGTATACCGTTGGGACAGCGTTAGGCCCATGGGTTGGCGGCGAAATCGTAGCCCATACTACCTGGCGATGGGTATTCTGGATCAATCTTCCTGTAAGTGTCTCATCCGCGTGAACTCCATATCGGCATTTCTTAGAATATAAACCTAATTGACTCTTGGCAGGTTGGTGGCACCGCGATGGTTATGATCTTCTTTTTCCTCCAAGTTCGGTATAATAAGGAGATGTCGTTCCTTCAGAAGATAAAGCGCATCGACTTCGGTGGGAACCTGATACTAGTTGGCGCAACGGTCTCTATCCTATATGCACTTACCTACGGTGGTACTAGGTATACTTGGTCCTCTGCCAATGTCGTGACATCCCTGATTATAGGGTTTGTTGGTCTGGGGATTTTTATGTGGTTTGAGACCACCAAATGGGCAAAGGAACCTGTTGTGCCGCCGCGCCTGTTCGCAAACCGAACCTCATGCGTAATTTTCGGCATCACATTTCTCAACTCGGCACTATTATATTGGGTTCTATTCTTCCTTCCTGTATACTTTCAGACCGTTCTTGGAAGTTCTGCTGCGAGAGCCGGAGTGCAGATCCTTCCCTCCGTTCTCATCGCAATCCCGGGAGCAATCGCAGCAGTACTTCTCCTAGCCAAGTTTGGGCGGTACAAACCGCTTCATATGATTGGATTCGCCATATGTACCATCGGCTTGGGACTCTTTACCCTCTTTGATCCAAATACTACAACAGCCGAATGGGTCATCTTCCAAGCCATCACTGCGGCTGGCTCAGGCTTCGTGCTAAATACTCTGCTACCCTCAGTCCAAGCACATTTCGAAGAGAAAGACCAAGCAGCAACAACTGCTGCTTGGTCGTTCATGCGCGCCTTTGGTAGCATTTGGGGTGTTGCTATCCCTGCTGCTATATTCAACAACCGCTTTTCTCAATTAGACCGTGCTGTTGCGAACCCACAGGCGCGTGCGATGTTTGAAGGAGGTGGTGTCGCTTACGAACGCGCTCAGGCAGAGCTTATATGGTCTTTTCCCTCGCCCACGCGGGGTGAGATCATTAGTGTCTATAGCGATAGTTTACAGCGAGTATGGCAGATCTCAATCGTCTTCTCAGGGTTATCTTTTCTACTCGTATTTCTTGAGAAACAAATCAAGCTACGCACTAGCCTCGAAACCGAGTTTGGCATAGAGAGAAATCAAAAGAAGCATGGTATCGAAGGGGGTAAAATGTGAACGGGGATAAGAGAGGCGCGACCGATAAACCTGGTGATAATGATGTTATGCTTGGCTGATACCTGACAGCTAAGAAATGGGTGTAGATACTAAGTAATATCCTGACAGAAAGATATAACTAAAAATAAAAAAAAGATTTTACTAAATTATTTCAATTTTAATTTTATGTATACCTAAATACTACTTTCAATAACAGGTATGCAGTAACTTTGGAAAAGAGGTCTTGTTTCAAAGAGATAGTGTAAAATATAATGCAAGCCTTAAATAGGTGAGCAGCTGCCGCGAAGCATGCCAGGTTTAGCAGTGTCTTCCTATAGAAAAAGGTCTTCTATACTGTGCGTAGTGTATTCCAACCAATTGGCATCGCTATATATCTAGTTCGGTTCCAAATACGGAAATTATCATACAAGGTAGCCATCTTCCCTAGTGACGAAATGCACGCCATCAAGGACTATACAATAGGTTACTCCACTCAAGTCTTTGCTATATTCACATTACCATTCTTCAGTATTTCATTCCTTAAACGATTGTATATTTCCTGACTCCAGGTGCTTAGTAAATGTGTGTATCTATGGTATGAAGTATAAAAAGGAGAATTCACTCTTCTCAGCCACTCCTAGACCAAGACTTCAACACTAGGCAAATACTTACCTTTACTTTAGACTTAACATTTGACTTGAGCTGTACTATAAGGTACCTAAGGTATATAAATAGTAACATAATGAATGTGCTTCATTATGTTATAACTACAGCAATACCTGAAAGCCTTCGGTAGTTCGCGTGGGTCCCACGTGGGTCCCAATACTCTGTCTTGATATGTATTCCCGGTGCCGGGGTGCCACGAGGAGTGAAAAAAGTCAGCCTTAATTTCCAGTTATGCGCCTGACCTTTCCATATCAAATACCACATCCAATCTTAGCCTGTTATGCCATGATAGGTGAATTAATATAATACCTTAGGCACTGCGCTTTAATTAATAATAATTTAAGATTGATCTGAAATACCTTCGCACTAATGTAGTTTTCACCTATTTTGAAGTATTTTTGAACTTTTATAAAATTTCTTCGCCTTTTTTAATAATTTTTAAGCCTTATAATATGTTGATGTTAGCTCGAACCACTCGAACCACTCGAACCACTCGAACCAATCTTTAATTGCTACCTGGGTGAAGCTTTTCCTTCATTAATGCGTAGCGCCCGAAAGGTGCGAGGATTCGATAAACAGCGCCCCTAACTCCCCTCTCATGTCTGCGTGTCTATGGCTGAACTGGTGACCCGCCATATTTTTAGCTAATTTATAGCCAGGGTCCGATGCAGAATAACTCGTATTGACTAGGTTAGAATGGACACTGCTTAAAATGCGCTAATCACTCGAGGTCTAGCGTAGCATGACCCATTTGATGCTCCTATACTTGGTATAGTATACCAAAGGGAAAACCGGAAAGGGCAGACCCCTAGCATAACACTCAATAATCCCCGTAATGGTTGTGTAGGTAGGTAGGTAGGTAGCTTTTCAGCTAGTCGAGACCATAACTTCTATTTCAACATGGACAACTAAGATAACACTACTCTTAAACAGTTTCAATTGAAAACTATAGGTAAGTATCACACACGAATTGATATGTAAGCGGATAAAAGGCGCCACCAAGTAGGCTATCTCCGGTATATTCATCCTATTCTAGCGGTCTACGCCGAGGCAACCTCGTGTTACAAAGGGTTACCACCTAATTTACTACCTAACTTAGGAGGTACCTAGGCAATATTATATACGAAGCATGACCCCAGGGGTGTTAGACTTGATTGGGGACTTGAATACCTAGGTAGCAATCTGATAAAAGGGACTGGTCGACCGTCATAACCCATAATCAACCATTTGCCCACCTACCGGCTTGCATTCTATTCTTCGTCATTCCTTTCCTCAGGTCAATCAAGTAATCACAAATTGAACTATGTTATTTCGAACCCTGGCAGTTCCAGCTGCTGTTGCAGCAGCTTCTATCATCCCTCCCAGGGCTACCTGTGAGAATCCAACTGTCAGAAAAGAGTGGCGTTCTCTATCGGCAGATGAAAGAGACTCGTATATCAGCGCTGTCCATTGCCTTGCTAAGCAACCCTCTAAGCTTGGCTTAAGTACGACGCAATATGATGATTTCCCGTTTGTGCATAATGCTCTCAACAACGACAGTGAGTCTGAGTCCCAGTCTTAGATAGCAGGTCACTCATTATAAAATACTAGTCCATTTCGTCGCGAGCTTTCTCCCGTGGCATCGCTATTATGTGCACATTTACGAACAAGCACTTAAGGAGTGCGGTTATACTGGAGCCGCAGCGTACGTGTTGCCTGAAGTTAATGCTTTCTAATAACTTACATATTTCAGGTATTGGGATTGGACATTAGACTCAGATGACACTCCCAAGTCCTCAATATGGGATCCCGTCACTGGTGTGGGCGGCAATGGAGATCCTAACACGCCTGTGACGATAGACGGATACACCTACAAGTGCGTATCAGATGGGCCGTTCAAGGACCTCCGTCCTGCCTATCTTACTGATACATACGTACCGCATTGTTTGAGGCGGAATTTCAACAACGGATCCGATTCAATTGGAGATATGTTCAGCCCGCGTTACACGCCCGACGCCGTAGCCAAGATTCATGCCCTTCCCGACTATGATAGCTTTCGCATTAATCTTGAGAACGGACCACACGGCGCGATTCATAGTGCAGTAGCAGGCGACCTGATGCCCGCTACTTCACCCAATGGTTAGTAGTAGATCGACATGATGAGTTTCGTATACTAATTGATCCTTTAGACCCTCTATTCTTCCTTCACCATACGCAAATTGATCGTCTTTGGTCTCTCTGGCAACAGGTGGATCCAGAGACCCGCGTAAACGACTTCAGCGGTTTTAGGACTCAAAACAAAACCGGACAACCAACACCTGCTCAAGCCACCTTGGATGACATTATGCCTATGCGTAACCTTGCAAAGGACATTCCTATTCGAGATATCATGTCCACTCAAAGCGACCTTCTCTGCTATACTTACTAGACCACGTGTTTTCACATTTGGATCTAAAATCGAAATTCTACTTGGATTTGATCCATAGGCTTCCTACTCTAGTACATCTCTAGAGTACCTTTCTTCCTCAAGAACAACGATATGACATCCCCCACTAAGTATACAATTACAAAGATCCACTAGGTAGTACCTAAACGGCTTAAAGAGATACCCACCATTTGTTAGTTTGAGATGTAGATATAGACAAGAGGTCACCCCCAGGGTAACACAAGCCTAAGGTTGACACCACACCATAGTTCTATAATATTTTTAATTATTATGTATAAGTCATATATAGTGTCAAAATATATAGATAGGATTATTAACGCCTGCGTCTTCCCCTTTTACGAAAGCGCTATGCCCCTTTTACATACCAAATCTTAGTGAATCCTACCTAAGGTAAACCTTAGGGTTGTATATACCTCGATAGCTTATTTGATGAATGTTTTAATATATTTAAAATAGATGCTGGTACTCGTCGGCTCTACTCGTACGTATGATTCTGACCCTGTACAGCCTGCAGGATTTCCTGCATTCACATAGAGGCTGTGCTTCCACTAAGCCACCAAAAGTCTATAGTGTAACATAAACTAGAAGTGTCTAGTATGCATTATAAATTTGGCTTTATAGATAAATATGTCAAGTAGCCTCCGTGTTTTTAAGTAGACCCCCTCGTTAAATAGTTTATTCTTGTAGCTTCAATAACCACAGCGGATGACGCAATGTGCTATCAGCTCGTCGAACGATATTCTGCTTGTCGTTGTTTATATTACCAACATGCTGTAGACAGATGCCCTGCCTATGGCAAGTCAAAACATCCCATAACAACAAGGTCGATTCTCGTCGGATATGCATGCCAAACACACACTATATTATCAAGTAATCGAAAGGCCAACTCGGATTTCCCAACCAAGGAAACATCAAGCCTAGCTTATCCTCACGATACAAGAACATATAATTCCCAAAACGCTTCTGGAGCTCGTCGCGTACATAAAAGGGCAACTCGTCCGTCGAGGGCTAACAATGTAGAAGTCATAGTAAGCCGGGAAGTCCCCCAAAGCGGGATCCATCCAGATATAAATCGAAGTTGGTCAGACTCAAAGACGCATCATAGTCCTACGGAAAATGGTAGGCCTAGTAATAGCTCTGGAAGCAAAGAAGATTCCGATGATGACCTTTCTTCTATAGAAGCATTCCTCTTTGATGAAGGTGACGAATCTAGCTTAACATCTCTTAGCTCTGTTGGGTCTTTGACAGCTCTCGAGCATCTTACAGATGGATTCCTATACGATGGATACCTCCAGGACCTGTGGCCTCAGGTAGTCCTCCGGTCACCGTCCGCGGCGAAAGCGAGGGAGGCAGTATCGTCGTTAATTTTGCGATATAGCCTAGACCTACAAAGCCTGGCTCGAAAACAAGAGACTTCAGAAGACTCCACAAATCTACAAATAAAAGCCGGTCAATTCGTGAAGCGCAAACGATATCACTTGTCCCGAGAGATTTATAAACAGTTTTGGTTACCTCTGTCAGCAGTAGGTCAGCCTATGGGTGAAAATGATGCTTCGGAGAATGATCCTGGCGTCGAGTCTGACTCGGACAACGACCAACAGCCGGATATTGATCGATTTATCAGCCTAAAGTCATTCTTCTTTGAGACAGAACCATTTCGCATCTTCAAGGAAAATGTACGAGTCTTTGTTGAGCAGTCTTCTCTTAGTCCTCTACAAATTACCCGGCTTGGTTCTATGCGGATCGGTTTTAGCAACATGATAACACTTATAAACGGCAAAGGCGCCCGGCCGGGGATGAAACGGCTTTATTGGACTTGTGTAAGGAATATTCTCGTCTGAGATGTGAAAAGTTCTAATGGGAATAGAGCTGTGGTCTTCGAATATACGACGACTATACCGAAACTCAATCGGGCGCTCTTGATCGCCTTGAAAATATCTTATCCAACTATGGCGCACGATCGAGGGGTTCAGGTGACATTGAGTCAAACAACCCACCACCACACAAGTCAAATAAGGGCGGGCTGTCCAAAATATGGCGTTCTTTTACTCTCGACGTTAAACTACCGCAATTTTGGTTGAGAAAAGACTACTGGGAGCCTGGGAAATGCCGTCGAGCGCCTGGAACAAGCCTGGAACAGGAGCACAATTATCTTCTTGCTTGCGTCCCATTCGGACGATGGGTTTCGAAGCTACATCAACAGGAGATTTGTACGATCCTTTCAGATCAAGACTTCTTTTCGCTGCTTCGGATGTTATACCATAGCAACCGCCGTAGACTCTCACTATCTTGGATGAGGAGAGTAAAGGGCATTGACTTCGTTCAGGTACGAGGTTCAAGGACCAAGCTCTAGGTAGTTAATACGCTGATAGCATTTTCAGTTCGATGTGCACCGGTCAGAGGTTGCGGCGGTACGTTCAAAACCAGCTTTACCACCAGAGGAGTTGAAGGACCAGTATCAGTATGACCCAATGCCTGCGCATCTGGTTCCTCCAGTTGGGCCAAATATGCTGGTACACTTCTTCGAGAACCCAACACACGCTAGCGTACTTCCGGATTTATATAAAAGGATACCGAAGAAACTGCGACAAAAGCTGGCGCCGTGTCAAGCGACAGGAATGTCGGTAGGATGGGGAATCGAGTTTGTCGAGGGCATAGATTCTTTCGTGTTCTTTATATTCGGATGTGCCTTATTCCTTGCTTGCTTAATAGTCGCCGTGGGATGGTCTATTATTAAACAAGATGTCCAAGGTGGCTTTGGGATAGGGGGTTTTATTTTGGCTTTCATGTTATTTTGTGGCAGCATCGTCCACTCCGCACTGGACTCTCAAGTTCTAAAGTAGGGTACGGCTCGCTTCAGTTAAGACTTCCTCTATGATATATTAATGGCTTATACCATGTTATAGTGTGGCATAATTTAATAAACTAGCTGAACCTGAGAAGCTAGAACTACATGTATGAGTTAGTTATATAGAATTAACTAACCTTGTACAACTTGATAAGTTGATAATCGGACCCGGTATGTATAATTATTGCTTGTAACTGATACTCAGGTAGCATGAGTTTATATCTTGTCAAACTTTAAGAAGAATTTAGCTGCGCGAAGTAGATTGTGTAAGACAAAAATTGCAAGACTTATGAATTTCAACAAAGTCGGTTTAAACTCTACTTCACCAGTATAAAAGCCATAAAGCCCCCACCATACTTGCGTCCCGCCCCGCAATTGTTGCCGTCACACCTGCCAATCTGCACAAGGTACCTAAACATTAAACATTATGTACAATACAAAGTTGAAGCAACAACCACCATGCGATTGCCCATGCGCAACTAAAGCCAATTACTCCAACTTCTCCGACCATTAAGCGTGAACTTTTCTTTTTACATACTTTTATCTTCCCTACCAACCAGAACAAGCTACCTACCACGGCCAATGGCGACCACAACAACCTCAACCAACGCGGCCACATACGGGGACTGCGTAGCCGCGCTTCGCTCCTCGCTCTCCTTCCTCGAATCCTCCGTCTCTACCCTCGGCACCGGCGTCGCAGACTACCCCCGCCTCGTCAACGTGCTCAAGAGCGTCCGCGTATGTTGCCCCCATCCCCGTCCCTATCCCCATCTCCGCCCTACTACCTACCTACCTACCTACCTACCTACCTACGTCTCCCCAGCTAACAGCCCACCCACACCAAACAGCACTACGAGCTAATCCCCCAACCCGCCCTCGTCGCCGCCGAGGCTTCTCTCCGCGACGAAATCGGCCCCGCCATAACCACGCTCCTCGACCGCGCCGACGCGCACATCGAGCGCGCCGAGCGCCGCATCGAGGCGCTGCGGGCGCGGTCCGAGCTGCAGCAGGGTCGGATGCATTCCACTTCCACTTCCACTTCTGCTTCTACCGGCCCGATGCCTACCTCCTCTGCCCGCAGCAAAGGCAAGAGCGGCGGCGGCGGCAGCGGAGCCTCAAGACGGAGAACCGAAACCGAGGGCAAGATCAAGGCCCGGCAGAAGGAGGCCCTGCAGTACAGCGTCGAGCGCCTGGAGCTCGAGGTCTTGCAGAAGGAGCGTGAGCTGCGGAAGAGGCTGGATGCGGCGACTTGAAGGGGGTGGGGGGTTGTGTTCTGCGGTATGACGGTGTGACGGTGTGATATAGCACGATACATAGATAGATAGATAGATATATGGTGCTGCGAGGAGGTAACAGACACTACGGTCCCGTTCAAAAAGGGGCCAAGTTGTTTGTGTCCACGCACGCAAGAGCCGCGAGATACCAGGAGTGGGTATGTATGATCCCCTGGGACCCCTCATTAATCCTGGCACGCTTTAGATATCTCGTCGGGATAGGACGGAAGGGGAAATCATGGTACGCGGTACGCGGCACTTGTCCGCTATGCCGGTTCTCCGCGATTGTGAGGAGTTTGGTTGGCCTTCTGTATTAGACTACCTAAGCTAGGCACCAGTGAGGGAAATTAATGACATAGAGGCTCTAGCCATGTGGGAGAAATGAAGAGATATGGGATACCCAGAGATAATATATTTTCCAAGGGAAGAAGTGGAAGAAGGCATTAACACTATCACGATTGTCGAGGAAGAATATGACGGTTATTTAAGTGTTAGTTTGACCTAACTAAATAAAAAACCACACCTCTTGACAACTCTTCATTACGGTCTAAGCACTACCCTTATATTTCCAGAGTTTCACTGAACTTGACATCATTGTTAGAACATAATGTTACAATTCATCCAAGGCCTAGTACATATGACAACGTTTGTAATACACTTAGACGTGGGATCCCACCTAATCCTGAATTACAGATAGAAGCCCACAGCTTAAAAACTTCAGGACAGATTTCTCGGGGTATTTATACACAGCAGCACCTTCAACGTGCACACGAGTCTTTAATAGTGTTCTTTCATTGATTGACACCAGAGCTTAACCACCTATCTCCTGGAATCCGTGAACCAATGGCGTGACGTTCGTTAAAAATCCCTCTCGTCCACAAGGCTTTCGTCCTACTTACCCCCTAACTTTGCCGATTCTCAACTAAATATACGTATATGCTCCGAAAGGGCGCCGAAAACGAGCGTTTCTCCCGCAAGTCATTCGCAGGGCAACGAAGGAGGTTTGTGTTTCTCTGTGTGTATGCCGCACCAGGAACGACCCGGTCGTCGGCAGAGATGTGGGGAAAGGGAATAAAATAAAATAAAAAGACAATAAACAATTAGCCGGCCATCGTGTGAATAATAGTAGAAAAAAGAGCTTTGCAAAAGTGGGAAAAGCTACATCCGGTAATGTTGGTAAACCCCGATTTTACTCCAACGCATGTCCGTGGCCCAGCGTTTCGTTCGCAGCCTCTAAAACCCATTCAAATACAAGCGATCTCCCCTCGTTGTATGGGAGAGAGATTCCGGATATATCATTCAAACGGCTGCGTCCCAATTCAAATCCAAACAAGGGCCCGTCAGCTTATTAGTATTCTCATAACAATATGAGATAGTTGCTGGGTGCTATGCCTGTCTCGCCGGTTTCTTTCTTGGCCTGCCACCATCGACCGCTTACATCGCTCACTTCGAGTATTTCATGTTTTGAGAAGGAAATTTCATTTGCATCGTCGGGGTTAGCTTCGTAGCTGTAGATAGCCTTCGCACGGTACGGGTACTCCGTCGGGGCAGCAATTTCTGGCTCGTTCTGCGCGGGCGATGGCGTTTTATTAATACCGCCGGGGAAACCGGGAGCTCCACTCGAATTACGTGTGGCATTGCCGTTGAATCCTCCAACAGGAGATGGATTTTCAAACCCGTTAAGCTGGGCAGAAGTATACATCTGCGGGGGTTGGACAGATGTAGATGTTTCGGGGCGACCACCATATCCTCCATTCATAGTTTGTCGACTCATTGGCGGCTCCTTGGCTAGAGCAAAGGAGTCGATGTAGGCGCGTGGTACGGCGGAGGGTGCAGAGCCGAAATAACCAAGCCATACGATCTACAACATGAGTTAGTATATTGGTTGGGTGAATTTTTGCTTTCACACCTTGAAAAACTTGGCGGTAGAAATGATCAGAATTGGATACTTACATGGACCATGGACAGTAAAATGAAACCCGCGGCAGCAGCCTCTCTAGCCCCCTCAGGAGAATAAACCAGAGAAGCAACAGACGAAGATGCAGCAACAAGACCGACAGCTATATAGCCGACGAGCGCGACTTGATATGTCTGGATGGAATCGGATGCTATTACAACGAATATGCCGCCTATTAAAGGTAATATGAAAATGATTGAAAACCATGTATACATTGGGAAAGGAGCCCTAGTTACAGGTACATTTATTTGAGCTATAATTGAACTGATGAAGGATATGACCCATGCGAGCTAATGGACAGCAATGTAGTTAGTAGAAAGGCGCTTGAATCAATATGGTAATATCCAAAGTAACAGATTCAGGACTTACCAAGGCGATAGAGATCGTTGCTAGAGCAAAAGGATCACCGAGAACATTGGACATATTAATGCCCCTACGGCGATAACTTGCCCTAGAATTTTCCATTTTGCGCAACGAAGGAGAATGCAGAGAGCCGTACGAGGGCATAAGGAAAGAGGGAAAAGCTTTTGAGCTTCAATCGAGCAATCAATATTCAAAACCTGGTAAATCGTAATTGGGTATTCGAGCGTGCGGCGCAAAGGGGAATACGCAAGTGTTATCAAGTCGTGGACTTTGTCGATCTCCCGCAGGTAGAACGTGGCTGTGCTCAGAAATGTTGCAGAGACTAGAATTTCAATAATTGGTTGGTGCTTTGAGCGATTCGTTGAATGGTTGATTGTGAGGACCCCAAGCTTGGCAGGATGTCGGCTGGGTTAAATTATCTACAAAGGAGTGACTGGAGTGGGAGATTCGGATAGGTTGAATATCGTTAAAGAGGGCGAACAAATGGAAAATGCCGTTGAATAAAACGTGGGAAGGTTTTGTTTTTTTTGTGTCGGATGGTCGCTAAAATAACGTGCTGGTAGACGTCGTCGCGCGCTATGGTGGATTGTCTAAGGTTTATGCGGCCGGGTACCCTTGCGAACTTAGCTGGGAGTCTCTTCCACGTAGAAAAGAAGTCAAAAATCGAAGTCAATTGCGATATATGCGATCCAGAGCCCAGTCGTTAAAAGCATTAAAGGTCGGATGGAGGGTGGAGAAAGCCTATAGTTGAAGCGCGGAGAGAGTTTATTGCTGTAGATGTCCTTGACTTTGAAGACCGAGTTGACCCGAGTTGGAACGTCTATCGAGTGATAAGGCGATAAATGAGGCAGGTATTATTATATCGGCTACGGTCCCGAATCGAGAATGTGGACGGGGGCGAGAAATTTTAGAGTTGGCCTTATTCTTGTCTTGTCTTCTGGTTCTTTCATGCGACCTGGCTGTCCTTTTCTGTTTCTTTTTCTTCTTCCCGACTAGCAGCAGCAAACAACTCACACGCTGCAGCAACCCCTTTCTCCTCGCAGTTCCTGACAGCGCTATAACCCTTCACTGGAAACCACCGGCCACAATATGTACGTCGTGAGAAGCGAAGTTGGATCGTCCCACGGTTGCAAAGCCTGGCTGAGAATCGAAGAAAATGATTGACAGAATACCTAGGCTCGTCTTCGCGATGACGGAGTTGGAGGGAATTGGAGTGGGAAAGAAGGGACAGGCAAAAAAAAAAAGCGTAGAAAGGAATAGGAAGGGATGGGGTGGTAAATGGTTCAAGGAAATTCAGCTAGCAGGCTACCTGTCAATCAAATCGGCTGGAGAAGGGGGAGTAAAGTTGGATGAGTGGAGCGTGCGTCTTCCGGGGGGGTGTTAAGCAGAATCGCAATCTAAGTTCCTGACGAACTGCTGTAATCAATGTAATGCATGGTATAAGAAGAGGCAGAAGGTACAAGGAAGTACCTACTTAGGTATACGTACAGTACTAATAGCAGCTATAGTATCCACATACAATCCTTTTGTATTAAATCTAATTAGGCTTCGTACTACCGCTAGCAGTATATACAGGAGGCCCTCTGCTGAATTAATTGAACGGACAATTGGGCTTACGCAAATTCCCCTGGTCAGGTACCTAGCCGATGCCTATTGAAGTTAGCAGGCCTCCTAGGTAGACCTAGCATCTACTCATTTCACCCTAGTCCTCCAGATTGATTTGACCAGGGAAGTTCAATGAGCTTGACTTAGATGTGCTATCATTGGCCCTGAACACGCAGACATGTTGGACACAGACACAACGTATCTTCCATTATGCCATTTCCATTTGGCCCCGGTCCAACTTTTCTTACACGGTATCGCATAGCGTTTAAGCAGGTTTAACATCGGAAAGACTTACAAAGACTTACTCATGACAACATCTCCGAATACCTACTAGTTAGTAAAGAAATATGAAATAGTTATACAATACACACGGACAACATGAGAGATGATCCGCTCGGTTTTCGTAAACTAGGGCGCTAAAGCAGGAACACGACGAATTGGCATCCCGAGGCTACTAGGTGGCGGCAATGTGGTGGAATGTAGTGGTTGAATTGATCATAGTTGGGCGATCCGTGAGTTGGGGAAGACGGAGTTGCATGCTGGCTGACTGGTGTTTGAGATTTAACTAGGATCTAAGGGCGTCTGCCAAGGAAGAAGGGGATGCAAGGTCTGGGAACCTCTAGATGACTTGCTACTTCGGTGAAAATCTGACATGTTAAAATATAGAAGAACTAACTAGCCTAACTTTTCTTGCCTTAATCCTTCGAATGCTGTGTTCACCGCTCAAATCCGTACGCTTTCGTTAAGTAGGTAGACTTAATAACTACCTCCTAGGTACGAATCTGATAACAGCTGCATATGAGGTACCTAATACTAATTAAACCAGGAGACAAAATCAGCTGGTTCCCGATGGCGTCTGTGATTCCCCGCCGGGTCACCAGTGCAGAGCAAGTTGAGGGAGGTAGTTAGTGATGGCTTCCGATAGGCAGACATAAGGTGGTGACCTACCTCTAGGAGCAAGATCGGTAGAAGTTTCACAACGCTCTTCATACTCCCATGGTTACAGGGCTTCCCACGATGGAGGGTTGCAATGATGTAAGCATGGTTGAGGCTTGACCAGTCGTAACAACGTTTTGGTCACGTTAGTTGATTACCAGTGTACCTAAGGTATGAGGTATGTAGGTAGGTATTCATCCATATTCTGCTATCGTCTGAACGATGTCGGAATTTGCATCAGCGACGTGCTCTGCGCTGCGACACGTTTCAAAGTAGATCTAGTATGGATCTAGTTAATACACACATTCTGAAGAAACACCATAAAGAGAATGACGCCAAACGTAGTTTTAAAACTCCATCTTGAGATCATACCTTCTTACGTATGGTCTGATCGAGGTTAATGAAGACTGATCATAAGCCATCTTTGGATCAGTTATGAATCGACAACCCGTACTGATTTCCGGTAATAACGAGTTAGTGGCATCACATACACGTGTATGTATATATATATGCCATGGATCATCCTTTAACTCCTACTCTAGTAATCGTTGCAGACGGCACAGACCTTCTTTTTAGTACATAGGCCAAGAGGCTCTACACCTGCAGATTAGATCAGTTCTGAGTTTGGATGTGTTTCTCCAAAGCAGATCAAAAAGTCCCCTAGATCTAGGCCTTTTGATCTTCATTGCGACCTTTCATGCATACCATAGGTACCTTAAGCAAAAGTGATAAGAGGGATAAGAGGGATAAGAGGCTCAGGATAATTTGAGGTATGCTTATCACATTTTTGAGACCACTTTCAGATGGTTCACAGACCTAGAGGCCGACCCTCTTATACAACAGCATATTAATATCCAAAAGACGCACTGCAGATCTTGTCATGGCTAATGCATTATTCCGGAACTCAATTATAAACGCGGTCCCGAAGGGCTGCATTAGCTTTAAGACTGCTCGTGTCAGGCCGCCGATCCCCGTCTGAGCCGGCGCGTTTGAGTTTTGGCTCGAGCTAGAGAGGCCACCGCACTCCCCACGAGTGGCTTAGAAGAAGTTAACAATTCCAGGTTGTTCCTGCGTCAATTCTCGATGAGCGATATGCAGGTGAGATTTGGTATTCATAGAATGGAACGTTAGGAAATGACTTCTAGTACTCAGCCACTACCGAAAATCGAATTGGATCAAATCAGCATTATCTTAATTAAACACCGAGGTCTCTTCTATTACTTAAACAACATGAGGATCTAACCTAGTGCTGTTTAGATTGTATTATGTATGCATTTGGCTCTACTTCATAATACACTAAGGATATCTTGATACTACTTCGATTTACACCCATCTGCATAGGTAGTATCAGATGTGAATATTAAATCAAGTCTAACATGATTTATACTACTATATTCCTGGGGGTAGGCTATGTTTGTCCCTTGCCCCTCTCGTGTTAATCTTCCACACCAAGATTGAACAGAACGATAATGAACATTGTTACTAGCATGGAAATGCTATACGAACCAGACAATGGAATGCCTCACTACAAATTAGCAAAAGTATTTGTAGCAGGCGAATCTCATTGCTTGTTTCTGTCTGTTCAGAGAGTTTCCAAGTCCCTCCCCAATATTAGCCCTCGGTGACGTCAGACGGTCAGGGCTCTTCAATTTCGTCGTCGCCGCCGCTGCAAGACTTTGTGCCTATTCGCGGTACAAATCGACATTGACTTCATAGGATCGTGTACAAAATAGATAGCATCCATAATGTCGAGGGTGCAGCTACACGAAGAGCGCGGGCAGGTTAATAAATATTCGATCCCCCATAGGAACCTTTATGTTCCAAGGCATATGGGCATAAGTGGCATGCCTCAAATCTCATTCCTTGCCCTTTCTACTCTTCTCACGACGCGCTCGGCATTCTCAACACGGCTCTCAACGCCCGCCACGAAGTTCGAGTAGCTCATAACATTATGCTCGTACCACTGGCGCACGACAACCTCACTGCGGGCTCTCAGCTCCGCGATCTCGGCCGCCTGTGCTATCTGTGTCGCCTCGATTCCCTTCATCTTTGGTAATAGGGTAACTAAGGTAGCCGTGTGCGCCGGGTCTGGAATCGGCGTGTCAGATATAGCCGTGAGCGCGGAAGCTGTGGCCGGGAATGAGGACGCGGCGGCGAGAACAATAGCGCGTAAGGCTTCAGGTGGGAGTTCGGAGGGTGGTTGGGACGGCGGTGGTGGTTGGAAGAGAGTTGGTTGAGATTTATCTAGGGGTAATTAGTTGAATCGATCATAGCGTTTGTGAAAAGAAAGGAAAATAGAACGTACAGAGTTTAAGAAGTTCGGCATAAACGCGCATTCGTTGAAGAAGAGTCGCAAACCGGTGCTCTAGTTCCTGCATACTTCTTATAGTCGATGCTTTGGGTTGCTGAGCTGTATGGCCATATAGTAAATGCTCAATGCGCAAGAGTCGCGCTTCGAGGAGAGATATCGTAGAGAGAGTCGTGTTGTCTAGAGTCGATTCCATGGTGTCTATATTGAGCGCTTGTTGGGTGATTGAAAACTGGCGAATCAGTAACGAACGTCATGAATAACGCAAATTCCAAAAGAGAGTCTATCGCGGTAAATGATAGAAGGGATTAATGGTAACCTAATAGTTAATTGGTAATTGTAGAACAATAGATAACTCTCTTTGAGGTATTCTATAAAAGGTTGATAAGGATAAGGCTGAGCTAATCTAGGCCGAGTTCCCCGGTCTTTTGGTAAGCTTCGGGATCCCGGTTCGGAAAGCTAGCCGCTAATAGCCTAACCAGGAATACGTGATTTAATTGATTGGCTAGAAATAGCTGTCAGCAGACGTAGTCCCCAGTTGGGGAGATTGCGGGTGGCCTTGACGACAACTGGCAGTCACAGTTAAATCTAATTCTACTCTAGTGTTTGACGTGTAACTATCACTTTCCACCCTAACATCATCATACGGACATAGCCATGTAAAGAAACGTCATCGCCTTAGTATTGCGACTGTATCATACAATAAACGTATATCCTACTCATCAACCGCCAAGCGCGTGAAAGCAATTCAGGATTCCGAGGCCCCAAAGCAAGTCGCGCGTGCACGAAAGCGGTCAGCCAGGAAGAAGCCCATCTTGTCTTACTCGAGCAGAGAGGCAAGATTGAGACACACAGGTCTTCAGCGCAGCTAATTGCTGCGAAGGAGGATAGCAATAGGAATTATACAGTCCCTCCTGGGCTATGCCGAATTATTCGACCATTTCTGGAGAGAGCTCCGCCTCTACCGGCGATATGACAAGGTGCGTAGCGTAGCCTCGACAGCTAGCCGCTGCGATTCCTATATCATTAATAACAACGGTCAACACTAATATCATTCTACAGACAAAAACGGGCTCGCGGCCGTCCCAAAGACACTGGAGGAGGGCAGGCCACCATGATTAGCAGTGTTATTAACCTTCTTAATACCAGTAAGTCATATCCCGCCATTATGTCGTCAGCCGAAGCCTAACGTAAGTGGCGTTATAGTTATCGGCGCCGGCACGCTAGCGATGCCCTCGGCCATGTCGCACTTCGGAATGGTAGCCGGAGTCATCGTAATCCTATGGTCAGGATTTACATCTGCCTTCGGCCTATACCTTCAGTCCCGATGCGCACGATATATCGACCGTGGCACCTCGTCGTTCTTCGCCCTATCCCAAATGACATATCCTAACGCCGCTGTTATTTTCGATGCTGCGATTGCCATAAAGTGTTTCGGGGTTAGTGTATCATATATAATTATCATCGGCGACTTAATGCCAGGTGTGGTGGAAGGCTTTGACGGCAGAGCGGCTGATATCCCATATTTGATGGACCGTAACTTTTGGATCACCGTCTTTATGCTCGTTATAATTCCTCTAAGCTTCTTAAGACGCCTAGATTCTCTCAAGTACACCAGCATTATTGCCCTGGTTTCGATAGGGTATTTGATCGTGCTAGTTGTCTACCACTTCGCTTCGGATGTTCTTGCACCCAGAGATAAAATCCGGTTTGTCTCGTGGGGAGGGCCCGTGGAAGCTCTCGCCAGCTTACCAGTGGTTGTTTATGCATACACCTGCCACCAAAATATGTTTTCCATTCTCAACGAGATATCGAATAATTCCCCCGCCAGGTACGCTTCTCTAGCACTAAATATTCATGATACCACACTAACAAGGATCGTAGCATAATGGGTGTTATATTTTCTAGCATTGGCTCTGCTGCTGGTGTCTACATACTGGTCGCTATTACTGGTTACTTGACCTTTGGCAACGATGTTACAGGCAATATTGTCTCCATGTGTATGCCATCCAACATTACCTTCTCTCTAATTTGCAATTAAGCTAACGAATCTACGCTAGATCCCGCATCGGTTGCTTCTACTATCGCCAAGGCGGCTATTGTCGTTCTTGTAACATTTTCGATCCCGTTACAAATACATCCGTGCCGAGCATCTGTAGATGCAGTTCTTAAATGGCGACCTAAAGATGTGACTCGCCCTCAAGGGCGGACAAATTCCCCCGGCGGCCGACCGCTTCTCCCAAACCCCGCCCAATCACGATCAGATCATGGACCGAGCGCGCCTATGTCAGACGTGCGCTTTGCCGTTTTAAGCACAATTATCATAGTGTTAGCTTATATCGTTTCTCTAACTGTGGTGTCCTTAGAACGAATGTTGGCTTATGTCGGTTCTACGGGGAGCACGAGCATTAGTTTCATTCTTCCAGGTCTATTTTACTACAAAATCTCAGATCCTAATTCGATCCACCAGCAACGCCTAACTAAAGAAGATGACGATGTGCTCTCTCCCCCTAGCTCCGATTCTGAAGAGGGAGACGCGGACGAAGGGCTTCTAGGGAGAAGCGTGGACAGCATCCACAGCGTGGCAAGCGGTTCAAGTACTAAGAGTAAGAATACGAAGTCTCCATGGCGCTGGCGGAGGAAGTGGAGGTGGGATATGGAGCATATTAACCCCGAGCTCTTAAGAGGAGCGGCGCTTGCCTTGTCCATCTACGGCGTATGTGTTATGGTTGTATGCCTAGGGATGAACTTGGTCGGTACCGTAACAGCACATTAACTTGGGAGACTTATCCCATCCAAGATTCTAAGGATCATGAGATAGATCCAAGACCCTCAATTAGTATCGCGCACATTTAGGGGTTCAGTGTCTCTTACTTTCTTTCTGCATCTGTAGGAGTTTGGGGTATGGCTACTTCATTGTACATATACATTTGGTTTCCCAATGTTTCTTAGTGCTGGGATTGAATATAATTTGTCTGCGACGTTGTGTGATCTTTATAATACACTATATTCGAAGCTTGTTCGCGGCTGACTATTTTCAGTACATTAGGTACTGTTATAAAAGCCAATAATCGTAGGTACCTAGATGGTGTAGCTTTTACGGCTGCTAAGAATAGAAAGTCGACGCGCGATTACGTGCATGAGGCCCCTATTTAATACTTTAGGGTAGACATTCACAGGCGGCCTTTACAAAAAAGATCTCCACTTATAAGGCGTGGCGGGGTCCGGCAAGATGTTGCCCCACCAAAAAGTAAAAAGTTGAACTGATTATCAAGCAGGCGTCAACTTCCTTCTACACATTACACAATACACATTTACCAGATAATCCACAAGCCGTTTATAAGCTCGGACTGTTTTTCCGCCATAATTACTCCCTCCCTTCATAAAACTTGCCAATCTACTACTTCAAATCACCAGGATACCTAAGCGCGAAACCTACCTATCTACCCCTCATCATGTCTGCCCCTCACAGAGATGATGGAGATGATGCGCCCGAGATGCTCGACGCAGAAGACGCACTTGAGGAGATCCAAGATGCTGAAGGCGATATAGCTATGGACTCTGACGACGACGAGCCAGAAGAGATCACTTTACAAAACGACAGTATAGCCTACTTCGACGCTCACAAGGACTCTGTCTTCGCCATCGCCCAACACCCCACCCAACCCTCGCTCATCGCAACTGGTGGTAGTGAAGGAGAGGGAGATGATGCGCCGGGAAAAGGCTACGTTTTCGATACCAGCCCAGTTGTCGGTCGACCTGTCCTTCCGCCTAGCTACAACGCCGACCCGTCATCACAACAACAAAAAAGCACCGAGTTAAAAGCGCTTTTCACAATCGAGGGCCATAGCGACTCGATTAATACGCTTGCATTCACGCTACCTAACGGGCAATTCTTGGTTTCGGGAGGTCTAGATGGTAGATTGCGCACGTACGAGCTATCCGTAGATGCACGAAATAAACCGTCTTTTGCATTCCTTGCCGAGTCCCAGGAGGTGCCCGAGGTGAATTGGCTGGCGCCGTGCCCGTCGTCGAAGTATCCCAACACCATTGCGTTAGGTGCTTCGGACGGCTCCGTCTGGGTGTACACGATCGACCCCTCCGATTCCGCGAACCCCATGCAGATCGTACAGAGCTATTTCTTACATACCGCATCGTGCACGGCCGGCTCCTGGTCACCCGACGGCACATTCCTAGCTACAGTATCGGAGGACAGTTCGTTGTGTGTCTGGGATGTGTGGGGCGAAGCGGCTGCCAAGAACTTGGTCAACGACAACGGTCAGACGGTAGTATCGCTTACGGGTCAGGACCAACGCTTTGGCGTGGAGGGTGGTCTGTACGCAGTTGCTGTGGACCCCAAATCCACATTCGTCGCGGTTGGTGGCGCGGGCGGCTCCATCAAGATAGTAGGACTACCACGAGTAGGCGTAGACAGCCAGCCTGTGTCTAGCAAGCAGAGCAAAACCAAAGCTAAAGGCGGGGAGGCGGGAAGCGCGCAAGCTGGTACTATTCTAGCTGATCTGCAGACGCAATCAGATGGAATTGAGACGCTTAGCTTCTCTTCGCAACAGACACTGCTGGCCGCGGGTAGTGTGGACGGCAGCATAGCGGTATACGACACGTCGCGAAGGTTCGCACTGCGGCGGCATATCAAAGAGGCGCATGAAGAGTTTAGCGTGGTGAAAGTCGAGTTTGTAGCGGGGCTCGGCGACGGATGGCTGCTAACGAGCTGCGGTATGGACGGCGTGGTTCGCCGGTGGGATGTCCGAGGCGCGGCTAGCTCGACGACAACAAGTCTTATGAAAGAGTGGAGGGGTCACAGGGGAGACGGCGAGGGTGGAGGAGTACTCGGGTTCGTGCAGGGCACTACCGGAGAGCGAGTTGTAACAGCGGGTGACGATGGTGTCGTGTTGGTATTTGAAGCTTAGGGATTTAGAGGTACTTTATGATAATGCTAGAATTCATACCCGGCTGTAGCATAACAAGGCTTTGGCTAAGATTTATATCTACTTCTTCGTGGACGATTATTTTTATGGCTAATTGTGAAACAGCTGGTTGATCACTTGCGAGTGTTGCATTGGATCTTCACTGGCTTGAATTACTTTTAGTTATGAATCGTATTGCCTTGCTCTAATCCATTCTAGTGTCTCAGTTGATTAGGGGTCTCCAGAGTTTTAGGCTTTTAACACCGTTTCGATTGATATTTACATGTGTCTATTCAATCTGATAGACGAAGTTGTTCGAACATATGAAGATATCATGGACCTATTCTTGTAGATCCAAAAATATCATGACAGCCAGCAACCGCCAAGTATAAATCTAATAGGTATACCGTGGTTCCAATCCGGGACTCCGAACGCCTTCTCCTCCACCCGACCCTTCTAAATAAACATGAACAACTCCGTCGTAATGATATAATATTTACTTCTCGTCCATCAATACAAACCACATGCCACTTAGTAACCCGCCAAGCGCAAGGGTCGTCAGTATCCCAGCTCCGGCCTTGTCCCCAGCCGTAATAGGCCTCGGCTGCTCGATCTTGTCGGAGTCGGAGGCACCGGCGTTCGGATTGCCCTGGGACGAGCCCCCGGTCTCCGACGTGTAAGGCGCTTGCGCGAGGTGGACCAGAGGCGCCATAACCGCCTGGAGCGCATTCATCTGCTCGCCGACCCCGCTGATGCCGTCGAAGGTGGCTTGCTGCAGCCAACTGAACCCGCACGCCGTCCCCGCCGGACCCTTGTAATCCGTCGATGCGGGTCCGGAGCATTGCTTGGCAGCGGCTTGGGCCGACGATTTAAGCAGGGGCGTGATGGTGTCGGACGTGAACGGGGCGATTACTGTGGTTAGAGCCATCCAGCGGCTTAGATGGCCTTTGAAAGCCTGCTGGTCTGTGTTGCACTTCGCGGACGTCTTCTCGCAGCTGGGCTCCCACATAACCCCATCCTCAAAGAATATACTCGCTATGGACTTGACTTGTCCCTCTAGGCGTGTCTTCCACGGCTCGGCGCCGCCGGTGTGGTTGTACATGGCTGCGGCACCGTCTAATGTGCGAGAATATTTCGTGTCAGTTTTGCAATAGTACAATTCTGGAATCTTCACCGTGGTTTTTCGATTGAGTCGAAATGGTAGGGTCATCATCAACCACACTTACTACTGAGCGTTAGCCACTGTATGCAGTACCGAAGCAGTTTCGAACCCATTCTATTCTATAAAGGGGGTATTCGAAAATAACAAGACGGGATGTTTTCATACATACCATAGAAATAATCCCGCGTTGTAGGTGAATTGCGCCCCGTTGATCTCCGTGCAGTTTTCGCCGCTGGCGTTTCCGGCGCCGTCTAGCACGTTGTAGTTCTCATTGATGAAACCGACTGATTGCTCCCACTCGAAAATCTTGTTCGCCCACTCGGTATAAGTCTCGTTGGCGGTGTATTTGGCCAGGCGCGCAGCAATGTTGAAGAAGCATCCGTTGGAAACGGAGTTCTTGTAGTTGTAGCCGTTGTTGAACGTGTATATCTGCCAACGCATTCCACCGCCGCATGTGTCGGGCTCCCACCGCCCGACGTACTCGTTGTATACGGCTTGGACCAATGCTAGCCACTGCGGCTGGTCCGGATCTGGGTTTGTGAAGTTCATCTCGGCGGCAGTCATTGCTGCCATGGCCCAAAACCCCTGATCGTCGTTGCCTTCGGACTTTGTCTGGTTCGAAGGCATGAAATCCGCGTCGTCTCCGACCTGGTGTTGGAGAGCCTGGAATGTGATGTCGTTATACGTCTTGTCGCCTGTGAAAGCTGCATAGTCTATCAAGGTTCCAAACATGGCGCCCGCCTCCCACCCTGTCAACTCTATTAGTTAAGAGCCGAATTACTCGGTGATACGAACTACACGCACAATAGTAGGGATCAGGCAAGTTTCCAGGGACATCGCCCGTATTATTTCCTATGAAAGGTCGATTAGTAGAATCCTTCTTGTGCGATCCGGTGATCCGGCTCACCTGAATAATATTTGACGAGACCATAAGCAATCGTACTAGCGGCCGACTTGATAGAGGCTTTTTAGTGTCAGCCATGGACATGGTACAATTTACACCAGAGCGTCTTACAATCACTTGTCCAGTCTACATCAATAGCAGCCACCAAGTTGAGAAGCAATCCTAAAGTGCCAACTAGAATCGACAAGGAATACATAACGGCCTCGCTTTGGAAGAAATAGAATCCGGAGTGTATGAGTTGAAACCAGCTGGCTTTTGGAGTAGACACGAGGGAGCGGTTAAGTAAACGGACCTTTCTGAAGGGCCGATGGCGTTAGAAACTTAAGGTGATCGGCCAGCCACATCCACCATATGTACACTACAGTTCTTCATCGACTTGTGGACTTAGCAGATCCTGATATTCATATCTACCTACCTACGTACTTACAGCCATGCTATGGGAGAACCCACACCGTCGTCTTTGCCGACGCGGCTTCTGTGGGCCTGAGACCGGTCTAAGTATTACATACCTAGGTAGATATAAATTCAGTGGACCATCCCCATCCAACCAGAAAGTAGCACTCATTGCAAGAGCCCTTTCCTTTTCTTCTGGCTTAAGCAACAATTTCATGTTCATTTCTGCGCCATTTCTACTGGCATGGGAAACGTCAGACGTTGTATGTATACGTACCCCCGCTGGTCACGCTGAGCAGTGCCATCGAATAGAAGTGGTCGGTTCCATATCGCAAGTTTCGAAGCGATCGCAGTCTGGCGTGGGGGCCCCACTGTGACGCCATCTGGTACGCGTAAACTATCATGATGTGCCTCGAAGCCGTGTAAGCAAAGCTTCCATGTCTAATCTTAGACGGCTAATTACCGGAGGCTAGGCTTAGCCAGGCGGATCGTCAGGGGAGTCGGAGAACAAGCTTTTCTTTTCTGCCGTCATGCAAGACCCATCCCTAGGGCCGGTTTGTGGGTTTTCTGTGGTTTTCATGTTCCGTCCGGAGCCTCTCTCGGTGGTGTAATGTCAAAGTACAATACAAGAAGATACAAACTGAGAAATTGAAATTAAAAATTTATTTACGGGACCGGAGGAATTTCCAGTCGCGTAAAGTCTCACCGTTGCTCATTATCAAACGCGACTTTTTTAAGCCTCAGAAAATGTGAGGCTCTTTAATGATATGCTTGTTTCATTAAGGCGACCTGGCCGATCAGCTAACATTGCGACCAGCAAAGTGCACACAATCGGAATTCCGTATTTGTTTACAACCCTTGTAGCCCCTCTTTTCACAGCCTTTCTCGTCTCCATAAAACCATCATGTAGACTCAACTTGTTATCTTTAATTCCACGCAAGGAATACTCCTAGGCTATTACTGAACATGGCCGAGATAGCTTGATGTGTGTTGCAACTTATCAAATTTACCGGATTTATTAATTATCTGCCGTTATTGATTCAATCTAATTAAGAGACGGCAAGAAAGGTGTACTATACAATACCTTGCTTGAGCAACGGTATCTCCTGAATGACAGCTTTAAGTCCGAGACAAAATTTTGGGTTATTTGAAAGTGTGTAAGTGAAGATTTTAGACATGTCCACGATCTTCTAGGTTAGGACTATGAACAAATCTAGTACATGTGGCTACAATTTTTGCTAGACCATTTCAAGGTTGTAAAACATTTAATTGGTTTGAACAAAAAGGACCTTGAAAGTAAAGGGTTTCTTATATTGCAATATTGTTGATCAAATAATTAAGAATTAGGTAGTTACTTCATGCTTACTTTGCACTTTATGATAACTACCCCTTACACATATTACTTGTATTCTTAAATAAGAACAAGCTATTGTGTATTGCTTATTTAAATTTGATTGGCTAAGCTTGTTGCACTATTCCTAACATGATATATTTTAAGTATTTTTTACCGGGTTGATTTGTTAATATAAATGGGCTATGTACTGCAGCTTATTCGCACTTGAGAATATATAAAGTGATCTTTTTAGTTCTATACCATAGGTTATACTAAAGTATAACTTCATATCTCCACAGGGGCCAAGGTGTACCATCATATGAATAATTCTTGTCGCTATTAAACAGTGTTTACTCGACCTCAAAGTCTACCTAGTTTTATCATTCATGGACGGGGTCCTATTGTCCCGGTTATGGGTTTTGTGACCCCTAAACGCCATCTACGATCGGATCTCCAAACCTAGACCTGCATAAAACATACCCGGGTGGGATGATTCCGCTGATGGGTATGACTCATTCTGATATCTCAGGTGTGTCAGGTCGTAAGTTGCCCTCAAAGTTGACAGGCCGGGGTATCACAGCCTTACCCCATCTGTAAAACGTAACACGGTGTAGTAGAGTTCTTTTAAGACCGGATAACTCTGTTCTACCTACTATGTTGGCTATTTATAGCATATTTGAAAGTGGCAATATTTGGCGTGAATGGTTTACTACTTATAAAGTGAGTTGTTATGTAAGTACTTATCCCGCGCTTGATGGCTATATTGTGGCGCCCAGCCATCCCTACTAGCAGGTGCTGATACAAGGATTAACTTGCATCTGTTAAAGAATTCACGATGTACAATGAAGCGGATTGGTTTTTAAAATTAATTCATTTACATCATAGAATAATATAATATTGATGCATAATGTTTGGAATTGAATACAGATAGAAATTATTTTATATCGAGACATGTATATTGCAATATGTAAAGTATTAAAAAAAGAAAAAAAAGCTATACTTTGTATACTCCTTTGACCATGACCTTTCGCACTTCGTAGAATGCGAAAATAATTTTAGGATTGTATGCATGGGGGTTAAAGCAAAGACCTTATTAAAAAGTAAAACAAGCCTATACATGTTTAAATAATGGTTGCTTAACTTATACTAACATAATATAATTGCAATAATGTACTTCGCTTAACGTAGCCCGATATATTTTGGTTTCCCTTCTATGTATAACAGTTTTCACCTTTTATATAACCCCCCAACTTACCTTTGAGTCATCTGCATTCAAATTCTTGTAATAGCCCATACTGTTTCTATTACTGCTTGCGCCTACTATATACAACCTATATTAGAGCATTGCACTGCCCTTTTTACAAAGTAAGTTGCTACCTCTATTGCTTATTTGGAATTTCTAAGCACATATCTGTCGTCTCCTTGGAATACTCTTCCGTGCCAGCACTGACAGTATACGCTTCCAGAATGGCCCCCACAAAGACAAGTAATAAAGTCCAAACGTTGACACCTCGAGATACCGAAGTCATCGACACTATTTTGCAAGCTTGCCCTCCTGATATGAAACCCAAAATATCAGATTGGGATACCATCGCACACAGATTAGGGTTTAAAACTGCAGCGTCAGCTAAGGAAACCTTCCGTATTCTCTGCAAAAAGAGAGAGTGGTTCAGCCCGACTGACTCCCAGTCTGAATCTGGTTTTAAATCTTCCTCGATCCCGCAAAAGGAAGCCGCTACTCAGGACGAGAAGCCTCCCAATATGAAGAAATACGATACAAGAGGTCGTGCTAGGAAGGAGCCCCAAGCGAAGCTCAAACCCAACACTGCCGAGCTCAACGAGACTACCGATAGTGAGCTAGAGACAATTCCGGATGACATGTCTGACTTCGACCGCACCTATGGTACCGTTTGAGATACATTCATCGTAGCTTCGAGGATAAAGTTGTATCCCATGGAGATATTTACGATTGGGAAAGCGATACACATACGAGTAGAGGCATAGCTCGACGGCTGCGAATGCTAGGGTGAAACTTTGGGAACCCGTACACTCATTTCATCATTAGATCAGTGTCAAGTATCAACACTTTAAGTAGTTGAATAGTTATTCGATATTTATCTGTGTGGCTAGGTATTCTTCGTCCTTGTCGCAGTCAGACGATGTTGTGCATCATGTATAGTATACGTCTGGTTACTTCCCCTTTCCCCAACTTGACCAGTGTGATAGTTAAATGTAGTCACTCATGATAGTAAAGGTTCCATTATCAAAGAGGAACTGCCGATGACTTGGGTACCTACCATACATAAGTTTCAATATAAAGGTGTTGAAACTATAATAATCTCACCTTCGCACTAAGAGGTCATTAGGTGATTTATGATTAAGGTAGTGATAGTCAGGTACGGAAGTTGAGGCAATATATGTGGAGCGAGGCAGTTTCAACTCTATAATTGACTCTGGGGTATTGTGGATTGCCTATAGTCATGCGATGACGCAGTTGCGTCGATAGCTTCCAATTAAGTATCAAAAGCATAAACGGAACTTGCGAGGAGAAGTGCTTGGCTCACAATCATACGATGAAAACCTTGAGTGCACTCACTACGTAATTGGAACGGTCACAGGATACCATTCATAAATCCCTGACCAATAATACATGTACCATGACGGACGTTACAATATCTCTTTGGATGAATGGAAAGTCACATACTCTCCCCGCACCTCAACTCTGAAGTCATAAAAATACTCCCGACCCTATCGATCATTACTCATACTTTATAAATCGTCAGCTGAAGTCTGATCTCTTTCCCCTCAGAACTCGGAATATCTAACTTGAAATCATTCAAACGAGACTCGTGACATTTAGCCAAGATGTCTGGTGGCGAAAAAATCAACCAAACCCCCACGAGTAAGGGAAATGTTAGTAGCCAGCAACACCGTGGTCAGCAGAACGCCACTGCAAGCAACGACGGCGGGAAGAGAAGCAGCAGCAGTAACATGGTCAGCTTTGACCCAGATGACGAGATCATGTTCCAAATCGACGACATAGAGCTGGACGATGGGGACAGCGAAGTCAATAAGTAGGGCAGACTCCAGGTATGATGAAGCCCAATAGTCTGGAGTTGGAGGAATCATTTACGCGATATGACTGAAGGAAAAGTAGAAGATGTAGAATTGAGTGTTCCAATGGAAACTAGCACACATGCGCGTTTGGTAATGGTGTCGGGTGATGTATTGCCAGGGGAAATGGAAACTGTTAGGTCAAGGCTAGGAGTTAGATTGGGCTCGGTTGATCAAAAGGCTACGACTGCTCGAGGAGATATTAAAAAAGAGACACATTAGCATCATACTAATTTAACGGAACCTTTATCGTGTTTAGGCACTACCAATTGGCATGATTAAAAGTTAGGCTGTGCAATTATGGTTAACTACCCCTATTCGGGACACTATTGAGGAACTCATCCAGCTGTACGACTAGATGTTTATATGGCAAAGAGCTAGAGTTTTAAGATATGAGTACCTACCTACCTAAATAATATTAGATGAAATTTGATTTAATTGAATTTACTTTTCTGGCTTAGGTACTTAAGAGATGTTGATATGGGGTTCGTAAGTTGCGCAGGTTGAATCGCCAACGATATCCACTTAATAGGGGCTTTCCCTAGAACACTGACTACCTAGGCTAAGTAATTAGTTATATACCTAATTATACCAACCTTCTTGATTTGTTATATATCTCTCACAAATAGAAAAGGTACATATACTAGAGGTTGATAGTCAAGGGACGAATTAAGATAGGTAGTTCTGATTATTTTTCCCGGAAAAGAAATAAATATTAATGGCGCACCAGCACTGTTTACTAGACTAGTGGAATAATGCTGGGACACGTTGGAAGTAGTAGTAAACTATTGGTATAGATTTATGGAAACTGTTGAAGGTCTATGGATAACAGCTATTCCAACCACGCCATTACATGGATCCACCATATTCCTAATTCTCCGTATGGCTCAGTACTTATAGTCTGGGCAGTGCTAGCTTCAGTAAATTCATTAGGCTGCCGCGGTTCCCGCCTACTTATCTTCGTTCCTCTACTCTTATTCCTTTCGGGCTCTGTAGGCATCTATAAGAGTATCATCCCATGTGATATGAAGCGCGCTTAGCACTTCCTACGCCACGGATATCGCTAGCAGCGCTATCTGCCTCTTGAATTTTGCGATCGAATGCTTTAACCATATTCAGCTCGCATGGGATTTTGAACAAGAATTCTCGACGTACCAGTTGAAGCTTGGCGTCCTCCAAGTCCGTCTTTCATGATAGGGAGAGGTTCTTAGAAGCACCAACCGCAATAATAATGGATCCTAGTCATGCAAGGCGAATAGAGACCCGCCTTGGGATGGCCGATAAGAAGCTACTTGACCCCGAGTTATACGTCCCGGCTGACCTCAAGAATATACGAATAGGGTTCCGCGAATGTCCGTATTTACCAGAGTCTGAGTCTATACATACTAAACATGTCCTTTGTTCAAGATGAGACATCTAGAATCCTGACACTCACCAATCAGCGATCTCGAAAATCTCTTCCCCGAAGACGCCTGACAAAAGTTTTCCGAGCTCAGCAAGGAGGAATGCAACGGAATTGGCAAGTCAACCCTGGAAGAGCTCAAGGTAATCGTTGAAGAGTGCGATCCATGGCTAGAAACTGCAGTAGACGAGATGCTTCAGAATATACTCGGCACGGGTACTTACATCATTCAGTCACACAATACCGGTATTGTGACGGGGATACATCACGGTGATATCAATGGTGTCAGCAATGGGAATAATAAAAAACCCCGGAACTACTGGGGTAGATGTTGATACTTCCGTGTCTACCATTGCATTAGCTTCAGCAGGATGTATCCGCCCCTTTAGAAACTAGGTTGATCGTAGTTAATACAAATACAAGTTTCCATAGTACCCCAACATCCTCACTTTCTGTCAGATAATATAAATCATTATTTGCCTGCATATACTATGTAATCCTAGCACCTGCTACATGACAACTGTATATATGTGTCCTAATACACACCTACACACCTTACACAGCATTTTAGATGCAGAGGATAAGAATCCTACAGAGATTCATACAACCCTACTTGTGGAAGCCGGCATTCTAAATGTATGCGTGGCATAGTAAGAGAGGTGATAATCTAACACTGTGAAGCCCCTACGATCGAGGGGCTCTTTCGTACACTTGCAGACTCCAAACCCCGCCTCGCCTCACCTTGGCATGCTGTCGTACGAAATATTTTCCTAGCCTTACTTTCTCAAATCAGAAGTAGTGGCGTTTTCTTGCATGGGGCTGCATAGAAGTTGATAGGCTCTCGATAGATCGCTACAACACCACCGCAGGATCTTCAGCTGTACAGATTACGGGGATAGTGATTCTTGATTGGTAGTGTTCCAGACTTAACTCTGCCCAGAGAGGTCGCGCTCAGGTATCCCTCAGGTGGCTTCTCGGAATATCTATTGTTTGATTTACCGTTTTGATAAGGCTACAGCTTTTGTTGCATATCAAACTACCACGGAAGAATTATTCAGGGGATACTTATTACTATTTTCTAGCCAATACATCAGTTCTTCTACGGCTTCATTGGTTATAAGGCTTTACAGTAGCTCTTGTATGAGTTCTAAACAGGAGTTAAGTGATAATATGTGTAGTATCGCGCTTTCGTTTGATCCATTAGCCCTAGGCCATTAGAATAGAGAAACTCGAGCTTATGTGAGGCATCAATAGACCTCTTGACCCCCCTTATATTAATCCTTCAGTTAATTTCCAATAGAATAGTACTTGCTGTCTCATTTTGAACTCTTGGTCGACTATTAGAGGGGGGTTTTAGCATGGCATTTATCAACCAACTGGTTAGACAATATGAGATGTTTATTAGCGAGGAAATTGAAAAAGGCCGAACGTCTCACCTTGAAGCGATGATTAACCTTGCTAAGGAAGTTTTCATCGACGTGATAAAAACGATTGCATTGACAAATACCGAAGCAAAAGTAATATCGAAAAAGAGGTTATCAAAAGTACAAGAAAGAGGCGAAAAGGAGACACGGATAGAAGAAAGAAAGAATAAACGACTGTATAAGGTCAAGACGCTAGTCCGAGAGCTGATTTCTTGACCTTGCTGCTGCGGCCTAGCAGGAAAGCCAAAACCTACATCCGAACAAATTACCCCTGAGACTAGGAAGAATAAATTTTTACCAAAACCAATTTTTGAGCGGCTTCAGTCAGTATCGTCTATACCTACTGCGACGTGGAGGCAATCTCCGCCTATAAGAGGAGTACTAGGTGGACGAATATCTTCGCTTTTAGAGAGCTTTTCTAATTTGGAATCTCTTTTCTTGCGACGACAACCGTTCTTATCCGCAGGGGATGCTTTAGAAAGATGCTTTCCCGATGTGGTGGATAGACTCACACAGACGGGAGTGAATGTATTGGAGCAAGCGATTTTGATCGGGAATGTCCAAGTGATAAAGCTCATCGCTGATACGTGGGTCAATATACTAAACCACAGATTGGAGGAATATCAGAAACATATTACGGCCAAGAGGCGAGATAAAGCTCTCGGACTAGCGATTGCGGCCATGGAGACTCTCGGGGCAGCTATCTAAAAGGATTCGTCGTAATAGCCCAAGCGCTTCTGGGCACCATCAACTTTGGGTTTTCAATCATTTCAATATATCCTTTTGGCGCGAGAAATAAATAATCGAAATGCTCGTGATCTGGAGGTCGCATAGTAAGTATTTCTTCGCAATCTCATCATGGTAGACTACCTAAGTTCAACCCCTATATTATCAATAACACATTCGCCCCCACCCAGTGAAATGCAAGAAAAAGGCCCGCCAAATATCGCCGAGGCTGTCTAAATAGAGTTGCACCACTATTTGCCCGCGTAGGGGTCTTAATAAAGAAGATCATAAGTTCTAGACTCTCTTTTTCATACTGCAATGAAGCCGTGCTCTCTGTATGGAGAGCTATTATTAGACATACCCTTCAAGAAGCGTGGCAAGCACAGGGATACTAAGCCTACAGTTGCACTGCGATAAAGAGGTAGCATATAATTGAGATCAAGCTTCAATAATTATAGTAGTTTTGATACAGCCTAGCGGTTAAGTGAGTCGTATATAGCGAGCAAAGAATAAAGGCTAAATGCGAATACATATCCTGACCCAACATTAAATTGAGAGCTTGGAGAAGAATTTCACATCGTCGGCATCCCCAATTCCCTCTCACGTAAATCTCCGTAAAACTCCAAAGCGAAAATATTACCAGCTTGGTTTGTTATAGGGAAAAAAAAACTCGAAACGAATAGACACTATGCGAGGACGCGTTGCTCTCTGCCTATCCCTTACGGGACAGGCTCTCGCAGCCCCTGCCAAAGTTCGACGGGCTGAGTGCACCGAATTATCAACGACAACACCCAACTGGAAAATATCAAACGCCGCTTCTTCGGACTGGCCCGGTGGTCAAAGTGGTCGAGTCGAGCTCTTCGCTCGCCACGTTCCTACGGATACTTTGGCCGACTGCGACGTGGAATACCGCCTGAACGCCGACGGGGACATCGTCGGCTACGATCCCACCTCCACCCACGAATGCCTCAACTTCGGCCCAAGCCCCTTAAACACCACCGTCCAACTCAACATGGACACTCTAGTTCTGAGCATTCAGAGCAGCTGGACTTGTGAAGGAGACGAAAAGACGTATTCGGCATCCGGCGAGGCCACTTTGAAAAGGGACACGTCTCCCGGGGCGTGCTTGGTCGAGCCATCGCAAGCTGGCGACTCTACGACGTGCCCTATAGCTGATGTAGATGTCGAGGGAAAGCTCGCCGAAGCGTGAGGGTCTTGTATAGTTATGTTGGGTAGTTGACGTCTAGGTAGATACGGGCGTTCTGAGGATAAAACCACTCTAGAAGAGGATTCCGGGACGCGATTTCAAGGGTCGAACACTCACTGAAGCATCCGTTCGTATGATAGAATCAGTTAAGAACACATGACAGTTCGTTACTTTATTGTGCGTGTTTATTGGGCCATTTTGGTGAATCTTGTAAAATATAATAACGACTTTGCGGAAGTACAGAAAACGAGGTAAAGCTAAAACACAACTAAATGTTCGAACATAAACACCTAATCATCACGAGACCATCGCCGACTTCTATGATTTATTAATGAGATGGTCAACTGGCCATATGAATATATCACTAAATAGTTGCTATGCTAAATATGGGTTATATGCTATGTATATGAATCTTGATTAATCACCTCAAGTGAAAGAGAAAAATCTAGAAGGACCATGACCGTCAGCCCCCTTTTGGGTTGTGCCAGTTAGACCCGGCATCTGGTGAAAGACCGGAGGCTAGAACTAATCTTGGCTGACTGTTCCACGACGTCTTCAGAAAATAGTGACACCTGGCTATATATGAGAGTATTAACAAGCCGGGACCCAGCCTCGTAGATAAAATAATCTTATGACTCTAGAGGAATTCGGATCTAGTCTTTATTAGTTACCTACCTACCTAGATAGGTGGGTAGTAATACATTCTCTAATATGTCACTCATCCTCTATACACACCCCTATCCATTCAAAATCTCCAAAAATGCAACAGCACTCCTAGTACGCTCATGATCATATCCAGCATAATGTGCCAGCTCCTCAATAGCCAGCTTAGCATATTTTCTCGCCAAATCCACATCGCCCATACCAGAATAGACCTCCGCAACGATAGTGTAAAAATCACCGACTTGAGCCTCCAGCGATTCTTTTTTGCACAAATCCAGTATCTCGTTGACCCTCTTGCTGACAGATGCACGGCTCCGTACCTCGGGGAGATCTAGCTCTGCTAGTAGTTCTTGCAGGCGACTTCGATGGCGGTCTGAAGCTGCTGAGGCTTCTGGAGAGGCGCACAGTGAGCATGTGCAGTTGAAGCCCCATTCCCTGATAAGAGTTTGGCGTTGCTCTGATAGGAGATTCAGCGGCAGGTCTGTCTTCATGTTAGATGTTGCGTTCGGTTTTATGTCAAAATACTTACAGCTAAATGTTAGTTCCTCGCCCGGCTCAATATCTCTATACGCCACAACCTCCATTCCTAGCGTGGTCGACGAGAATCGATTGTACATACTGGGAACATTGTTAACTCTTACTCTTAGTAGGTATTTTATATGGGGGGCTTACTTTGGTTTACAAGCGTGGTTTAATCTCTGTTAATCATGCCGGTCAGTAATGCTCACATTAGATTCATAGCTTCTTACGTACCGATACGTCAAGGTATAAACCTGAATGGTCCGCGCTATTTAGCAGCACACCAAACGAATTGGTGTTGACAATATCCTCGACGATGTAGCCTCCTTTAGAATGAGCCAACTTCAACATCTGCATTGCCTCCTTTTGGGGCAGTTGAACAGCAGCTCGATGAAGCAATTTCATCACGTCTTGGGTTTTCCATGGCCTGTAATCCATTATCCGAAGGATAACCGGATATCTCAGCATCACGACCTCATCCTTACGAATCGTGCGGTTCGCAATAACTCCCATGCCCTTGTCCTCCAGATCCTTGACCTCGTATGGAGGTGGATCGGATACGACAAGTGGACGACCTCTCGCCCAGTTCTCCCATAATGGGTCCGGGTCTCCGAGGATACCAGCGCCACCAGCAGCAATCTCCGGAGTGGTGATGAGACTGATTCCTACCTCTCCTCTGAGGTTGATGTAAGTGAACACGCACAACTTAGAGCCCCCCGACTTCTCAGGCTCCGCGCATACTGGAGGAAATGTCCAAGGCAGCCATGAACGTCTTTTAAATGCGGTCTCATCGTCAACAAGGAGAGGACACATGAAATACGTTTCTCGGGGGTTCAACGGACCCGCAGGATTGGAATTGCATTCTCCAGGAGGATTGAAGTTGTAGTTCTCAAGCCAGCCTGGTATATCGCTCGGCTGAGGCTCGGCAACAATATTCCCCAGCCAGAGGGCTAAAGTCAGCATATAATACCTCATAGCCATGTCTTGAAAGCACCGGTGTTAGGGATAGGGTTGGTAGGTATTGAGATTGCTCGGATCGAGCAGCATAAGCGAACAACACATCATTTTCACGAGTAAACATTCTTTGTAAGCAGTCATGACATCTAATGTTAACAGCTTGCTACATCAAAACATCTCACGGCGTCTCTGAATAAGGCACAGGAGTGAAGGTAGCCAAGGCGAAAGACGAATTAGCCGGAATGGCAAAGTGTAGATCATTGAGCGCGCAAGAAGCGGCGGTTTTAGATATGGGGGTGATCGTCTATTTTCAATGGGTCTGATTATTATAAGTCCTTGGCGGCGTGACATTGAATTATGATGTTTTTCTGATTTTAAGTGCTCCGTAAATCGCGGATGGGAAAGAAGTAGCATCGTCGAAGGCGCAGACTCACAATCTTACTCCTGATAGGTATTGCAATACTGAACTATACATGTCGAGCACCGTCTACTAGGAACCATGGCAGCGTCAGGTTAAGAATGCTACTGCCTAACAGGTAACTTGACTACCTTTAGGTGGGTTATAGACACAATCTCGGACAATAAACAAAAAGATTTCTCAACTCTAGAAGGAAATTGCAAAAAGTTGAAATGCATCAGCCGCGAATCGAACGCGGGGCCCATCGATGGCAACGATGGATTTTACCACTAAACCACTGATGCCGTGCGGGGATTATTTGTTCCGGCGGTAACTGGCTTTTATATACGGAATACGTAGACTTGGTATGTTAATGACAAGTGCTACAAGTCCCATTATGGATTCTACCCTATGTATCTCATAAAGCCGACTGATTAATATCCACGCCTTGCATTTACTAAATAAGTTCGCTCATGTGTATTCAGATTTAAAGAGCCACTGTCCTTGTTTAAGTCCAGCAATACCTTGGCGCTAAGTATTGTATAACTTCAATTGACAAGTGAAATAAAATACAAAGTCTACACCGTGTAGTTTCTTTATTGCTAGAATTTCTAATCAAAATCATATTTTTCTTAAATAAATATCTTTACGCTTATTGTTGAAAAGTGAAATACATACGAAAATAGACTCAATTGGAAGTAAGTGCCTGGGTATAAGCGGTAATAAGGCAGGCGGTGAAGAAATAATACTTTGTTAAAGAACCCCACGTTGAAATTCTGCCGTTCGAAGTGGGGTGGTGAGACTCTACACGGACTAGAATCGCGACTTCAACATTCTCTCTCTATATAGTATATATCAGGCCTGGCTCTTGTTCGTTCTGAAACTTTGCTCGTTGTAATTCTGGGGAGGAAACTTGTCAATACCTGCGACCCTACCTGATTTGGAAACTAGACGTTGTCTGTGGACGAACGACTTCCGGACTTATGATTATTGACTGTACCCATTGATAAACTAGATCCGCGGGATCTAAAGCCGTCAAGATGGTGAACATAACGGAAAAGATTAAGGAGTGAGTTAATCGTTATATTTCTAGCAGTGAGTCTTCATATACTTACTTTGTACATATAGGATCGAGGATGAGATGAAAAGGACGCAGAGTAAGGGCGCATCATCATGTCTGTCGCATAGTCTACATTCTGACTTATTCATCGGTATATAGAGAACAAGGCAACGGGTAAGACTACTATTACTACTATTATACTGAATTGGGTGCTAACGCTAGTTACCAGAATACCACCTTGGACTTCTTAAAGGGTACAATTCCGCGCACCTAATATCATTAGGGGAGATAATCTAACCACGGGCCTCTTCAGAAAACTCGCACGTCTAAGAGCGCAACTCCTCGAGCCCGGCCCAGGAGCAGGCGGAGGAGGCGGCGCAGGTTTCGATGTCAGCAAGAGCGGCGACGCGCGAATAGCGCTGGTCGGGTTTCCATCCGTCGGCAAATCGACGTTCTTATCGAAGGTGACTAAAACGAAGTCCGAAGTAGCTTCATACGCCTTCACAACCCTTACAGCTATCCCCGGTGTGCTCGAGTACGGCGGCGCCGAAATCCAACTGCTCGATCTGCCGGGAATCATCGAGGGTGCCGCGGAAGGCAAGGGCAGAGGACGACAAGTAATCTCGGCCGCTAAGACGAGCGACCTCATCCTTATGGTCCTCGATGCGACGAAGAGGGCAGAGCAAAGGGCCCTGCTAGAGGCTGAGCTAGAAGCTGTAGGGATTCGATTAAATAGGGAGCCACCGTAAGCCAACGGACTACAAGGGCCCAGGCCAAAATCTCTCACTCTAGATTTTGGCCTGGGCTTTCATACCCCTATTCTCTAGTACACAAGATTGATGAAAACTAGGAACATATATCTGAAAGCCAAGAAAGCCGGCGGCATGAAGATCAACTTCCAGTCATCCCCGAAGAACCTAGACGAAAAGATGGTGTTCAACATCTTGAGAGACTACAAGATGCTAAATTGCGAAGTCCTGGTTCGAGACGACGAGGCGACGGTTGACGACCTGATCGACGTCATCATGAAAGACCATCGCAAGTACATAAAGTGTCTTTATGTATACAACAAGATAGACAGCGTCTCCCTCGATTTCCTGGACAAGTTAGCGCGCGAGCCGCAGACCGTCGTCATGAGTTGCGAGTTGGACTTGGGCATTCAAGATGTAGTGGACCGCTGTTGGAAGGAATTACGACTGATCAGAATCTACACGAAGCGGAAAGGTATCGACCCCGATTTCAGCGAAGCGCTCATCGTGCGCAGCAACGCTACTATCGAAGACGTTTGCGACCGGATTCACCGGACCTTAAAGGATACGTACAAGTATGCTTTGGTATGGGGCGCAAGTGCTAGGCATATCCCGCAGAGGGTTGGTCTGGGACATGTAGTTGCCGACGAGGACGTGGTATACATAGTCAGTGGTTATAAGGCATAGTATAATAGTATACTCAATCGAGTCACGCGATTAGACGTAAAGGATAAAAAAAATAAGGCAGTGATTTATTCATGAATCATTGATGATGTCCGCCCATCAAAAAATGGGTATCGTCGTACACTCCCGTCCTAGAATTACCCCGGAATACCCTATAGTACCCTTCCACCAACGCCGTGGTGAGGTATCCGTGCCATCCTAAAGCAAAGCCATTTATTACAAGAGTGATCCGTAACGCCGCCGTCCCGTAAACCGAGGGGAACCAGGGAGCTAGCTGGCAGCTAGATTCCAGATTGGGGTCCAGCCTGGGATAGGACGGTCTTGGAGCCGCCGAAGATATCTTTGCCATCGAACTTCTTAGCGGACGTTTGGGCGAAGAGAGACTTGGGCTTGGCCCTACGTAGAAGTGATGGTTAGTATTCTGGATATCGTGAAGGAGACAAGATATGACAAGGGACTGTAAAGCTTACTTGCTGACGACTCGTCCCTTGAAGGCGCTGAGCTTGGCGGTGCAGGGGCTCATGATGTTGTCCGACGGCGAGACGTATTCCTGCTGTCTGCCATTGGTGGTATCCGAGTTAGCAAGGCGACGGTACTGAGGGTTCATAGCACGTGGGATGGCCGCGTCGACGCTGGTGACAGTGACGGTTACGGAGGTGGATATGGCTGTGTTGGTAACATTGGCTCCGTACTTCTCTTCCTCCATCTTGGAATGTAGGACCTGGCGATGGTATTCCAAGGTCTGGGCGCCGTTGGGCTTGCCGTTATCCATGGCGGCCGCGTCCTGGGTCTGGACCGAAGCGTTGACGTCCTTGGTAGCTAGAGGAGCACCCATTATGTCGAGATCGAGTTGTTTGCTGAAGGCTTTTGGAGGTTTCTGATTGCAAGATTGCGAAGTTGCGAAGTACGAAGACGACGTAGGTGAGGAATAGGAACGCCGAAGATGTTTGTTGAAGCTAATCAATGAGGCTGTACAGGTAGCAAGATTGAGTAGCGCGTGACGTATTTGTAATGGTGACCGTTGGATGTATCAGCTGCAATTGTTTGAGGATGTGCTGTGGAAATGTAGAAAGATTTGTGTAATCCAGGAATGCGACAAAGTCTTTTATGAAAGAGTGTGCATGTGAAAGATGAAGAAGTCAAGTGGGGTGATGGTCTAGAAAAAGTTCAACTGTGGACCTGCCGGGAAGAAAATAAAGAGAGTTGACCCGGCAACAGCTGGGATCCCTGGTCACTGCTCTTAGCTGCCGAGCAGCTTCCCGTAGTGGTTGCAGCTTTGTGACTATGTACCTAGGTTAGGTACAATGTACAATACACTGTTAGGATTCTTTAATGCTTCTATGCACATGTGGGGCTGGTTCACTGTAAACATTCTCCATAGCTACCGTCAAACATTATCGCATCAACAACTCTCCGCGCCAAATCATCTGCACTTCATCATCCTAGCAACGAAACATTCCGGACGCCAACCCTCCGGACAACGTACTAAAGTCATGGTTTAACGATATGACTTTTATGACTCATTCGCTTAATTTCCTAACCATGGAAACAAGCAACGAACATCTTCTAACTCACTAGGTTAATAGGCCTACTCAAGAAATCAAATCGAGAAATCCTTGCAATAATAAATGGGCCAAGGTTCAACCAAAAATGTGATCCGGGCATGGCAACTTTAATTGCTACTTTCTAGGATGCAACCCGTAACATACCTGTTGGCAGGTGGTCCATGTCATCAGGATGGATTACAGTTATAGCAGCTGCGGGCAGTCATGAGTCATTTGTCAGGTATCAAGGCAGTTACAATCAGAGCATCAGAGGCAGGAACGATGGCTTAGGGCTGGATATATAAACAGACAAGGTCCCGTAGTCTTTTCCAAGAATCAACAATACATCCGTAATACAAGACCAGTTCCACAACATCTAAAGGACTTTGGATCAATGCAAGCGCTCAACTCCAACATCTACAAATAACAGACAACAACGCGTCTAACAACCACAAATTACTTATGCCTAACTAGTGACCCTTAACACCATGTCACTATTAAAAATGGAAACTTGAGACTTTTGGGATGTCGTCCAACCTTGGTAATACTATGGTCAACAACCACGACGAAAGCGAATTCGACAATATTCCTGTCTTGCGCTATGTCTTGACCATAAACTTGCGCCTTCATTCTTCGGCACGACTTCCCAAAGTGGGAAGCCGAAAACGCAGCACCTAGCGAAGAAGAAGAACGAGGCGTCTGGTGTAGAGACCCTATGCCTAATAGAGATTATAGATACCGAGTTCTTCTTGGTATCTAATCGCTGCTCTGCCTAGAACAGCTTCTCGAGTTTTTCGACGAATTTACGAGGCTTGTCAGAGTACGTGTTTACTTTGGATCGTATCTGCAATTCTATATTCAAGCTGTCTTACTAATTTGCTTCTAGGAACTCCAAGTGTCATACGACTTGAAAACCTCTTGGGTCAAGGTGAAATGCATGGCCTAAGATGAAAAAGTTATGGCTGCTTGCCAGGCCGTACTGGATGGCAAGTTCTGGTTAACACTGTTATAATCATATATTTTTGCGCGTAAATACCTTAGAGTACCTGTTAAATGTTAGCGGCTTGTCTTGGCTGGCCTTAAGGAGACCACGCAATTATGTAGTCATAAGAGCAGAGCTGCCAATTAGCTTCGAATAATTATGTTGTTATAATAGAAACAATATTCAGAACCAAAAGTATGGCTACAAGTCCTTTTCGCCGTAGCATACGACTGACTATCTTAACAAGTACCCAAGTCAAGTCAAGTCAAGTCAAACAATTCTTGGGGGTCCTTTTGGGAACCGATTAAACTATTATTTGATAAACCATACATTTATCTTCTATAGACTCCTGACCTATCAGATTGGCCCCTTGGGAGCTTTCCCGCCAGCTTCTCCCAATCTTCACTCCTCGTCTTCCTCTAACCAGTATTTCAGGCACTGGGTCATCTCCAACATATCAGACTTCATCCGTCGAGGCTCATACATTGCTAGTTCCGATTGCTTTAAGATGCGCTTGCACTTCACAGACGTACTTGGAATCGAAAGAATGTCAAGAGCGAATTGATGCAGGCGTGGGAATTCGATTTGGTGGTCCCTCCACCACAGAAGAGGCTCTTGGCCGCGCTTGAATCCAGTCTTTTCCATGTCCAGGTAGTATTCAAGCTCGTCTTCATCCTCGGGGTCCGAATCAAAGCTGTCATAGTGTGACAGCCAAGCGGGCTTTTTCGGACTAGGTGGATGCGAGGATGACGCTGCCGCTTCGGCGTTGGATTGGGCAAGGGCTGCAGGATCAGCGTAATGGCTTCTCCAGTAAGCCATTACTTTTTCTTTGACTTCCTTGGCTAACTGAGGGTTGCGTATTTGAAGTCTCTTGAGGCGTTTGCTAGGGTCCAAGACAATAGCAGCCCAGTACGCCGGCATTCCATTGAACATGTCCCAGTATTCCTGAAGGACGTCATTTACGCGTCTTAAACCCTCGCGAATGTCTTCTCTACCCTGCTCTCCGACATCGTCCCTTGTCTCTGTACGTGCCTTCTTTTTCTGTCGCGTGTCAAGATCAACTGCGACTTCTTCGTGTGGTCCATCGACCGATCTCCTCCGTTTCGTACTACATTGAATTGGTGTATGGGAAGATCGTTGGGAGGCAGCTTGGGAGGTTGGAATGGAGGAGCAATCCTCGGGTTTAGTCTGTCAATATTCAATTAGCCGAGACCAGAGGTGTCAATGAAGCGGGCACAAACTTCAGAATCAAAAGTCGAGTCCGCAGGGCTGGATCTCGAATGGTATTCCAGGAAATGACCTTTAAGCTCAAGTAGTAGAGCCATCACCATTGGTAGGTCCACCACACTACCCATATATGGAATCATGAGGCCGTCAATCGTTTTTAGAATAGTTCCAACCTCTTCTAGGCACGCCCAATCCTGTGGCCAGATCCTCTCGCTCAAACTGATCCGTCCTTTCTTTTGTCCCCTTTCTGAGTCGTATCTATCAGTAAAACGGACGATGGCCTCTTTAAACGTCAGGGTACTCTGAACCCCTTTGAGTACACCCTTCCAGCATGTGTCCCCTTCAACTTTGGCCATATTAGAACCACGCACTTCCAACTCCCCTTCACCAATATCCCATATACCTCTCGGGGAAGATGAGTTAAGAGATTCATCGCCTTCCGTATCTGTTTCCTCATCCTCGCCGAGGAATTCGTTTAATTCCTTATCGTCACCCTCTTCCATTAGCTTTCTTATGCCATCTATTTTCATCACCTCTTTGCAGAAGTCGATCCGCCGCTCTGGAGTTTCCCGAATAAAAGTGTTTATTCTGTAGCCGTTTTCAATACTAGGAATGGCAATAGATCGATGCCTTTCGTTGTCTCCGATCTTGTATACAAAATTCGTCGCGGTGGTATTGATGACGTGATCGCAGCTTCGCACATGAACTTGGTCGACGAGCTTTATTGCATCCTGTTCAGTAAGATCTGAGTTGTAATGCCGTAGGAGCAAACACAAGACCTGGTCATTTCCTACCAAAAATTACCTAAAAGAACATATAGAGCGACTTGGATGCTTTTCACTAACTGGTATGGTGATTGGCGACATAAAAGCCTAGCTGGCTATGGATCCCGTATTCCTCGATCACGCCTATGAGACTGTAGGCTATGTTTTCAGGGCTATAAGCTCCTTCAACCTTCTTAATTCCAATAAGTCTCGCCCTTGGTTTCCAGTTCTTGTCAACAAAGTGTGCCACGACGACGAGAATACTTTTATTCTTGTAAGTAGATAGCGACGTATCGAAAGAGAGGTGAATTTTTGACAGGGCTTCTACTCGAAGCTGCTCTTTAATGATAGCGCGGCCTGCCTGGAAAGCTTCAAGTAGCCAAGAATGAGCGGTAGAGATTGAGTCGGGAAGTAACCCCTCAACCCAGTCTCCTGTCAAACAGCAAGCCAACTTCTTGAAAGCCTCTGTTGTACAAGTATCGGGTGGAATATCATGCTTTACGATTAGTTTGAGCAACATAACCTTGTATATCTCAGCTTGTTCTTGTAGTCCTTGATGTTGATCTTGTCGGATAATATGACGACTAAAAGGACTGGCCTGGGGACTCGAAATGATTGAGTTATCCCCACGTTTTCCTATGACCAAGCCGTGGCCACTTCTCCCCTTGGTCTCCAAATGGGCCTTTGGGCCATTCGTAGAAGCACCGTTGAAGATCTTGATTCGACCTAACTTATCGCAGTGATGACAGAGCCATATCTTGATGCCTTTCCTTTCCCGGGGGACACCATGTTTGACTTCCGTCTCAATCGGAATTAGGTAGTCTCCATGCTCTAGGATGCTGGAGTTGGTAGTCGTTTGAAGCCATACGTTAGCGATATATTGTTTATCATAAATTGTGATTCTGGGGAGCTTGTTCCAGGATGTGTCCTCCAGGATACCATCTGATTTCTGCTTAATTTGCTCTCGGATTGTTATTCGCTGTGGCTGATTTCTAGTCGCCATTGTGTAAAATAGTTTCAAACCCCCTTTGTATGTGAGAATTATTAGATAGTAAATGTTATGTTATGGGTGTTGTAGGGTTATCAGACCACTTTAATATATCAGTATCTTTAGAGTTCCATATTCACGACAACGCGTCTAAATTTCTTGAACAGGGGCTTCAAACTTCTGTGAAATTTTTTATTGATTGAAGACTTCAAGCAATAAGCAGGGTTATCGCTCAGCTCGCCCACATATCTAAAACAACCGATTAGGGGGGACCTGGATCCTGCTCCTTTGTTATCGTATTAATTCTTGATTAAATGGTCATCGGGCGGAACAGTGTCAGGGATACTCCCAGTATCGGAGTCGTTTTCCCTGTTTTCTTTGGCAATGCTTTGATTCAAATCAAAACTCCGCTTTACGGTTGAGGGCTAGTTAGGTTAAGTGTTTCTTAGGGCATAATGTCAATCTACCTAATGATATGCATATCAGTACAAGAAGAAATAGAGACAATGATGAGACAGTGAAATTTATAAATTTATAGCATAGCAAAAGATAATGACGGCACTAACGAACAACCCAATATATACGAGGTACGCGGTATAGCAAGCTACTTATAGAACCACTGTAATATACATATAAGCTTTCTTTGGCTGTAAGCTTAACATTTACGCCACCCAGCATTGTTGATATCTCAACTGATAATGTAATTATGGATGCCTGAGCATGAACAGTAGCATTCAAATTAAATTGCTCCTGTGATTATCTTATAACCTCGGTTTGATGTTAGATCCTGGTTGAAACCGCTTCAGATTGTTCTGCTTCAACAGCTGTTCTGCTTTTTCCTTCTGCCAGAGTAGTTTCTGCGAGACTTCCTTGCCCCTTTTATTCTCGTTCCGGCCTAATTGTTGCAGGTGAACCTCATCTGGCCCATCAGCTAGTCGTAGAGTCCGGATAAGCGCCCAGCTATTCGCGAGAGGCGTGTCCTGGCTGACGCCCGCTCCGCCGAATGCCTGGACGGCGCGGTCGATGACTGTCAATGCGGTCTGCGGGACGAGCACCTTTGCCTGGGCGATCTCCTTCAACGTCGCTTTCGGTCCTAGGTCGTCCATCTTGACGGCGGCGTTGAGGACGATCAATCGTGCCGCATCAATTTCTATTCGCGACTTGGCGACCCATTCCAGGATAACACCATGCTCCCTCAACTGCTTCCCGAACGGGGTCTTCTTGGGGTCGTTGATTCTCATCAACATCCACTCAAGCGCGTTCTCAGCGGCGCCGATACTGCGCATAGCGTGGTGAATGCGGCCTGGTCCTAAACGACCCTGGATGATCTCGAAACCACGACCCTCACCGAGGACTAGGTTGCTCACCGGGACCCGCACATTGTGGAAAGAAATATGACCGTGTCCGTGAGGCGCATCATCATATCCGTAGACATTAAGCATGCGGTGGATAGTTATGCCTTTCGTGTTAGCCGGTACAAGTATAACCGACTGTTGCTTGTAGGGGTCCTTGTTGTTAGAGTCCGACTTGCCCATCACAATGTAGATCTTACACCGGGGATCACCGGCACCACTTGACCACCATTTCTAGGAATTCGTTAGTTTAACATATAGTACAAAGATAGAGGATATACATACAGAGCCATTTAGGACATATTCATTCCCTTCTTTCTTTATGCTAAGCTGAATATTTGTCGCATCTGATGAGGCAACATCGGGCTCGGTCATAAGAAAAGCTGACCTGATCTCACCCTCCATCAATGGCTTTAACCACTGGGCTTTCTGAGCGTCGTTGCCGTACTTAGCCAAGACCTCCATATTTCCCGTGTCTGGTGCTGAGCAGTTGGTAGCCTCGGAGGCTATCTTTGACCTTCCTAGCCACTCGGCCATCAGGCCATATTCCAGATTTGTGTAGCCTGGTGATTCCTTATAGTGGCCTTTGGGTAAAAACATATTCCACAACCCCAACTTCTTCGCTTTCGCCTTAAGCTCTTCGACAATAGGAGGGTGGCTTTCCCATCGTGCAGAACCTTCGCCGATCTGGGCCTCTATGACGGGGTCCGCTCTAATTGGTTTAATTATCAGCGATGCTTCAAATGTGAACGAGTTTTACGACTCACGGTATACACTCTTCCTCAACGAATTTGGCAACAATATCCAATGTATTCTTCGCCTTTTCGCTGACGCGATGTTTTACCTACGAGCTTTTGTAAGCTCGAGCATTGCATTGAGGATATGTGGTTAACTTCTCTTACAATATCCGGAATCCTGGCAGACATGATGTGTAGGTAGATGTGTAGGTAGATTAATTGGGTTATGTACAATTAATGATTGGATGTTCTAGTTGAGCTTATGAATTTAAATATCTAAACAGAAGTTGGAGAAAGCTCTCAATTCCGAGGTGAGGACATGATAGAGACTAGCTTCACGTTGATAAACCGAGGTACGCGCCTCGTTTAGCGGGGTCCGCGTAGCATCATCAAGCTGTTACGAACGTCTATTGGGCGGGATCGAACCAGGGACAGCAGAGCGGCTTCCACCTGAGGCATACCTAGGTACCCCATACTAGCCATCATAGTATTGTGGGGCATGGCATTCTGCTGAGGGTTAACTGCAAGAACAGCCGAGTTATCGATAAGACCTACATTGTTAGAGCAATCTGGGGAAGTCGGGGAAAATCAAGCTAAGGTTAATCTGCTTTAACGAATAATTGATTTGCCCCATTATCCGAAATGCGACTAACGAATACTAACCTTTCAAGAAAACATTTCCAGTCAATCAAATTTACAGCCTCGCATCATAACTCGAATCATTCTCAGCCTGACCTCCAAACCTCCAAACCTCCATCAAACCAACGCTGCCCATCATGTCAGAAGAAAGAGAACCCGATCAGACTCTATCTACCGAGGTAGCTGTAGTAGCACCCAAAAAAGTCAAAAAGATTATTCGCAAGAAACGTCCCGCGCGACCGCAAGTCGACTCATCCTTCATAACATCCGAACCTCCACCCCAAACCGGTACCATCTTCAATATATGGTATAACAAGTGGTCAGGCGGTGACCGCGAAGACAAATACCTCTCCAAGACCCATGCTAAAGGTCGTTGCAACATCGCCAAGGACAGCGGCTACACACGCGCCGATAAAGTGCCAGGCTCTTACTTCTGTCTGTTCTTCGCGCGTGGCATCTGTCCCAAAGGCCAGGATTGCGAGTACCTACACCGACTTCCGGGCATCCACGACCTGTTCAACCCCAACGTCGACTGCTTCGGCCGCGACAAGCATTCCGATTACCGCGATGACATGGGTGGCGTGGGCAGCTTTCTACGCCAAAACCGCACCATCTACATCGGAAGGATACATGTTACTGACGATATTGAGGAGATTGTTGCTCGTCACTTTGCCGAATGGGGTCAGGTCGAGCGTATACGCGTGCTAAATACCCGCGGCGTGGCTTTTATCACATATACCAACGAGGCTAATGCCCAATTTGCGAAGGAAGCAATGGCACATCAATCTCTAGACCACGAGGAGATTTTAAACGTACGGTGGGCCACAGCAGACCCAAATCCCATGGCGCAGGCAAGAGAGGCGAGACGCATCGAGGAGCAGGCTGCCGAAGCTATTCGAAGGGCGTTGCCGGAGGCGTTCGTGGCCGAGATCGAAGGTCGAGACCCTGAAGCAAGGAAACGGCGAAAGATCGAGAGCAGCTTTGGTCTAGAAGGATACGAGGCACCCGATGAGGTGTACTTTGCCCGTGGCGCGCAGGCGGTTAATCCAGCTGGGCGACAAGGCTACGAACTTGAGCAAGAGCAGAGATTGATGATAGAAAATGGCGAAGCTGGTGGTGGCTTCGAGGCAATAATCGGGGGTCAACAACAGCCCGCAGAGCAGGAAGGGGGAATCTTCTCAAGCAGCACATTAGCAGCACTGAAGACGTCGAAGGTCTCCACGGCTCCGAAAGCCAAGGCAGTGGCATCGTCGGGGCCGTTAGTAGCATACGGAAGCGATAGCGAAGACGATGAATAAAGCTTCGCATGGATAGACTACATTGCCTTGTAGAAGCAAGCAGACACATGCCAAATTGTATATAATACCATACACTACCGTTCCATACCTATAGTCATAGATACCAACCAGCGCCCAAAGCGCCCTCAAATTGTCGTAATCCCGCACCCTCAACTGTAACCGCATCCTTCATCTCCCTCGCTCAATACCCATCAGCTATTGAATATCCTAGAATACAACAACTCATGCCGTCCAATCCACAAATCCATCACCGGCACGCTCTGCCCCGCCTCCTCAACCGCCGTATCCCACTCCCGCGCAATTACTTCCGTCAGCAGACCCTGCACCTCGCCCCCCGCGAGAATCCGCTGCGCCTGGTACGGCCCGAACAGCCCGGCCCGGACGGCGGCCGAGACAAGCGCCTTGACGTGGCTCAGCATGAACACATACGCCGTCTGCCGCAGACTGAGCCCGCACAAGCTAGCCACGGCGCCGAACAGCGGCGCCAGGTGCGCCGACACTGGAGGCGGCAGTTCTTTCCCACCGTCCCCGCTAGCCGCGCCGGCCCGCAACACCTCCGCGTACGGCACCAGCGTCCCGCGCGGATCCGCAGCCGCGGCAATGCTTTTCTCCCAGATGGCCAGGAGCGCGCGGCCCTGCTGGACGGAAGCGCGGCGGCCGACGGCACACACGATGGCCGCGTCCAGCGCGTCGTCGAGGGCGACGAGTGTATCCGGGACGGGGTCGCGGTGGGCGGCGAGCGTGAAGGGGAGCGTGGTGCTGGCGTACGAGGATATGGACAGCGGGAGGAAAGACGAGAACGGAGATGCAGATGCAGACGCAGACGCCGAGGTGGAGGTGGGGAATGAGGGGCCGCCGGGGCGGGGTCCGCGCCGCGTGTGTGATAGGTATGATTCTAGTCCGGAGCTGAAGGCGAATGATCCTAGTGGGAGGGCGGAGTCTGAGAGGAGGAGGAGGTAGTGGTGTGCGGATTGTGATGACGGGTAGGAAAGAGATGGCTTGTTAATATTCGTGGTATCTGATTTCGCTAGGCGATGTTTGGCTCTTTGGAGGCGGAGTTCTAAGTTTGCGATTTCATTTTCGAGCACCTCCTGGGACTCATCGTTCAAGGTTGAATCCATAATGGCATTATTAGAAGGGGATTTACTCATCACTTAAAATAGTATCAAGAGGTAGTAACGAAGTAGCGAGGAAAAAGAATCTCTTGATCCATTCCCATCAACTACCTAGCATTGAAGTCCATGGCAATCTTTAATCTTACAAAAGCCTTATCTCTCGGCTGGTATCTCCACCTAACTTAACTCCTCGACCTAAACCTGAACAATCCCGTACCTGTGCCAATACAAGGTAGGGGGGAAACGCCAAATGAAATACTAAACTCCTGCAATGCAATCCCATATTATACCCCCAAGTTTTGTCTCCAACCGTGCCATATGCTTGTACCTGTCATTCAAGTCTTCGTCCCGTCACATAAGATTTAGCCTCATGGTTTGATATTCTCCTTGTCGCGACCACCACCGTTCCGCTGTCTCTCGAGCTTCTTTTTCTCCAAGCGAGCTCGAGCTGCAGCTTGTCGGTCGGCAGGTAGGGTACATCTAGAAGTATTCCCCGATGTGTGCTCTGCCTCGGGACCTCCGAGACGAGCGAATTTGTCCTGGACGAGATCATAACCAAGCCCTTCGCTACCCGAAGAAAAGGAACGACCGTTATAAGACTTAGGTCTTGAGCGGCGCGGTGTTGGCCTCTCTAAAGAGCCATGCATCTCAACATCGCGGTCTACACGATCCACACGATCCACACGATCCACGCGATCCGCACGATCCGCACGGTCCGCGCCAGCTGCACGAGCTGCACGTGCCTCAGCAATCTTTTCATCGAGTAGCTCTCTTGAAGTCATCGTATCCCTCGTTGTCGACTGATTCATTCTGTTTGAGAGAATATTGGACATAGCTCTACCCGAGTCGAATGTTGATAGTGGAGCCTTGGGTTTTGTAATGGATCGAGGCGGGGTAATATCTAAGTCCTTCTCACGCTTGTTGATTTCTACCTGATCCTTCTTGTCCTTTCTCAGTTGGTTCTTGATGTCCTTAAAACTGTTCGACCAGTCAGACGGGAGGAAAGTATTGCGTTTGATCGATTTGGGCGTATCGTCAAACTCCTCCAGGTGTCCAAGTAGAGATCTTTGAGTCATATCAAGAGTGACATCCTCAACCGAAGCTGAACGTTTAAGATTGCGTACAGGGTTGTCACTCTCGTATTTGGAGGGCTTATTGAGCGACTCGATGCCCAACTTCAAAGCTCGGGTCGCCTTAATCGAGGGATTCGCTACCTCAATTGCCTTGATAGTACTCTCTAGCTCGGCAATCTTGTCGTTCTTCGCTTGTAACACCTGTATAGCTTCGGCAGTCCGAGATTTAGCATCATTCTTCAGGGATTCGTAATCCTTCTTCAACTGCCGAATCTCACGATCCTTTTGGTGTGACTCTTCTTTAGCTACCTGTAGCTTATGCTCTAATTTCTTTACTTGCGTAGAATCGGTAAATCCTCTATCGACATGCTCATCTTGTAGTTTAGTCGCTCGTTCCTCCGCTGCGCTTAGATCTGACTTTAGTTTGCTGACTTCTTTCCGAAGCTTGTCCATCTGCTTTAACTCAGATCGCGCTCGTCTTAGTTCTCGGCTGACTTCAAGAAGTGTACTTTCGGTCCTAGGTGATGTATCGATACGCCGGCGGTCGGACTGACTAGAACTGGATTCGCCTCTGTGTTCCTGGATGAGAGCTTCGAGTTCTTTCACTTGATCTCGATAGTGCGTAGCAAGGGCAGTCTGCTTCTCTAAATCCTTCGCTAGAGTAGTGTCCTCGCGATCACTACCACGCCTCCTCTTGTCTGTGGCCTGAGAGGACATAGTAGCAATTTTCTCCTCCATCTGGGCTACCTTTAGTTGCTCATCCTTTAATTTTTGAGCCAGGTCGAGTGCCTCGGCATCCTTCTGCTGGGCATAGGACTTGGCTAGAGCCTTAAACTTCACCATACGCTCGATGTCAGCCATTGCCTCGTCACGGTATCTGTTAAACTCCGCTTTCCAATATTTGCCTGACTCCGAGTGTGGCTCATTAAGATCCACTGTTATATCACGGTCGCAAACATCATCTTCCCATTCCTCTTCAGACTCATCGTCAACTGGCTTTGGAGGAGGTTCCTCCTGTTCTCTCTCGATAGGCTTTTTGGATCTTGCCGAGCGAGAATTTTCCAATGCCTGCTGCAATGTTGATCTCCTTCGTAGACGCGCCGAGGCAAGGGGACTGGCATCAAGACCACCGCCACTACCAGCTTTAACATCATGATTAAATGAAACACGTTTCCGACGTGCGGTTCCAGTACCCGGAGTTAAAAGAATACCCGTCGGTTGCTTGCTTGGGGACTGCTTGGTCGGGGAAGTTATATCATTGGGTGTTGAATTGTCATTTTTGTTCTTCGTATATTTGCTACTGGTTGTTTCGGAGCGAGACGTTCCAAAGAGGGCATTTCTGAATGCTCGAGCGGCAAAAACAGGGGCGGGCGTATCTGGAGCCTCGAATTGTGTTGTATCTTCTATGAGAAATTAGCGGGTGTCAACAATATAGTCAATATAGTCAATATAGTAACTACAAGGCTGCTTACCATTACCACCGGACGCGTCCTTCGCCCCGGTGGCGCCTTGGAACCCTTTTTTGAGAGCCCACCCGAGCATTTTTGCTCGATGCGAAAGTGTTTAATCGTTGGCGCCAGAGATTGGATAGGTGCTTGTGTGGGTGTAGAATTGAAGTCGACGTGGATGTCAGTAGGAAGAAAGGTTATATGTTTACTTTGCCAGCCCGGAAGCCGCAGATCTGGGGCAACGCTGTACTTCAATTGATCCACCTGATACGCTAATGCGCTAACACGCTAGCACATGTGCTTAAAATCCAACCTTAAAGCCAGCTAAGTTCAATAGGTACCTGTGCAAGGTACATATACACATAAGCTATATGCCTATATAAATTAGGTAGTCACGGTTTTTCGTTCATTGAAACTTCCTCTTCTCAAAGCTACCTGTGCACTTTCTTAAACTATAGAATCAAAAAAAAAAGTCTTTTTAAGCTCTAACCTTTTATGTACAATTGAATGCTGATGCACAGCTGAGATAAGCTTACATAAGGCTATGATACTCGAAGTGCATGTTTGCTTGATGTACCCACTAAAATAAATACATGCACCTACATAGGTATAATTAAGGCTAAGATGTACCTAGCTACCTCCTATGTAGGTAGCACGTGGGACTCATAGGCCGGTTACACGTATGAATTTCACCCCACCATCAGTGAATCTCAGCCTCGACTTAGACTTGTTACACCGCTATCAATCATCAATATAAGAAATTTCTATATTATAAATATTGCTGTAAAATGGCCAGAGTTCAGTAGAGGACATACAGCTCCGGCTGTATGAGTCTTCATTCGTTCGTTTCTATCACCCACGAATGATCCTGAAATATCAAAATGGCTTGGAAGTCAACTACTCCATGGAAAGGGCCCCAGCAGCTCACCACCAAAACCAACAATGATTCAAACTACCCCGGGCTGAAGCCCGCCAGCCCGGATGTAGGCCATAAGACGCCATATACTGACGTTCAAAATGAAGAAATCATGGTTCTCCAGGCCATCTACGGCGACGACTATATCGAGCACAAAGCTGCTAATAGTGCATGGATGAAGTCTGAGCCGTCCTTTGACATTCGTGTCAGGGCTTTATCCGATGAAGAAGTGGCTGTTACTCTGAGTGTTGTGCTTACAGCTACGTATCCAAAGTCAGTGCCATTGCTCAGTCTTAAGGATGAGGGAGGTCTAAAAGAGTCTACTGTGTTTAAGCTACAAAAATTCATCGAGACGAAGCCCAAGTCCTTAATTACACTTGAACAGCCAGAGCCTATGATACATGAGTTAGCGCAAGGTCTCCAAGATATCCTCGAAGATGCTGCTCAGGCCAAGGCTCAAGGTCTGGAGTTGCCCTCATTGGAGGAAGAGAGAGCAGCTCATGAAGCCGAATTAGCAAGACAAGCTCGAGAGCAACAGGAAGAGGAGGATCGTAAGAGACAAGATGCAATGAAAGAAGAAGAAAGAGTGATGCAAGATATGATACAGAAGGAGGTAGACCGGCAACGAACGAAGATCAAGGAATCTAAAAAGAGAAACAAAACTCTAACTGCTTCAAACCATACCCAAGACTCCCGTATCCTAGAAGCTGGAAAGGTTGAGTTCGACCAGACATGCGAGGTTACCGATGCTTCTGGTAATGTTTTTGTGTTTAACATCGTCACTGGAAGAAGCGAGTTTAGAAAAGGGCAAGTAGCAACCACATATATCGTCTGGCCGGAGATTTCTGGTGAACGAAACGGTCCAAGTTTGGCTCTCAAAGAATTCGAATTACGATCAACTTCTAAGGAATCCTCCCAATTTAAGAAACAGTTACAAGTTCTCGAAGCGGAGTTAGATTCGGCCAAGAAGTTATCACATCGGAATGTTCTTGAGCTCTTGAATTTCCGGATCGACCGAGACCATGGAGAAGCCGAGTCGGCGTCAATGACTTGGACCGCACGACTTTTAACTCCACTAGCAGATAAGGGACCACTTGGTGAGCTGTTGGATCTTGCAGGGAGGCTTGATGTCGGAAAGGTTCGTTCGTGGACTGCAGACCTTCTCGACGCTTTGGGCTATTTGCACAGTCATGGAATTACCCACCAAGACATCCATCCCGGTAACATACTCCTATTTAGAGAGTCAACTGGTGACGTTATTCCAAAGCTTTCAGATGTGGCATATCAGAGAGAAATGCACAATCTCTCCCATAGGTCTCAAAAGAATTCGTCAGCAAATGCAGCGAGGTCTACTTACTGGCTGCCGCCAGAGGTCGCTGGGAATTCACGGCCTCAATTCACCCAAAAAACTGATATCTGGGACCTAGGCGTCGTTTTCTTACAAATGATATTTGGCCTAGATGTATTTCAGAAATACCAGTCTCCAGCTGCTCTAATGGAATCACTCTCTCTGTCTAGACCATTGCACGAATTAGTGGCTAGATTTTTCAAACTTGATCCTAAGAAACGTCCTCGTGCATTCGAGTTGAGCTCCAGTGAGTTTTTAGCAACCGATGCCCCTGTCGTTATCGACGATACCTCTGCCGTTTTCTCCCCTTCGCAGTCACTTGGCTCGTTGACACAGGCCTTACCTACAAGATTAAGACGTGATTCCTCTGTTCGCGGGGCGGCCTTTTCGAGATACAAGGAAGACTTTGTTGAAGAAGCACGCCTAGGTAAGGGAGGTTTTGGTGAAGTTGTTAAAGCGCGGAAAAAGCTTGATGGTCAAATATATGCTATAAAGAAGATCACCCAACGTTCCCAGTCAAGCCTTACTGAGATATTGAAAGAGGTTAGGCTACTTTCTCAGCTAAGTCACCCAGCAGTCGTGAGATACTACAACACCTGGCTGGAAGAAATACCCGACGTCCCGGATTCAGAAGGAGATACATCAACTGAAGATGCCAACACTGATTCTAAGGGTACCGCTTCTCAAGGCATTGATATCCAATTCGCTGCTAGTACTGGTGGTTTGGACTTCATATCTTCGAGTCATCCCAATATAGAATTTGGTTATGATGACTCTGAAGTCGAGGACGATGAAGAAACGGAAGACGAAGATGATGATGACGAGTCAGATGTGAACTCCGAAACACATGATTCTGTGCCTTCTCCTACAAGAATTAAGAGTAGCCAAAGACATTATAGGACTGTGATGTATATATCCATGGAGTATTGTGATAAAAGGGTAAGTTTTTTCATCTTACCGCCTATTAGCTGGTTGTAGACTACTGACCTCATAGGTAAGACGCTCCGGGATCTTATCCAGAGAAACCTCTGGAAGGAGGCCGAGGAGATCTGGCGATTGTTTCGCCAGATTTTGGAAGGGTTAGTTCATATACACGGCCTAAATATAGTTCATCGTGATCTTAAACCAGAAAACGTATTCATCGGCCTTGGCCCTGACGGTGTTAATAATGTTAAAATTGGCGACTTTGGGTTGGCTACCGCCGGTAATTTTGCCGTCGATAAATCAGCCGCTGGTAGCTTGGATACAAGCGATTTAACACGAAGCATTGGAACATCTTATTATGTTGCCCCTGAAGTCCGAAGGGCCGGCGGGGGTTCGTACACCTCAAAAGTTGACGTAAGTCATTCTATCATGCTACCCTCTGGCCTTCCTTTCTGACCTAGTTCAAGATGTATTCTCTTGGGATCATATTCTTCGAAATGTGTTATCATCCGATCCTAGGTATGGAGAGAGCGGACAAACTAGGAAAACTAGGGACCTCTTCTCTCCTTCCGGACGATTTTCAGCCAGGTGATAAAGTGAAATCTGACATCGTACTGTCTCTAGTCACGCACGACGTAAAAGAGCGTCCAAGTAGCCTTGAATTGCTACGGAGTGGGAAGTTGCCTATCCAAATGGAGAACGAGACGACAAGGAGGGCGCTTGCGAGTCTTACCAGTTCTGCTTCTCCCTATTATCCAAAAGTCGTTTCGGCTCTATTTTCGGCACCCCTAGAGCCTACGAAAGATTACGCGTGGGACATGACAACACCTAATCCTACGGCAGCAGAGTTACTATATCAAAGCGCGGTTAAGGAAGAATTGGTATCGGTGTTCCGCCGTCATGGCGCAGTCGAATCACCTCGCAGCTCACTCTATCCCCGCTCTCCACATTACTCACCAAACCAGGATATCGTTCAACTATTGGATCAGAACGGCACAGTAGTCCAGCTACCATTCGACCTCATGCTTGGAAATGCTAGAGCATTGGCTAAACATACAAATATCTCAAAAGTTCGGAAATCTTTCACCTTCGGTAACGTTTACCGGGACAGGCGGAACGGCGGACAGCCTCTTATGGTTGGCGAAGTTGATTTTGACATTGTCTCTACGGATACTTTAGATCTAGCTTTGAAAGAAGCCGAGGTTATCAAAGTGCTAGACGAGATCATAAACGCGTTCCCCTCGACATCGCCAATGTGCTTCCATCTCGGCCATTCTGATTTACTGCAGCTTATATTTGACTTTTGCAACGTGGATTTGACCGCAAGGCAACTGGCGGCTGAGTCTCTCAGCAAGTTGAACATACACTCTTATACCTTTCAAAAGATCCGGGCAGAGCTTCGTTCACCTATGATTGGAATATCTGTAACGAGTATTGAAGATCTCCGACGATTTGATTTCCGAGGTAAGCGTCTAGCTTGCAAACCCCAATGAAGAGTTTGAGGAGGAAATTAACAAAGCGCTAGATACACCTGCGAAAGCGTTCGCTAAGCTCAAAGCAATCTTCGAGGGAAGTCGGATGTATGAGAAATTACAACCGACCCTCGCCCATCTGAAAGATGTAGTCGAGTATACGAAACGCCTCGGCGTCCATGCGAAAATTTACATTAACCCCCTAAGCAGCATTAAAGAGAACTTCTTCTTGGGCGGGATGCTATTCCAGTGCCTATACGATAAAAAGTTCAAAGATGTATTTGCCGCTGGTGGTCGCTATGATAGTTTAATCAAAGCACATCGGCCAAAAATAGGCGAAGGGCCTCACGCAGTTGGTTTTAGCTTGGCATGGGATAAATTGGCACGAATTCCGAAGGCCGGGGGGAAGTTCTTGAAGAAACCCGAGGAAGAAACGTCAGGGATCTTTAATACTAAGCGAGTAAGTCCAACGCCAATATTATCGTATACCATATCTCGACAAGACCTAACAATATCCTAGTGCGACGTACTGGTAGCCAGCTTCGATGCGCAAACTCTCCGTACGGCGGGCATCGAAATCCTCTCGATGCTGTGGTCCCACGACATCAGCGCCGAGCTAGCTCGGGATTCCCGGTCGCAGGAAGAACTCACGTCGAGGAATCGCGATGAGACGTATTCATGGATTGTCATTATAAAGCAGGACAACGTACTAAAAGTCAGGACGATGGATCGCAAGGACGTCCCCGACGCCGAGATCTCA